ATGCCTGGAATGCCAAAAGTCTAAAATAAATCGTCATAATACGGGCCCCTTTAGAAGATTTCAAAATGCCAGACAAACGTTTTGACCATATCAACATTGACTTAGTTGGTCCTTTACCACCATCACAAGGATACAATTACCTTCTTACAATAGTAGATCGTTTCACAAGGTGGCCAGAAGCCATTCCCCTCAAAGACATATCAACTATGTCTTGTGCCCGAGCTTTCCTGTCAAATTGGGTTGCCCGTTTTGGTGTTCCACTTCACATTTCTTCTGACCGAGGATCACAGTTCATTTCAGGCCTTTGGTCTGCTGTTGCCGAATTATTGGGAACAAAAATTCATCACACTACAGCCTACCACCCACAGGCAAATGGTTTGGTAGAACGTTTTCATCGAACAATGAAATCTGCCATTACAGGGACGACTCAATGATTCAAACTGGTTGGACGTGCTTTCATGGGTTTTATGGGAATCCGCACAGCTCCGAAAGAAGATCTTACGGCATCGTCAGCTGAGCTTGTTTATGGCGCTCCCCTCACTGTCCCCGGTGATTTCATATCAGACTCTAAAGACAATAGCTGCCCGACCACAAATCTTCGGCTTCTCAGAGAAAGAGTAGGATCATTGGCTCCAATTCCTACGTCGCACCATGGTCCTTTCAGAGCAAGAATGCCAGCCGCACTCAATCAAGCCAAGTTCGTGTTTATTCGTCGTGACGCACACCGATCTCCTTTACAAAGACCTTATGAAGGACCATTCGAAGTTTTGCAACATGGGAATAAAACTTTCAAAGTACAGATTGGAAACCGAAGCGAAACTATTTCTGTGGACAGGTTAAAGCCAGCTCATCTTGATCTCGACCATCCTGTTTCTGTATCCATTCCTAAACCAAGAGGACGTCCTCCAATCCCTAAACAACAACGAACAATCAGCGTTCTACAGACGATCGTTCATCCGAACCTACAACCGGTTATGATTACAGAACCAAATTTGGTAGAAAAACTCGTAAACCCACTAGATTTTTATAACTCATTCCGTCTGGGGGGGGGGGGGGGGGGGGGGGGGGGGGGGGGGGTAGTGTGGCGAACCACTTATCTAATAATAGCCGTTATGAGTCACAATTGTTTTGTTTATGTTTTTGTCACGCATGATTACTTACGTGCTTTTCTTACGATAACTTGTCATTCTGTTTTCTGTTCGCTTGTCGTTAACATTGCTTTGTTATGGATTAAACATCAACATAATTGAAAGTCTTTTTCTTGTTAGAAAGAAGTTAGTTCGCTTCAATATTTGGACAAATCTTGTCGAACCAACGAATCACTTTTGAAGAGAAATTTTATTTTGTGTTTGGCATTACAATATTCATTTCCTATCAAATTGACTGGATTAACAGGTTAAAGTTTTTATCGAAACTCGGCGACTTACATTTTGCTGAGAACGTGATCACGAACTATTTCGTAATTCTTATCTTGGGCACTTTGGTGCGCTATCACGTAATAGCATCTTCGTGACGGCAGTCACGTGATTGCGTAGTTAAGTCATGGCTGTGGTACTCCTGAGGTAAGCGTACCAAGATGGCGGACACCGGAACGTATAGTATGTGTACCAGATTTGCGTTAGGCCATAATGTTATTCTAATTTTCCTTATTTCAGTTCTATTAAGAGTTCGGGGACTAGCCAAGTGACTCCCGTAGTATTTGTACCTAAATTATGGCCTAACCATAATCTGGTAAATATATTACGTTCCGGTGTTCGCCATCTTGGTAATCTTACTTCAGTAGTACGATGGCTGTAACTCGAACTTGATCATCGATGCTCAATTGCATATTCCAATGTGAGTTTGGTTATAAGGTAACCACGAAAATGATTAAATTACCAGCTAAACGCATATAGAAAATTCTTTGTCAACAGGTAATATTGATATTACATTTCCCACAACAAAACAAGATTTCGAGTCACAACTCATTACTAGTACAAAAAAATATAATTAAATTAAAGGCAATCTCACACTTTCTGACAAAATTTATTTCAAAATGCAATATTTTTTTCTGAATGCGCGATAAAATTTGCACTCGTTCAAAAAGTACTTAAAACGCTAGCAATAATTGTGAAAAGTTATTAACGAGTTAAAATATTGCACGTTTGAAACTGTTAAAACAATGTCTTGTAACAACATTTGAATTCTGTTTATTATTGTTACCAACTATGCCAAATTGGTATTGCTATTGACTGATATATATTCAAAGTCTTTTGTATCCGTAAAGAAATTTTTCTGGGAAATCAAATTGATTGTATTTTCCGTTTACAAGCTCCTTAAAATGAACGAAAGCGCCATTTTGTATGTCAAGATCACCGATACATGGAAATCCTGGCCCTGTAATAAAAAACAGACAATAATTATAAGATTTTAAGATGATGAAAAATAAATTATTCAACTTAATAATAATATGTGGACTACTTTATTGGTTTAGAAATCAAATCTCAGACGTAAATTAAATTTGCAAGTAATAAGAACTATAACATTCTCCCTCTCTGACCTACCTTGCAACGATTAGAAAACTAGTAAACAATTGAAGATTTTAGCATTTTATTTGAAACAAAGTTTGCTGTTTGATATATTCCAAAACATACCCATTAGTAGCAACTGGAATACAGTGTCTGAAACATAACTTAGTCCTGCGCTTAAAGTTGTTAGAGGAGATTGTGGATTTTTCATTATTAAGATTCCATTTTCATCAACAGATATCGTTTGATTTTCCAAATTGTAATAAGAAAAGAATCCTACGTATTTCTCTGGATTTGGAGTTGGCATGATTTTTTGTTGCATTCTGTGAATTAAGAAATATTATTTTCTGATTAAGGAGGGAATCAAAAATCTAAAACCACCAATCGATGTATTTTGGCTTCCTGGTTATATCCATGACAATGGCCACTTGACAAGAGGTCAATGGTGACGTCACACATGATAGTACACATTGGTGAGATTTTGTGGTTTGCTAGTTGTTTGTCAACTTTTAGTTGTTTTCAAAGCTTTTGTACAAATCAAATAACTTAGAGGCCATTTTGTCATCTGCAGAGTATTAATTTTATTAGCAGTAATCAAAAACCACTTCCAAAACGGGTACAGTAGACTAGGCTAAAGTTGATTAAAATAATGGTTATAAACATATAAACGCGTTGGTAAGCATTAATTCTTAACAAACAAATAATCTTAAGAATCATAAATTGTGCAATGGTAAAGTATAAAAAAATTATTATGGGATTGGGAAACATCCATCAGGCTGTAAATAAACCTTTTATGTAAACGCTAAAACTTACTTTTGGAGAGTATCTCGGAAAAGAGGAATAGCTTTATCTAATACAATTCTGGCTACATCTTCATTCCGAAAACCAGCCATCAAGAAATTGAACGACAGTTTTAGTTCAGGAATCATTGTCATGGCTGATGTGTAACCTTCAACTGCACCGCTTTTTGATACAACCTGTATCGTTTGAAATTCATGATTATTTTCTATGAATTAATCATGAAATGTACAAAGCAAAAACTACCCATTGAACAAATAAACGATTGTGGATTATTGTTTACATTTTGTCTACTACATGTAGCCAATAGTAGGTTAAATAATTTTTTATATATCTCATTTTGTTACCAGTTGGCGATGGAACATACAGTCCACAAAATTCATACTGAACGCACTCATTTGTTTCTAAACAACATGAAGAAATATTGAACGAAGAACTTACAAATATGCAATTTACGATGAAAATATTATGAATTACTATAATAAAACAGAGACGAGAAGGCCAAATGTTTAATCCATTTTCGTAGCATAAGTATGAAATGAAACTTACCAAGTAGTCATGTAGTTTATTCATTTCCCACGGACTTCCTGTGATATTCACAAAGTAATCATGTCTGCATGTTCGTCTTGGACGAAGTATTTCAGTCAACGTTTCATGTTTCAGAATTGTTTTTGATGTCTCCATGAAAGACATTGAAAATTTAGCCAAGTCAGCTGATGAAATATCAAAACAATATATATATTAAAAAGTTGGTAGAAGGCGAATTGGTTGAAGGCGTATTATTGTAGCAAATTTAGGAAAATTTAAATTACAAATCCGGATTTTTATATTTTCCAGAATATTGTGCATGCAAAAAACGTCACATAAGAATTAATATTAGACTTGGAATATATGAATCAAAACATACAGAAAATTATAATTGAAATGGATGAAACAAGTTTCACTTGGATACAGTACCTATTGTGGAGTAGTAATTCCCAGCAGGGGCATACCACAACATTTCATATACCGGCGCCTGTACTCCACTTGGCAAATACCCTGCCGCCATTATCGCTCTTACGTCAGCTGAATATGTGAATCCTGAAATATTTTAAATTTACGTGAAGCGGGGTTTTCGAAGTACTCTTGTATCACAGAATTGTACCCATAATTTGAAATAGTCAGCGACTAGATGTAGATAGTCGTACTAGATATAATTCGAATTCTAAATAACAGTCAGATATGCAGTTTTTTGATGTGTTTACAACAGTTTAGACCGTTTGTTACCAACAGTCCTCATCTCAACATTTTGTTTTAGAGCGTTACCAGCAATGTTAATTACCTAAAACTTTAAACAAACTCATATTAAAAACCATTCAAAAATACAAATTTCAAACTTTTCGACATTGAAATTTCAGAATGGAATGAATACATTGTACAATCGAGAGTTCTGATTGAACTTTTGGGATAACTTTTTTATGTATACTCACCTGTGTTCGTTAAATTCAATTTATCAACAATATTTTGTTTTGCCCAATTTTCGAAATCCTTATCAGTTGTGAAATTTCTTGCTAATATGTGTCCCAGTAACGCGTAAGCAAGGTTGCTAAACATAAAACATAATTGGAGTTAGTGCATTCTCTCAAATCAGTTTGATATTGTCAAATTCGAAGTATTGTCAAATTTGTTTTAATGGTGACAACCTTCTGATCTTACCTGTAATAACATCTTGAACGAGGTTCGGCAACCAGAATCTGTGATTGAAGAAGCTGAAGAGCATCTCCTAATGTTCCATTATAAATTATTACTGATTCATTCAAACGACTATAAGGCAATGATCTGTAGAAAATATAAAGAAAAAAATAACATTCGAATAAGCATCATTGAAAGCTAATATAAAAATAGTATTGAAATTAAATCAATGTACCTAAATAATTAACTTAGCAGTTTGCCACATGTTGGTTAATACCGTCCTCTGGTAATTGCGTCCAAGCATTGGGACAAAGTTGACCGGAATGGGCTGGTATAACAAACTGGAATCTCTTTCCTTCGAAAAATAATATAAAATTTTGTCCTATTTTTTCGTTTGAGTGCGACAAATTATTTTCTTTGCTTTTTTATTTCTTACAACTGGGAAATATATAAAACAAATTGTATAAACATAGTAATATTCTTACGCTGCTAATCCTGATAACTGACTAGCAATGTCGATTAGGTTTATTTTATTCGTCGTGCCCAGTGGCCTTCCAATGTTAAAATCTGGTGCATACTTTGTGACTGGATCGTATAAATCAAGTTTGCCATCTTCCCATAGTTTGAATAAAAATAATACAGGAAATACTTTGGAAATACTACCAATTCTGAAAAAAAATATTTTTAGAAAAAAAGCGAGCATATCATTAAGTGAAAAAGGGAAAAGTGTGTTTCATTGTCTCTAAACTCATTTCACTCTGCCGTGAGGGACTATTGGACTGAATATATGAGACTAGGTTTATTTGACAAAGTTTTTTGTCCTAATTCTAGGTCAGCTACTTTTAGTTATTTATTGAGTGCATTTAATTTTGGTTCGCATTTGTGTATTTCGCGCTTCAAATGTTAGATTTACCAGACATAAATAAGGTTTCATTTCACTCTGAATAACATCTCTTCTATTTTTGCAACACTTAAAAGCTGATATGATTGAATTCAAAATGGGGATTTTAGCGAGTGAATCTTATTTAGTAACTATGAAAGAAAATAATAACTGCATCGTAAAAAGTGAGTTAATGTATATTAGATTTGCTGTCTAGAGAATTTTGAGCCCCGCTTGTTCCACACTTGCCAACTTGGCTCAGATTTGTCCCATGAAAACATTATGACATTCAGCGTAAGTGGCACAGAATGTTCTGCGGATGCAATCGATACAAGTGTGAGTATAACTCAATTGGTACATGTATGACGATGGTCTCTCGAAAATGTCGTGTCCCACTTGATCAACGTGTCCCACTTGTGCCATGTGCCCCACTAGCTGACGTATCTCAATTGTCCCGTCGCCATCTCCATAAGTGTGGGACAATCATATATGATAAGTTTAGCAAAGTGGAACAAGTTGTGTCACAATATGGACATGTGTGTAGAACAAACCGGACCATAGAATAATAAGTGTGATAAAGTGGAGCAAGCGTGCTGCTAAAAGAAAAGAGTGAGGCACGACTTTTTAGAGGAACCTGTTAATTACACACCTGTAAATAGTATTTTCGTTCGGTTTCACGGTGGTCGATTTATTCACTCGTCCATAATATCCACTCCATATTACTTTATCCAGGTAAACCAAGTTTGCCGTTATGGAAGGTCGTGCGTTTTCATCCACTAATGATGCAACGTGTGAATCAATCCATTCGAAAAAATTCTTGAATTCTTCATGCTTCGTAAAATCTGTAATGCAAAAAAATTTTTGTCAGCTATATGCCATTTATCATTCATAATTATTAACTCACTGAAAACGGTTTTATCGGCGTTTTATCGGGCAACAATGAACAGAAAAAAAAACTATAATTTTCATTACTTATATATATATATATTAATTTTGTTACGGAAAAACTATGTTTTTTTTTAATCAGAACACAGTAGAGCATGATTATGGAAAATGACATATATTCGATTAACTGTGTAAATGAAGTAAGTTTTTTAATTTTGCAAAGGTTTACAGGTTAGCAAATGAATGTGCATTCACGGATTCGGAAGGCATAATTATTAACGACCAAGAGTACAATATACATAGCTTTTGACTCGTTGCCCCTTGCACATGTAAGTATCATATGTTTGTATATATAAAATAGTTGGCTACAGATGGCACTCGAGCTTGCAGAAATGTTTGGTCCGAACCGGTTGTGGGCTGAAACGTCTAAACACCAATTAATATACGTAGGCTATATATACACGCAATTCAATTGATAGCTTTCTGCTAGGATTACTTGCCTATTTCTTGGGGTTTTGGATATTTTGGGCATCCTGTGTCAGTAGTTGTATCAGGTTGCGTTGGATTATCGCCCGACGGAGTGTTGGTAATATATTGCCAAGTAAACAAGCCAGCAAATGCTATTGTTGTAATAGCTAGTATTGCAATGAATACGCCAAGCACAGCGACCTTGGACATAGTTTCAAAGTGACTGACTCGTTTTGCTTAATTATAGAGATAATAAACTAAAATTTATTGCAATTATTTGCATATGCTCGTACCTAAAGATATATGTTTATTAAAATATGATAAATATGAACACTGACAGATTTTTCCAAGTAATTCTCTACTGTGCGTTTATATGCCCACGCGTCCATTGCAAGTCAATAATACAGTGTTACGTCACAATATTCAACGATGATTGATGATCTCTTTTTGTTTGCTACGATTACACTACATCAGGTTACAAATATTATAGTTGATATCCAGATGCTATACTATTTCTGTATTAAAAACACTTCAAACGATCCCAATATATTTACTAATCTCGCCCAATCAAGACAATCCAATTTGGATAATTGCTACAGAACGATATATATATGCCTTTCTTTCTTTTATATAGGCAAATGAATAACATACTCAGTTACGAACCACTAAGGGTACATATTTGATTGTTCACACACAAAAGTTGTTTGCCACAATCGGGCTGCTTTGCAACGATGTATTTTAACAACAATTCAAATTCGATTGATTTTGTTACACAATAACTATAGTTTTACTACAAATCAGGTAATGAGATTCTAAACATGAAAAATCCTATTCTATCGGAATATCACGCGCACAGGCGCATGTTATAGAGTAACGATAAATCAAATTCACTTGAAATTGCAATGTTTTTTTGCTTGATATGATGCTTTTCAATTTACTAATAAATCATGGCCTTTGCTATATCTTTGCATGAAACCCGTATGCATGTACAACACGGAAATAATCTTTCAATACACAACATTTACAAATTACACGAATCTAATAGTAAACTACAAGCATTGGGCATTTTATTGTTTTTGTATAATATACTCGCCACTGATTTATATCAGTACTTCTCTCACTATTATTACTTGTCAATACACGTACTATTCGACTAATATCCAATAAACCCATTGTTTGTATCATATTGCTAAAATGTATGCAGATTCATTGAAATCCCGGAAGGAAATAACAAGAAACTGATTTCAGAATCTTAATTAAGTATGTCATGGTCAGGCGTCTCACGATAATTGACGCAATCATTAGTTACATCATGATGTGAAACTAACTTTTGTGATGTAACGATGCCAAACACAAGGTTACAGACTCATTATTATCAAGTCATTTCACCTAACTAATGAAAGTTATTCTAAAATTAATGTCATGTTAAATAATGGATGATACATCATTCGACAAGAAGGAAAACCAACCAATGCCGATAATTTCAGCATACAGTAACATGATGTTTTCTGTACTTTGATTAAAGCATAGCTTTTACAGTATCACAACTATCTAATTCCTGTTTTATTTCAGTAAAAATGGTAAATTTATAAAACGTTATGAAAATATGGGTAGCCAGAAAAGTATAAGTCTATTTTTCGCAATCCTGTATAACATATTCTGGTTGTACCTGTGCTATTGATTAATAAATACATAAAAAGTATATGTATGAATATATATATATATATATATATATATAATGTAGGAATATGTATGGTTTATTATCAAGGAGTTTGAAAAGCGCAATTGAGTCGGTAACTTAAAGGGGTTGAATACCATCGCCGAGTTGTGTCTATGTGATTACGTAATGGGGTAAATATAGCTTGTAAAGCAATAAATATTGTAGGAGTAAATATTGCGAGTATCAGGGACATTTAAAGACATCACTGTAGTTAACTTAAGTTTACTTGAATTAGAATCTTCATCACATTGCCACTATTGCAACATTGTAACGTCATTTCAACAACAATGGTTTCATTCTCTCACAAACAAAAGTTAATAAAAAAATATGTTTTTATTAGATATATATAAATATATCTTCAAAGTTGAATCTATTATCATTGATATTTTTTTCCTATCCCTACGCTCAATATAATATAAGGTTTCGGTGTATATTTTTATTCTCATTTTCATTCATGCTTCGGAAACTTCGGTTCGACTTAGTAAAAGTTATTCGGTGAGTAAAATATTTGAAAAATAAATTTTGAAATGTTTGACTTGAAGCAATTATTATTAATCACATAATTAATCAAGAGCAATATCATGCTATAAAATGGTAGTAGCAATAGAACGTAAGCCTTCCTTATTTCAAACTTGTGAGTCAAGGAATAAAGGCATTAATATACAATGAACTCGCAAAGACAAGCAATGTAATCCACGTGGCACATATATAAAAGCAAATTCTCTACTTGTGTACAGTTGATATAACGCTACATGAAATAAAATAATGCGTTTTACACTTCATAAATTTATTAATTTAAAAATTAATTTTATAAGACTCCGTACATCGATATTCCTTACTTTTGAAATGATCACATAATGACAATCAGAGCATTCATTGCCAATATCACCACAACAAACCACCACACTATTGCTTAGAACTCTCTTTAATGATTATGCTCTAATTTTGACATGCAAACTTCTAAAGACGATTTTTATATCCATAGTATGTAACGTGTACGTATAAGGGGATTTTTTTGCAGTTTATGAACGTGATAAAATTCATGTGTGTGATAAAATATTTAATATTTGACACTGGTAAAAGAATGTACATAAATAGTAGGATTAAATTTAATGTCATTTCATTTAAAATCTTGATTCATGCAGTATTCGTTCACACATTAATCGTTCAATTATTACCGCATCATATTTCAAATTGATAAGAATTTTCCAGATCCGTTTGCTTACATTGATCATTGACATATTTTTTGATTTCAATGGTTAATTCAAGCCCCCTACTAATCTTACTATTCATCCGTATTCTAAAGTCCCTCGAGTTTATTAGTCATCTTCCTTTTTTAACCCGCCATAACAATGCCAATGCCAACGGTTTGTGTAACCTGATATAGACTCCCTATTTTACAGATAACAAAAGAATCATTGGTCCAATTGATTGAAACCGAATGACAAAATATTTTAGTTAGAAAGAGTGGAGCTTAGAAATTTATGCGCTGGTAAATCACGATTGTTACATCTTACATGTTAGATTCAAAACAGTTGGTTGTGAAACACCAAAAATCGCGTACAGCAACAGCCAGTTAGGACATACGAATACAAATGATATTTCATTTAAATTCAAATAAAATAGGTGCATATTACAGGGTTAGACTTATACTTATACAGGAAAAATGTTATCCATAATTCCGAAACAACTTGTGTTTAGTTAAATATAAAAACTTATGAGAAAGATAACAGTACAACTTGTGTAAGTGGAGTGAGTCAGAAAATGTTGGGAATAGTAGGAATGAAAAACTAAGATAGACTTTAGATTTAAAATTAATCTGTTTGTTAAAGAAGGTATATTCTCATATTAAAATATCAAAAACCCCTCGTGTCACGCAGCCCTGGGTAGTCATGCCATCACCACCAAAACAAGCAAACTAAGATAATAGGTTATTGTTACCAATGCGTTCGTTATCGATTACAAGCAAGGGGCTATACGCTATACGGCACAAATATATTTATGCTTTTTACGCGTGGGCTGATGAAATAGACCAAATAGGTATCGGCGTTTCTTTTTTATCGTTGTTGGACCGGTTTTATTATTATATTAGAAATTCTGGTTTGCCATTTATCAGAAATATTTTATCACACCGTCAATAAGCCATCTGTTAATGTTGTATATATAATATTTCTCTGAACATAAAAATCGATATGTTTCAGATATCATCATTGGAAGAATGTCTTACCAATACCGAAGCATAGCTGTATTGCTCACATTCGGCTTCTTCAGTTTTTGGATTGCTTCGTGTATAGCTATTGGTGTCGGACCGGTAAGAAAAGATTTAAAATTATTGGTAGAAATCCTAAATGCTATGAATTAACGACATTTAGTAATAACAGATATCTTGGTTTAGAATTTCTTGATTTTTGAAAATTTTGAATGGCTACTCCCACGTAGAATAATTCGAACGAATATTCAGTCTAACTCTGAAATACTGAAGAAAAAAGCGATTCCTTCTTGAATATCAGTAGTAAATACAAATACAGAATAATGTAGGTGATTAATGATACTAATATAGGTCCAAATTACGGTCAAAGCTATTCTTTCAACTGGCTAAGTATTGACTTATAGTATATCATTGGACAACCTGTCCCTTCTGTAAAAAAAAACACCCATAGATGAATTCACGAAGTGTTTGTGAATAGGGCTCTTTACCAGAAATTAACAAGAACTACTACATTCAGGGTTCTCCGTGTGGAATACCATTTGGTTCCAGTCGTTATATGGCAAGAGAAGGTCAATTTGGTTGTTATAAATGCGATGCAAATGAATATTGGAATCGGAGAATTAAATCATGTGCGCCTTGTACAGGGTTTCTCACCAACACCAGAGCTAACGTTAGATCATCATGCAAAGACAGAAGGTTGGTGCATTGTTATTCTGATTGTGGAAATATTTAATACTTTCAAGGTTTTGCCGGACAAAATTAATATAGGCTTAATCAAATGGCGATTGTGATATAATCATTCCTACTCCTAACAGCATTATATAAGATAAAGACTCAATTTTTCATGAAAGACTTGAAATATAATTTGTATACCGTTTAGTGTTCTGGTTTATTTATATGCTGGCTTTTCTCTATTGGTGTTTGTTTCGAATCAGTGATTTCTGTCGAGTTGAGGCGGTTTGATCAAGTTTTGGTGAGATAGAACCTAGTGTCTACGACAGCAATTTTTAAATAGTGTTGTTTTCTGGGCATATACACAGAATTCCAGTAACCACGACAGCAACAACAACAACAACAAATCCGACAGCTTCACACGTTTCTAATTCTACTTGCGTAGATGACACAACAGTAATGATGACTTCACATGTGAATGCTTCTGTACAAGTAGCGAATATAAATGTCTCAATAGACACAGCTTTCCATGTATCTAATTCTACTTACTTAGACGAAACAAAAATTTTGATAGCTTCACATGCAAACGCTTCTACACAAGTGACAAATATAAATGCCTTAAAAAATGATACAAGCACAGTTTTGATGCCAAGAAAGCTCGAAGGAACACAAGGTATTTTAAGACATATATCAGGTAATATTATGCGACTTTGTACAGATATTTTCTTGTATTCATACTTATTCAATGAGACGAGGACAACATTTATAGCTGATAATTAATATGATTTCAAGAAAAAAATATACACAATTAAAATAAACAAGAAAAAAATAATAAATAGCATACAAATTTTGACACCTCAAACAAAATACTTGTTATAAATTTGGTTTTATTCATGCAAATGAATTTCATTAGTTATGAGTATTGGGGATAAATAATGGATGTTAAGCAAACAAAATTGCCTTTTACATTCCATACTTCCATATATATATGTATTTAAATGTCTGTATCAGTATTTCATCTATCAAGTCGTGTATGACCTAACAATAATGAGTGTAAGACCTTCCTTAGAAAATATTTGATATTGTTCATTAGTAAACAATCATGTAACACCGCTGCTAAAAAAATGCCGTTAAAAAGAAATATAAAATTATCACTCAATGGTAACATTTTTTCAATCAGATAAGATTTCATTACTCAAAGGGAAAAAACGTAGAAAAAGCAAACGCCGAAATAAAAGAAAACGCACCAAAGGAAAAGCGGAAAAGAAGAAAAAGCTAAACAGAATAAGAAAAAAAAGAAAAGGAAATAAAAAGAAAAATCTCAAAATAAAGAAATCTCATAATATGAAAATATAGTCAAATTCATACAATTATTTGTACATTGCAGTGAGAATATTACGTTTTAGAAACTGTACTTTCTGCATTAAAAAGTTGTCATTTTTTTCTTATTGTGTTTTTCAAAATAGCCTATTTTAAAAAATCGGGTGTATTGTGTAACATCTCAAAAGTTATTACAACATGTATTGTACAATCAGGCTTGTTATCATACAAAAACTAACACAATTTGCATTCGACAATATGCATAAACCTAATGTAATTTATGGCATTAAATTTGATAAAATAAGTAATCTGGAGTGTTTGAAACACAATAAACATGTCTTCTACGATGTGTCTAGACAGCCAGACAAAATGCTGTATAACCAATATATGTATATTTGAATGGATTGAAGTGAATTTTGTTGTACACCGTCTGTATTGTAAATGTTTAACTAACAAACACTCAGTATCTTCAGCTTATATTTTCAATACACTTCTACGATTTGTGTGGTCTTTTTTTCAAGCTGAAATTTTATTTGACAATTGTTTAAGTGACAACGTTATTTACGAAACGTTGAATACATGTTTGTTTGTTGAATATCTTTTTCGTGCTGTTTGACGCTCAAGCAACCAAGCAAGGGGAAGCTTACCCAGGTACCCAATTGTATGTATATAAACATTTTCATTGTAAAGTTTTGCCTATTGTTCATATTATTTGTCAAATCTAGCAAAAATCACGGAATAACTTTTCTCACTATTGACGTAAAAAAGAAAGTAACCTCGGCTTGCTCAATATCGCTTGCGCAATTCTACCTCGTGATTTTTAGTTTTATTTATTTTTTATTGAATACCTGGGGAATTCCCTGGGGCCATAAATTTAAATGGGCAGCACAAATGGTCTGACCTTTCTTTTTTGTGGAGATTGGCGACAAACTGTATATGGATTATTCTTTATCCGCTTGCAAGCAATTTCAATGTTATATAATGCGCGATGTTCTTCCATATTGCTTCTGGCAATTCTGTATGGTGTTTTAGGATTGATGACAGCAAATTCTTATGTAGTAAGTAACTATTTTCTTCCATATATATTGTAAAAAATTTAAATCGTTTGTTTGATAGGGTTTAACTTAGGTAAAAACTGATTCTCAACTGTTGGGCTGTTTACAGGTTTTGACTAACATCTTTACAAGTCTTAGATCTATCATATTTTGTACAAACAAATGTTACTTATGGCTCGTGGTATGAGCATTTGAGTGTGGAGTATACAATATACATACACTCATAATCCTCTCTCGTGCTCAGTAAGACGATAAGAAAATGTGTAAATAAATATAACTCATAAACTGGTGATCGGTAGAACTAAACATTCAGAGACTGTTTCAACTCGGAATATTTTTTGCGTGTTTTAAGCATTATTGCAAGCCAGTCACTCTAAAATAAGCCATCGAATGTTTTTGAATAAATGTAGATTTTATCAAATGAATATCAAAACTTCGATTTGTCATGTAGACTACGTTATATACAATTTTGAAATTAGTTTAATTATATCAATATTAAATACCATGATAGTTTGGTGCTCAAGCGCTTGTCAATATATTATTTAAAACCTTGTAGGGAAAGCGATGTTCCCCAAGACGACTTTACATGCTCAAAGACGGCCAGTTGGTTTGTGACGAATGTGGGGTGAATGAGTACTGGTCAAGACAAATAAAAAAATGTTCTTTGTGCACAAGTCCTCGTTACACAAACTTAAAGAGGAATATTCGATCATCTTGCAAAGATCATGCGTGAGATTCGTCTTTTGGATTTATTACAATTTTCAGAATATGTTTGAAAAATGTATATATATATGATTTTCTATAGCAACCCCAATTCGCGTAATATAGTTTACTATATATACGACATTTAAAAAAGTGTATTTAATTTATCACCATCTTTCTGTAAGCAGGTATAGGAACGTAAGTTCACCAAGATAAAACAACTAAGCAACTGCTCATGTATACTTGGGTAGTGCAAACGGAATAACTTTAGTAAAAATAACATTAAACAAAACTAATTGCACATATCAATTCAATATTCAGAAAGTCTAAAATCGTTCCTACATCTTTTGATCAGATATCAACGCAAGAAACTGAAAATTCGTACGTGGTAAGTAATTGGACAATAATGCTATAGAGACTGAGTCCAGATCTATTAGATTTGAGATGCTTGAAAAACGCATATATATATTATATACACATTCTATGATAGTTCATAAACAAAGAATAATTGCATCGAAAAAACATGATCGTATGAGAGTAGGTTATTTTCATTTTTAATAAAGCATTCTATATACTAAATGGATTATGATAAAGTATTATGAATTGATTCGATTCTAAGATCGGGGATTAGAAAAATAGTGTTTAATTTTCGTTTTGTCGGAACCTGTAATGAGGTTCTCAATTACTCCACTGGATTAGCCCCTTGTTTTTCCATAAGCCGTGAAGAATAAGCGAAAAAAAACTATAGTGTCCTATCTAGCTTCAGCCATAACCCTCATGTTTAAAGTCTCATGTAAGCCGCCATGTAGAATGGACTTATATTTAGTTATAGGGCCTTACTTGCACTTGCACGGGTATTTAAAATACTATTCTATAAAAGTCAACTATTCTAGCACTACTATAATTATATTGATGTTCTTAGACAGTTTAGCGGATGGTGTTAGCGATGAAAGTATATCAATTTCACGTCTTTAATATCGCAGGGAACGCCCTGTGCCTCACGACGACTTTACATGTTAAAAAATGGCCAGTTGGTTTGTGACAACTGTGGAGTCAATGAATACTGGTCAAGACAAACAAAAACCTGTTCCTTGTGCACAAGCCCTCGATATACAAACTTAATGAGAAATGTTCGATCATCTTGCAAAGACCATATGTGAGTCGTTTTTATTTTAGGAATTTTCCCAAATCTTAGTTTGAATAAGATTATGTTCAGTTGAGAAATTGCTCAAATCAAATCAATTTTCAGAAAACCAAGAACTGTTCCAATGCCTAATTACACGAAGATCAGTACAATTCAAGGACCTAATGATTCGACCGCAAAGAACCCTGTTTCTTCCAGTGAGATATTTATTTATCGATGCAGATATATATTTACTTCCCAATAAAAAGTACTTGTTCTAATGGTCTTTATCCAATCACAACATGAAATAGACATGAAGAATAATGAGATAAATTCTTAAACGATTTGCTAATGAGAGTACACTAAATATATTTGAAATAAATCAAAGTATTGAATTAACTATAATTTTCATATATATTCCTAGCGTATCTATCTAGATTAATTGAAATATGAATTTTACTCTTTAGCCTCAACACAGACACTTACGAGAAGTACAAATAACAGAAATTCAACTACAGGATATCGGCCCACAACTACTCAAGTGTTCACAAAACCAATAAACATTCTTACAGATACAGCTTTAAACCCAACTCCAGAGACAAACATAGTGACTGAAAAGACCTTTAATTTGACAATATTCTACTTAAGCATGGGGGTTTCATTTTTAGTTGTTATGGCAATATCCTTGATAGCTATTTTTTTCATCAAGCTTTGCATATCAAAACAACGACAAAACAATCCAAGACGAGTAAGTCAGAGTGTACCTCGCGTTACTTTGAACACCACGTCTATATGATAAAACTTTAAGAATAGAAATATTACACCAATCACACAATGTTTATGGCTGCCACTTTGAGAGTTTGATAAAACCATTTTATCAGGTTTAAAATCATATCAATTGACCGATAACTGGTTTGAAGTTTAACGCCCGAGTCATCTTCGTGTAATTATATGTTTTCAAGCTTTAACGTCCGAACTCAACAATTTGCGTATATATCCTTTTTTTAAGCATTAACGCCCAAATTCTTCGAATTAGTGTCTTATTATAACTTATAACACCGAGCCCGTTGGATCATTTTGTTGCTGGTAATGTGATTGTATGGGGGGCAATGGACTCTGATGTCCCCAAAAGGTCATATCGTTGCCTCCCAGTCATGCACCAAAGCATCTGTCTATTTTTTGTTTATATCTGCTTGCATATATAGTGTGTTTTGTGGTTTGACGAATGGAATAAACTCTCTCTCTCTCACTATGTGAATGTTATAACGTTTATAATATGGGACTACATGAGTTGCCTGTATTATTAAAAGTGATGGCAATTTTGAGTGTCTTGTCTTCAAAAGATAGTAATGTGGAAAGATCGCTCTGAAGTGAAATCAAATTCAAGATTTTAATTATATATACGTAAGGTTAAAGGACGACGGTTATTTGCGACAGCATTTTTGATGACTTGTGTGGTACAAATGTACATAAAGCGCACTTACCATTTAATACAAACCTCTGATAAGTCCAAATTAAGAGTTTCGAACGCTTTGATAATCATGAGCAAATTCTCAAGATGTCATTCCCGTCCCTCATCTGACTACCTCATTCAAATATTTCGTTATGGTGTCGTATAAGGCCCGACAAAGTGTACAGTCGTCCAAAACGCGCAATCTCGCAAGCCAGTGCGTATGAAAAATCTGATTTTCACAATCCATTCGCGTTACAACTCGTCGCGTTATGTTACGTCACTTACGCCGCCGTACCCACGATCTTTTGGGTCTCATGGTTTCGTACCTAACATACTTCTAGTGGGCGTAGCATGGAAATTTTCCACGTATCGATCCTAACCCCCGCCTGACTACACCATCCAAAAATTACATCATTACGACGTCACAGTGACGTAACAGAGCCCTTCCATCAACTATATGAACGACGCGCAAACGAGCACCCGAAATTGAACAGGTATTTCTCTCCTATTTCTCTCCTCGTCGCAACGATTCCAACTTTCTAGAACTTTCGGATTTCGCAACAATGTGTATAAAGGTGTAATGTTCTTCAGCGCGCGCTCAATATTGCTTCGTATCTTTCAACGTTTCTATTGTGCCAGCTGTCACGTAAAAATTCAGGTAAGTATTTATATTTTATTTATTCAAGGCAAGACCATGATATACAAATTTTTTAAAAACATGTTATTCGAATGTAGTGAAGGTTTGAAAGTTATGTAGAATTGAACACCAGCTCAACGCGATATTAAACGGTTAGCGAGTTGCTTGTTGAATAGAAACATCACTGCTTCAAGAAACGTTCGCAGAAATCCATGCCAGATGGCATTACTCTAAAACAGAGGTGTGCAACATTATTTGTCGGTGGGCCATATAACCAACTTCAGATATCTTGCTGGGCCGCACAAAAAATAAATAGTTTTTTCATGTACACAACGAATTAAAAAATTCCCTTTATTTAATATTTTGTGGGACACTTGGATTTTCGAGTTTTTGTCTAGTTTGTTAACATCAGCTTTGAAAGCAGTTAGAATTTTATACTTGATGTGTGACAAGGGCTGCACTAAATGGCTTGGTCGCGTTGTGACTCGTGGGCCGCCTGTAAAGACCCCCGGTCTAAAAGCTCTTGCGTACAATAAACGTGTAGGCCTACTGTAGTCGGGTAGTAAACCATCATTGTGAACACCAGATTATCACAGTTTCGACTGTATTTCAAGTACTACGCTAGCGTTCGGGAGAATAGGCTTTACAGTTTACACTAATACAGCGTCGCGTTGCGCCACGGATTCGTCCTTTGTACTGAAATTCGTCCATTGTACTGGCTATTTGAAAATAGAAGCAAGTTTAATTGAGGAAAAAAATTCAAAACCTTCATACATCAGGATAAGAAAGGCAATGTAGTAGTCTGCAGCAACGTACAGGCATTGAAGTAGTATATGAATGTATAGAGCAGCGGCTCCCAAACTTTTTAATATCGTTACCCCTAAATCGAATTACCAAAAGCTCAATTTTCCTTTTCATAAAATTAAAATTGTACGAATGCAATTATCAATCTGATCTATGAATGAGGTATAGAACTGGGCAGAATAAGTAGGGGAGAATTTACATAAGTGTGATTTACATATAGTGATTACATAAGAAATTACTATGACAGTCAACATCTGAATCACCCGCAGTTTGGGAACCACTGGTATAGAGGAAGGACATGAAATTATAAGATCAGAAATAACTTTTTTTTTCTAAATGCCAAAAACTTTTTCATATGAAATTTGATAAAAAAAACAGTTAGTTATCATGAGATAAGGTAAGAATATATCTATATTGATATTAGAATTAGTATAGAAACCATAAGAAATAGACTTCTAGGCAGCAATCGAGATCAAAGTATCTTTCAAGTTATTTGGCATATTACAGATAAAAAAAATACATGCGTCAGGTATGTCCCAACACAACCCTCCACAACCGCATGGCTTAAAATCGTACCGTTTCGTTTATATGCGCTCAACCGTGTATCATCGCCATTAAGTTTGGCGTTCGGTCATACGTCATTGATCAAGTTATTAAAATCCACTTTTTCAAAAAGTGGTGTGAGTATTCAAAATCTCGCAACAGCTAAATAAAGAGGTTAAATTATTCAAAACGTTTTACCGGGAAAGATTTTGCAGTGGAAAATACAATGATGCACGCGTCCAACAGTGTTGAGTTATATGTTTGCGTGATATCTATACGGTATGTTAATATTTTTCTCTGGCCAAAATCTTATAAGTGTGCCGCGGTAACACTGAAAGTCTGAGGCTATTACTAATTGCTATCAATAATATATTAGATATATATAAATTATTGTAAATTTTATGGTCTTATATTTTACTATGAACAGGAAGCTTTTTATCCAAGAAAAAATCACCACAGTATAAAAGAATTTACACCTTAATCCAACATGATGCTCATATGGAATTTATTGACATTTATATCGTTTGTCAATGTTCACTGTGAAGGAGAATATTTGAAAATTGAGGTGAGATATTTAACAATTTTTAACTCTAACATTTCTGTAACAACTATAGCCTCATGATTCTAAGATTCTATTCCAACCAATTTATAAACCTAATCGCACGACGCACTGCAGTTTTGTCCAAAATACTTGTTTAGCTCTTCCCGTGCAGAAAAGTGTGTAATCCCGTAGTGTGTGTACCAGGTTAGGGTTAGGCCATGATTTTATTCCGATTTTCCTTATTTCAGTTCGGGTATTATCTGCGTTAGCCAATTGAATATACCCCCTGCCCATAGGCTTCCTTCCCTTTGCACAACTTGATGTAAAGTAGGCGAACAAAATTAGGTACCTCCATATTGGTAGATACACTTCTGGAGCGCCGAAAATGGTCTTTCAATCTTTAGCAACCAGCAACACAAAGCTATTAAAAGCTATTGCACGATAACATAATTTATTCTAGATTGGCGACCCTTGCGGTAATCCTCATGGATCTGGAAGATGGATGAACAAAAATAACACATTTGGGTGTGATCAGTGTGATGCAGGCGAATATCGGGATTCGTATAATAACACATGTTCGGCGTGCACTGGTTCACTGACCAGCTGCAAACCAAATGTATTATCAAGTTCTTGTAGTCACCATTGGAGGTGAGTATAGTTTTCGATTGGTTTATGTTTCCATAATCATCGATTACTTTACCAATACACGCGTGTACGATACACTCGTAATAATGCAGCAGAGCTGACATAAAAAATTGGCTTCTTTGACACCAACCCCGGTTCACGAGTCTTAATCCCAAGCATTTAACTGAATAACCGAAATACTCGAATAAGTGCGCTTTCGTACATAAACCCCTTTATTGGGAGTAATGGTAACTGTAGCAGTATTTTTAGCTTTCATTTGGACAGTAACATTATCGGAACCAAAAAACAAACTATTTTTCTCAGCGTCATAGGGATTGTGAGACCACGTCACCCAGCACAACTACAAGAAATGTGTCAACTGATAAACCAGTGATCAATACTTCGTCGAATATTCACAGCACGACGTCAGTTGAACATATCACCAGTCCAACATCCACCAAAAAAATAACCAATGCGAATATTAGGCCAATTACTTCGGCCTCGTTTCAGTCGTCTTTTACTTCAAGCACAACTGTGAAAACCAGTGTTGAACACAGCGAAAAAACACATTTAGAGCCATGGGTTTACGTTATTATAGTACGGGGGTTAGTATTTCTCATTGTCTTTATTGCTATTTTAATATTTAGAGTATATAAACATCGCACATCACAGCAAAGTAGGCGCACAAATGATACACTAGACAACCTGACTGATTCTGGTGAAAAGTTGCTCGAAAACAGCCAAGCTTGAAAGCCCGATATCTGATTTCAAAAATATTACTCGTGTTTTTGTCTTAGTGTCGTCTTAATTTATTGGCATTATCCATTCAGGGTTTCCCAAACTAGGGTCCACGGACCCCTGGGTGTCTGTGATGACTGCACAGGGGTCTGCAACAATATGAAAAGAGTCTGGGCGAACTTTGATGATCGATTTCAATCAAATATCCATTGCCGTCAGAAAAGGCAATTAAAATTATATTGTCTCTTGAAACGACCTACATGTGTGAGGCAGCATTTTCATCTCATACCGATATGATGGAAAAATTCAGATCGGGACTTGCGGTAGAGTTGGACCTACGAGTTTTCTTGTCACAAATTGATCCGAGAATTGATAGAATATGCAGTGAAAAGCTTATGTCGTTTGTGTTGACGAAACGCACAGAAATTGATACGACAAAGAATTCGGGTCCTTCAAAACTAAGATTCGTGAACAGGGGTCCGCTGCCCAAAAAAGTTTGGAAAACCTTGATTTATATGATCTGTTTATCTGCCTATTTGTTAGCATGACTGTTATTTTTTTGTTGTGTTTATTTTCAACATCGGAAAAGCGTATTTGTATTTCAATTAGGATATGATAGGAACATAATATGGTTTATCTCAACTACAAAATACTTGGTAATAAATGAGTGCAATGATACTTCTATTACAGCGGTTAATATTGATATTATAAGCCATATATGTACCAATTAAAGTATAATTGTATCGTTATTGTTTCATGTACAGTATGTTATTCATTATGTTACTGTGTTACGTACTTGGTCGCCATACCAATTGCTTGCTCTGTTAGTTAAAATGAGACAAAACTAACAATTGTTTACACATATTTATATTATGCAGTGGGGAGATACTTAGTGGAATATTATATATACGTTTTACATTTATAATGATTTCCTTGTGTTGCTTGCATGTTCCCTCTTATTCGTATGTACTTTTGTTGGTGAGTTATTTTGTGTTAAGTTTTATATGTTGTTACTTCTTTGATTTTATTTTTTTATATGACGCAAAATATTGTGTAAAAATGATGTCACCCATGAATTGTTTGCTTATTGCGTAAGATAAATTGTGTACGCATACGGGATTACATCCATCCCTCGCGCACGAGGTCAAACACAGTGGGTATGGAGCATGCTCAACAATGATTTATCTATTCTGAACTAATCAAGTTTAGTCTTTCTTCCATTTAGATACAAATTTATTTGCTAATTACTTCGATTATACAATAAATATTGTAGAAGGAGATATCGACATTACGAAACATGAATAAAACGCACGAGTTGTAGTAAAGATGTAATCAGCTAACTAAATTGTGGTGAAATAACAGGCAAACCTTTATTTAATGGTGTTATGAACTTAAATGGTGTTATGAAAGAAAAATACACTCACAACGAAATGATTTTTAAAATTGTTAAAAATCATATAGGCTAAACGCACTCATTATTTTCACAATCACGTTCTCATTCGCCATTCCGGTTCGGCCTATATGACAAAGAATATTATTGAATCTTCTCAGGACCATATCAGCTCCCGGGGGATTTTTGTTTAAATTTTTGTCTTGCGCAACATTTCTGGTATAGCGATGTGTGTTTCGAGCTCTAGACCGGCCCATCTTTATACTTGATAATTATTAAAAGCTCTTTCTTACAATAAACTTGTAATGTAGTAGACACCATAATTTTGGATATCAGATCGTATTTCAGAAATGATAATCGTCTGAGTTTTGAAATAATAGCGAAAATCACAGCCTATCGAAGTTTCGATTGTCTGTCAATTATTAAGCTAGCGTTCAGGAGAACAAGCTTCGAAATATGGAGCGACACGTTGCGCATGGCTTCGATTTGTATATAGAATCGAAAACATTGTCACCTGTCAAATTAATGACTATTTCAAAACAGAAAGCAAGATTAATTTAGGAGAAAATTTAAAACTTTTTTTGGATCAAGATTAAAAATACAATGTAGTATTTTGCAGCGAGGTACAGGCAGTGACAGAGTATATAAATGTGGACATAGAGGAAGGACATAATTTAAAAGATCAGAAGTAACTTTTTTTCTAGTGATGAAATATTCGGATCTCGCGTAGTTTCGTACCACAAGTTATGACATATGAAAAAATTGTTGCGCCACACCCACTAGAAGTTATTGTGGTACGAAACTACACGGGACCCCAATATTTAAAATGACAAAAATTTACTTTTTCTAACTTTCCAAATGAAATTTTCTTAACGCAACAGATAATCAAATTTGGTTTTGAAAATGAATAGCACAAAATTAAGTGTAGATGTCCCTAAGTCTTCGGCCCTCGAGTTTTAGTCTATCTTGCCTAATGGTAAATCCGACCCTGCTCTTGCATCTAGTGTTCTCGCCTCAACTGCCCATTGCCAAAACTAAATTAGACCACGATGCTTCTGTGTAGCAAATGTGAAAAGAGAATAAATTCATGTCTGTGTAATATTTATATGATCTTGAATTGAAAATGAACAGAACAAAATTGATTGTTAGGGCTTCATCCTATAAATTTCAGTCTACCTTGTTTATAACCTTTAACCTTTTTTTTTTAATTTATTGAATATTGCTCAAGAAAATCAGTAGTGAGTTAGAAACCCAGAAAATACCGTTTGTGCGCGTAGGATTATGCATGACAACGTTGGTCCCAAGCAGAAGCAAATTTTTTCAAACTAAAATCGCGTGACAACAATGGGCCACGAGGCGGCGATGGGGGGAGGAGAAATGCGCCTCGTATTTCGCATTTGCTCGAACAACGGTTATTGAACGAGACATTAGTAGAATTTCTCACGCGTTTGAGCAAAGAGTTGACAATTTTTAGGATGGGTATAAAAAGTCGATTTGGACCATCGGAGAAAAAGGGTTTGGGAAATCCGACCCTGCTCTTGCATCTAGTGTTCTCGCCTCAACTGCCCATTACCAAAACTAAATTTGATCACGATGCTCTTTTGTAGCAAATGTGAAAAGAGAATAATTTCATGTCTGTGTATGTCTGTCTGTGTTCATCTTTATGATCTGTCAACATTTTTATCTCATAAGCACTGTTCTTATTTAGATAGTCTTATATTTAACCCCTCTACTCCAATTCACATATTTTTGCACCATGGCGTTTAATATATGGACTGGATTGATATTTCTTGCTTCTATCAATATGCTCTGCGATGCATCATCTTCGAAAATTAAGGTGAAATATTTTATATTTTTAACCACTAAATATAGTCTTAATAACAAAGCAACTGAAAATGTTGCAGATATTATTCCAAGCACGGGTATAAACTTCGCTACATGGCAAGGTGGTTAAAGTCGAAAAAGCTGTAGTTGAACTGAAAGTATATATCAACTCTGCTCAAATCTTCCATGCGAAAAACACAGCTAGTTTTCGAACTTCAGTAAGCAGTAACATAAAGCAATTAAATCCTATTGAACAATAACATATTTTATTATAGATCGGCGACCCTTGCGGAATTCCTCATGGATCTAGAAGATGGATGAACAAAAATAACACATTTTGGTGTGATCAGTGTGATGCAGGCGAATATTGGGATTCGTATAATAACACATGTTCGGCGTGCACTGGTTCACTGACCAGCTGCAAACCAAATGTATTATCAAGTTCTTGTAGTCAACATTGGAGGTGAGTTTAGTTTTTGATTAGTTTAGTTTTCTTAATCATCGATTACTTTACCAATACACGTTTGTATAATACACTTGAAATAATGCAGCAGAGCTGACAATAAAAATTGGCTTCTTGGACACCAACCCCCGTTTTAAAAGTCTTAATCCCAAGCATTTAACTAAATAACCGAAATACTCAAATAAGTGCGCTTTCGTACATAAACCCCTTTATTGGGAGTAATGGTAACTGTAGCAGTATTTTTAGCTTTCATTTGGACAGTAACATTATCGGAACCAAAAAACAAACTATTTTTCTCAACGTTATAGGGATTGTGAGACCACGTCACCCAACACAACTACAAGAAATGTGTCAACTGATAAACCAGTGATCAATACTTCGTCGAATATTCACAGCACGACGTCAGTTGAACATATCACCAGTCCAACATCCACCAAAAAAATAACCAATGCGAATATTAGGCCAATTACTTCGGCCTCGTTTCAGTCGTCTTTTACTTCAAGCACAACTGTGAAAACCAGTGTTGAACACAGCGAAAAAACACATTTAGAGCCATGGGTTTACATTATTATAGTACGGGGGTTAGTATTTCTCATTGTCTTTATTGCTATTTTAATATTTAGAGTATATAAACATCGCACATCACAGCAAAGTAGGCGCACAAATGATACACTAGACAACCTGACTGATTCTGGCGAAAAGTTGCTCGAAAACAGCCAAGCTTGAAAGCCCGATATCTGATTTCAAAAATATTACTCGTGTTTTTGTCTTAGTGTCGTCTTAATTTATTGGCATTATCCATTCAGGGTTTCCCAAACTAGGGTCCACGGACCCCTGGGTGTCTGTGATGACTGCACAGGGGTCTGCAACAACATGAAAAGAGTCTGGGCGAACTTTGATGATCGATTTCAATCAAATATCCATTGCTGTCAGAAAAGACAATTAAAATTATATTGTCTCTTGAAACGACCTACATGTGTGAGGCAGCATTTTCATCTCATACCGATATGATGGAAAAATTCAGATCGGGACTTGCGGTAGAGTTGGACCTACGAGTTTTCTTGTCACAAATTGATCCGAGAATTGATAGAATATGCAGTGAAAAGCTAATGTCGTTTGCGTTGACGAAACGCACAGAAATTGATACGACAAAGAATTCGGGTCCGTCAAAACTAAGATTCGTGAACAGGGGTCCGCTGCCCAAAAAAGTTTGGAAAACCCTGATTTATATGATCTGTTTATCTGCCTATTTGTTAGCATGACGGATATTTTTTTGTTGTGTTTATTTTCAAAAACGAAAAAGCGTATTTGTATTTCAATTAGGATATGATAGGAACATAATATGGTTTATCTCAATTACAAAATACTTGGTAATAAATGAGTGCAATGATACTTCTATTACAGCGGTTAATATTGATATTATAAGCCATATATGTACCAATTAAAGTATAATTGTATCGTTATTGTTTCATGTACAGTATGTTATTCATTATGTTACTGTGTTACGTACTTGGTCGCCATACCAATTGCTTGCTCTGTTAGGTAAAATGAGATACAACTAACAATTGTTACATATATTTATATTATGCAGTGGGGAGATACCTAGTGGAATTTTATATATACGTTTTACATTTATAATGATTTCCTTGAGATGCTTGCATGTTTCTCTTATTCGTATGTACTAATGTAATAATTATATATATAATTGTTTTATATTTTTGGATAATATTCGAAATACAACGAAAAACACGACACAAACTCTTCAAATTAATGTGTGGTACTTCATTGGATACTTCTGTTAAACAGTGAATAGAAATACTGCAACAAAACGCAAAATATCAGGTCATGAAATAGTAACAAGATTGTTTTTGTTTGCTCAGTGTAGCCCTGAAGATCGGAGCTAAATGGAAATAGAAACACTGGGTATTGAAAGTACTCTAGCGTTTATGACTTAAGATGCTTCGTTCCTTGGCGAGTGGTGGCTTTTGAGTGTATTCAAAGATGAATCGGTCTGTACTCGCCTGGTAGGTCATTTTTCATGTGTGTGGTACCGATTTCCCCCCCTAATTCCCCCCCCCCCCCCCCCCAATTGCCCAAATCGCCACCAGCGCCCGCAAGATATTGCAAACGCCCACAAGGGGGCGTTTTCGCCAACTTTGGGAACCGCTGATCTGAACTATTCAACTTCTTCCGACGTCTTCCGATCGAAATATCCGACAAAACAGTGTTTTTTTCATATTCAAAACCCAACCAAGATCATGACACGTATCGACTTTTTTCTCATTTCCAAACATCTGGTCACGCAGATGACAAAATGTGCTATTATTCCTGCGGTCAATTCAGACCACGCCCTGTGTACTTCAGACATAAACCAAGTCAAGAAAGGAAAAGGATACTGGAAACTCAATTGTTCATTGTTAAAAGATGAAAATTACCTAAATCTAATGAAAGGACAATATCCAATGCAATATTTGATCATTCTCATGAACCGGTTGATCCCCTGTTGTTCTGGGATGTTCTGAAATGTTTGATAAGAAGGGAAAGCATAGCTTATGCAAGTACACAGAAAAAACAAAGAAGAGAATTGGAATCTAAAATCAGCCAACTAAGAAACGAAATGCACTCAAATAATTCGACAGACACCTATCAAAATCTTTTGAAGGAACAGGAAAAGCTGAATTTATTATATCAAAGCATAACACATGGACATATTATACGCAGTAAAGCAAAATGGGCTGAAGATGGAGAAAAAACTCTAAGTATTTTTTTGGATCTGAAAAACGAAGAAAGCTAAATTCTACAATATCGACCTTACAAACAGAACATAGTATCTCAACCAATCAAGAGGATATAATGAAAGTAATACAAAGATTTTACGAAACACTGTATAGTTCTGGTCAACCTGACCATATTTATACCCAAAATATTATTGAGACTCTAATTATATCTCCTATGATAAAAGATATTTCTCTTAGGTGCACAGGACAAATAACAGAACAGCAATGTAAAAATGCACTTTTTTTAAAAATGACAGACGGCAAAAGTCCAGGTTTAGACGGATTAACTTGCGAACTGAAGTCTTTTGGGAAGATTTGAAAGACTCTCTGCTGAAAGGTTATAAACAGGCGTGTATCGCTGGTCACATGAGCCAAACTCAATGTGATGGAATAATAATCCCTTATAGTGAAGAAAGGAAAAGACGCCGATAACTAATTTAAGAAACTATCGACCCGTTACGCTATTGAATAGGGATTACAAAATTTTAAGTAAAGTTCTCACGACATAAATCCAAACAGTAATGAACGATATAATTCACAAAGATCAAAGAGGTTTTATTCAAAACAGACAAATGGGAGAAAATATACGATTACTTTGCGATATAATAAACCATACAACATACAATAAAATACCTGGTACAATTATTGGATTGGATATTCGTAAAGCATTTGATAGTGTCGAATGGTGTTTCCTGTTCCAGTCACTAAAAGCATTCGGATTTCAAGACAACTTCATTTCGTGGATAAAAATTCTTTATAACCAAAACAAACTATTTATAACAAACAACAATTTCTTTTCTGGGGCAATTATTCCACAAAGAGCGCTTAAACAAGGCGACCCAATCTCACCGTATTTATTCCTTGTAGTAATATAAATTTTCGCAACGATGGTTCGTAATAATAAAGATATCACTGGATTTAAAATTGCAGAAAACGAAATTAAAATAGCCCTAGCTGCAGATGATACAATATTCTTCACAGATGGTTCATCTAAAAGCATTGAAACCTAATTTCGAACAGCTGAAGTGTTTGGAACTATATCAGGATGCAAAACAAATGCTGAAAAATCACAAGCAATGAATATTGGAACTAAATGTGGCATAATTTAACAAAATATTCAAAACAATCTCAACTGGACTCATGAATTTAACATTTTTACCTGTTACTATTCCCAAAAGATTTGTTAAATCACCGAATTCTTTAATATTTCGTTTTTTATGGAATTCAAATTGGGGAAGAATCAAACGTAAAACATATTGATTGGCCCAAAAATGAAAGGTGGAATTGATATGGTAGACATTGAAAGTACCAATATTTCTAAAAAACTGAAATGGTTGTATCACCTCATAGATGAGTCGAAAGAGAGTAATTGGAAAACTATTGAACTTTATTATTTACGTGATATAGAAATACATTGTTTCCTGAAAGGAAATTTATGGTATAACTCTCGTTTCATAAAAAATCTTCATTTTATAACAATTAAGGATACAGTTTGTACCTGGTACATATATAGGGAATTACCATCTAATGCCAATATCCATCTCTATAATGAACCATTACGTTACAACAAGAAATTACAATATGCAAGAATGCCATTTTTAATGAAAAATTGGAAAGAACACGGAGTCTGTGAATTACACCATTTGGTGAACAGAAATCGATTAAAATTTTAATGTACGATTATCAAAAAACTTGACCATGTTTATCGTCATAAAAATATGGAAGAATATCTAAAATTCACTCTATATATAAAACTGCCCACGTTTACAGCGAAAGATAACTAGAAAATCACAAAAAATGCAAATTTCTGCCCTGGTGATCACGTTCTCCATGAGAGCCAATGTTAAAATTGTTTTGTTTACGCCACTTTTATTTTTGCGCGTAGGATTTTGAATGACTAAGGTTTATTACAAATGTATGATGTAACAAATAATGACATCATAAACGTAAATACGTTTTGAGCTATGTAGGCTATCCCCTATCTATCATATCAACGGTTAACGCCTAAATACGACATAATGACAAACGTGAAATTTAGTTCGAAGGATATCGCACTACTATGCTTCGCTGCTCTCTTGCGCTACACTGCGACAACTATAAAATTTATTGGTAATTTTACACCGTGAATCTTTCGTAAATTAGATGACATCATCAGCACATCATTGAGTGAGATCCTTAAATTTTCAAAAGATGCTTCCGCATATATGATAAAAAAAATATTGCGCTGTCTTAATTATTTCTTTGACCGCCAAATATATATCTTGTTATATTAGGCCCATATCAGGGTAGTCCCGTTGTGCGTGTACCAGGTTGGGGTTAGGTTATAATTTCATTTGATTTTCCCTATTTTAATTCCATTGCAAGTTCGGGGACCGTCTGTTTAGCCAAGTGAATACCCCATGTCCATAGTTTTCAGTCCCTCCACACAACTTGATGTAAATTAGGCGGAACAAAATTAGTTACCTCCATATTGGTGTACATACCTCTGGATTGCCCCAGTCAGCAACCTGGGGATTTTTTTTTTTTGTAATTTTCGTTGAGCAACCATATTGCGACATGTGTTAGATTTGCGAGCGTCCTTTAAACTAAAGGCAGGCTAGGCCTACCTGCGTTTTTTTCCCTAAAATGGCGGTAACAAAGAGATGTGGATGGTTTATGCTGATATTGATGTTTATATGTTATTCGGACGTCTTGACAAAGACTAAGGTTAACTTGCGGAAACGTACGGTAAGTAATCTAAGATTTCATATTCTAACTAAGAAATCTGTGCAAATTTTTAATATGAATGTAAAATGCTTATACAAGAACAAAACAACGCCACCAATAGTAAAAATCGCATCTACACGTGAGTAACATAATGATACTAAAACTGTCACTCCGACTTAAAACAATCTTTTACATTTCTAAACCACTGTCAGTGTTCCATATGCATTGATCAATTCTCATTCTAGTGACCCAGCTCGTAGAACCACTATTGGTTTAATTCGTCTTAACTTTGTGAAAGACTAATTAATCATGAATGAACGTAAAATTTCAGTGAGATTTGTAACGAATATGGAACGACTTTTTATAGTTCTAAACCGAAACTAGCTAGTTACACCTAGTTTTGAAATATTGTTCCAAATATAGAAGTAATATTCTATATATATTTATAAGTAATGGTACGGCCCCGCCGCTACCACTAGTGAACAGCAGACAAAAAGGCAATACTTTTTTTTTAGAAAATAAGTTCAATATTGTTAGATTATTCTTAGTGCTTTACTCCACCAAATTTGTAGTGTAATGATGTTATTGTGCTTCAATATTATAATATAATACATATCACGATGTAATTTTCAAATTTTTAGAAAGGAAGGCACATTCACCCACATAGATACCACAGCAAATGCAATGTTGGGGAATATCGGTCTAGAAAAGACAGAAAATGTTTACCTTGCACGGATCCCGAATACACAAATCTCATTCCAAATAATAGGAAATCATGCAAAAATCATATAAAGTAGGTGACTGAGAATAATTTATTTATAACATGTTGTGTCAAGACTTTTTAGGACCCGATTAAAGCAGAAAATCGCTCTTTTGAGAAAGTTGAAAGAATGGAGACTGCCATAGTACAAAAAATGACTTTGAATGTATGACGTTAGTCCGTTTGATTTTCACTTAGTGATCTTACGATAAAATTGGAAATTTTATTTTGCCCGATTTACACCGTCAAAACAGCGTAATTGTTCAATGAGACAGCAATATATAAAATATTGCATATTAAATTCTGATAAATCTATTTAATAACTATTTGTATTGAACTCTGCCTGCTTTCATAATCGATCCTCTTTTGATATTTACTCCAGAATCCTAAAATTTATATTACTAGTATCTTTTTAGTAGTTGAACTAAAATAAAACACCTTAAATTAGATTTAATATACATTGATGTAAAAAATATAATATGTGTCCAATTGCTCATGTCGAATGCAACTAATATATATATAATTATATTCAACACTTACCACAGATCTACGACTCCAACCAAGAATACCAAGAATATTCCGATTACTGATCCAAGTGTGTCTGCAACAACTGGTAAGTCCGATTAATTGGTGTAAATCTCTTCTGATATGAATAACGTATCAGGATATAATAACACGCTGCTTAGTACAATGCCTATACCTGTGAAAATCACACAAAAATAACTACGTTTCCATTTTTGACTGAAGAAGAAGTCAAATTCTATTAGGGCTAAATATGTATTGAGAAACGAAGATCCCTTTTGCTTGAAGATATTTTATAACGTTTACAAACAGATTATTTATATATTATAGATGTGCATCAATGTATAAAATAATCTAAGCACAACTAATACAGGTCATTTCATTTATTAGCTCAAAAGTTTTCCGACGAAACTTCGTCGGCTTCGAATGCAGGATTCACTACAAAATTTATCCCGATTCAAAATACCGAATGGATTCACACCGTCGGGAAATTGATTGAAAGTACATCACATGAGGAAATCCTTACGAAAAGCCAAGATGAAAAACCCGAAGCCACACAGAATGCAGTTGAAACAGATTATATGCCCGCTATGAGTAAACTCGGATTTGCTATACTAATTATGTTTGCGACCGTTTTTATAGCAGCGATAATGTCAATCTCTGTTATTGGTTTATACTGAAAGTGTTTCAAAACAAAACCTAGAGTACAGGAAGAAGATGCTGCAATTCCGCCTCTCAGATCGTAACAAAAAAAATCAGGATTGGTGGCGGGGATTCTATGTCTAAAACTGCATACAAGACACTTCAATGATGACAGTTCAAATTTTTAGTAGGTAAAGGTATCTAGAAAGCCATCATCTCTATTTATTTTTCCATATTCCTACGAGTCGTACGGGGTCGGGTTTTTCACTGAATTTATTAATAATAACATATATGGTTTAAATGGCGTATGTAAACATTTTATTTTATGTAAACATTTTATTTTTTTTTAAAAAATAAGACTGGCAATACTTTACTAACTTAGACTTATATTTTGACACAGAATGGTGTTGGCAAACCTCCGATATACGACCTCCGTATATAATAGTATTACAATTCGTCCTCTCATTCGTATTCAAAAATTGGAGATTTTTTGAAATTATATATAAAGGGTTATAAGTTTCGTTTAATCTATTAAATAACTTTATAGTATATTCCATTAAAACTAGATTTTACTTATGTGTTTATCCATGCCACGACATATATATACCAAGTTTCAGCAATGAACAACGAAAATTAAAATATTATAGGCATTCCGATGAACAAAAATTTACCTCTATAGGCAATTTTTCCAAAATAGTTTATATCTTGCAGTGCCAAATACTACTTTATGATTCTTTTTTCCCAATCTGGGAAAAGGAACTGTAGCCGAATATAATTATATCGCGTCTATATATAAAATCAAATTTTTCAAAGCAACACACTAGTTTCTCAAAACTTTTCGTTTTCATTTTAGAAGAAATAGAAAAAAATAGAATTTTTTATTCGAAACATAGCTGTTTACCTTACAAAACTCCCCGCGTTTATTTGGGACAATGCCTTTTTTCAACCGTTCAACTGTTTTCAGTTAGTTTATTCAACGTAAATGTTTATATTGTGATGTTACGATCAAATGTAAGAAATCACTTATTAATAGATTATGTTACTGTTATAATATTATATATATATTTAAAAAATTAAGTTCAATTTTTTACTTGAAGCTGCAGATTTTTCTATCGCGTATTTCTCGTGGTCAAAGGTAGTTGCAACCAATTGCCTTGCTAACTAACAAATAAAAATACATAATTGCTATTTGAATATTTTGTGAAAATGAGCAAAATAGACCGGAAAATTTTACAAAAAACTCGATATTGGCTATGCCTGGTTCATGCGCGATTATATCCTAAGGTATGTAAGATAGAGCAAAGTACTCGCTAGAAAAAAAGTACACTGTTTAAAAATCTTTCCATCGATTCTAAACTAAATATTACATCTTTATTTGTCGCTGAGTTATAGCTAATTAAGTTTGCCATTTTTGGATGTAATTGGTATCCCCATGATTAAATTGCGTACGTTACGTATTCGTCAAGGTCACGGACCGCGTCGACGCACGATCTATGATTACGGTGACGTCGTTGACGACGTAACTCACGTGGTTATGCAGCTCACGATTATGGCGACATGGTGGCGCCAGCAGAGAGAACAAAGAGATGGGCAAAATGTTGCGACACCGCACCTCTGAAAAAAACTAAACAAACTTTCATATTTCGGGTTTTTTGGTGGCTGAAACGGTTTTAAAAATATAGCCATTTAAAAACATTACTCTCAAACTTCGGAAAAATGTCGAATATGGCTTGGCAGCGACAGCGTTAATGGGCGCTTGGTTTTTCGCACGAAATCAATATCAATATAATCCTATCTAACTTGAAATTAAGTTTAACTTTAACTAACCATTTTTAAATACTAAGCAATAAATGGTGTCGTATAGTTATACTCTACTAAACAAATTTCGATGGAAACTCATTTTTATATTGTGTGGACTGCCCCGCTATTCATTTTCCTTCGGACGTAGTCCCGAAGCAAAAAGGGGTTGGGGAAGCCTCAGCATACGTAGGAAGGGTTCGTGACGCATTATTATTACGTATTAATGACGCAACTGTGTCATATCGGTAACACCTCATGACGATGAATCATACTGCTGTTAAAAGGCGTTAACTTGTATACCAACATCTGCTGCTGGACAAATCCAGTTTTTGTTGGATAAATCCAGTCTTTCGCTACTTGCCCAACTGATTCATTCTCAACAATATTCCTCCACACTGGGAACTATTTTCGACACCGATAAGCTTAACCAATGCATAGCGGAACCGAATCTATACGAAAGTTCCAGTTATATAAGGGTTAGGAGTAAACCTTGTGAAGCATGAACAAACAAAACTTCGTTGGATTAATTCAATGGGGCGTTGTTTGCTTCAGTTGACAAAGCGCTTCGGTTGACAAAGATGTATGCTATAACGAAAAAGGTATTGGATGTCCGTCGAGTGTAACTTTCAGAATACAATTTTAAAACGCGGAACAACGACGACTGGCAAACAAGAATAACATGGGGATATTTGCTCGCATAATAGCGAGGATCGAAGTTCCCAAACATGAAGTGTTTACCCAATTTGAGAGAACCGCTCTCGAGCGAATATATCGAATTCATTAAATTGATTTTACTGCCAAGCTACTACAAAACACAGAGAATGGTTGCTTGAAATATGATGAAACGAACACAGTGATTTTGATATAAATTCATAGAGAAGTGTTGAAAATTTGCAACAGAAGTAATTTAGCAACAATAGGATAATGATAGATGACCCATTTTTTAGGACAGCCAGGAAACATGATACGTCCAGATCTCGCTGATACACAACCACAGAGCAAACCGCCTGACAGTCCCCAACCAAACCCATCTTAAACGACCATATAGATGAAAAAAAATTTAAAAGAGTCCAAATTCTACCAGTAAATGGACATAAAACCTGAGAAAATCACATCAGGGAGTCGAATTAACCCATACACATATTTCGCAAAACTTGCAACGTTCAGAAACTGAGTGAATTAATTTTACAGTCTCAAAGATTTAAGCGTTTTTTTTACATTATCCTTTTCCAATCGAAAGCCCTCAATGCCATCAAAATATGGGAATATTTTCATGGTGTAAAAATATATCAATAGCCGAATGATTTTCAGAGTGATATAAAAAAATGCACGAGACAAAAAACGCAATTGAAAAAGTGAATAAATAACCATATCACAAAGAAGTAATATAAAAAGGCAGTGTCAAAATTGGGTGCAATATTCAAAAAAAAGCTTGATTCAACAACAGTCATATTTTCTTCAAGCTGAAACAGTGATCAAAATAAGTTCGCCAACAACCGTCAATATTAATTCAGGCTATTGCATCATTCGGTGTATACACGCACTAACAAACCGAAATCTTTCATGACTGGTCAGTCCCTGATATTTCATCTCTTCTCATTTGGACTTGATGACTTGACCACAGTGGACATTAACTGATCACCAGAATGTAAACGTTTGATTGCTTGTTTTCTTCGTTTCTGATCTTTTCTGAAATCATCCTCTCTTTTTCTTTGTTCCAGTCGATCCTTTATTTCAGCTTCCTTCTTTTCCAATTTCAGCTGAAATGACAGAAATTGGAAGTCTTAGTAACCTCACAATTATTTCGAAAATGGGAAATTTGAAAGTAATAAGTTTTGACCAGAAATTTAATAAATCAAAAATGCTCAAAATTATCCTGGTTGGGTTCCGACCAACTTACCAAATTATGAAATAAGGGGGTTGCTGTTTAGTATCTCTCGGACATACGCAAGAGTCTATCATCGCTCTCAATAGTATCATAGTCGCATCATTGATCAGATTTCAAAAAAGCCCGCAAAACTGTAATATCACCCTTGATTTTTATGAATAGATCATGTGCACCGTCAGTTTCCATATTACATTTTATGAAACTCTAAACAGCAATTAGGAAATAAATAAGCATATCTACCATAATTTATACTAAAGTCATCTGCAATAATAGATGTTTCTATAAAAAACAGACAACTGGCCAATGCAACTGACTGATGGAGCATATTCGGCTCAGTATGAGAAAGGTATATATTTATTACCAAAAATGTGAAATGAAATTCCTACCTTTCGTTTCAAATTTTTTTCTTTCCTTTTACTTTCCTCTTCTTCTTTCCTTTTTCTCTCTTCTTCTGCCTTCTTCGCTATTTCTCTCTCCAACCTTTCTACTTCAGCTTGTTGGGCAACAGACTAAAAATTATAAGATAACAAAAATGCTATTCAAAAATGTTTTCAAAGGAAATCATCAGTATTATATGACAAGTTTTTTTATATAGTTTTTCAACAGTAAAGTGCAAAAAAAAACTTTGATACTAATAGCTAAAATGGTAGAAATATATGAAAAAATTGATTGAATTACTAAAAAATAGTTGGTTAGTGGAATTCATAATAAAGTATCCATGCCAAATCTCAACAAATCACAAACACGGTTTTTAGTTTTTACCAAAGGATAGTTTTAAATAGCATGATAGACTGGGGCACAAAAATGCCAAGGTATTATTTATATATCGGAAACTATGTTCAATAATGTTGAACAATTCCCATCCCAACTTGGGGCTGGTACCTATGACTTGTAATTGCCCCCAATGTTATTTATCCATCTTATTGGTTTCTTCTCCTCCAGTATGAATATCCAACAACATGTGTACGCTCAGAAAGAGCATTTCAAATTTCAGTCTATTACTGATCAAGATATTCTGTTATTCGTCATTACAAATACGGGCGATCCATTTTGTTTGTCTATTTTACATCAAGTTGTGTAAAGGGACAGAAGCCTATGGGCAGCGGGTATATTGACTTGGGTAACACAGACAGTCGCCAAACTCGCAATAGAACTAAAACAAAGAAAATCGGAATAAAACTATGGCTTAACCCTAATCTGTTACATACTCTACGGGCGTACCCAAATTTGTGTATTGATGCAGCACAAAACATATAGGCTAATATTTATAATTTTTTGTATGTTAGACTTTTTAGTTACCTTTACTCTGTCAAGCAATTCACTGAGTAAGCGAATACTTTCTAATTTTCTTTGAGCAATCAATAATTTTCTTTCTTCAAGAGCTATACGTTTTGCAAGTTTTGCAGCTTCTTCTTGTGCTCGTTTCTCTTCTTGTTTCTTTCTTCTTTTTTCCTCTCTTCTCCTCCGTCTATCCTCTTGCTCTTTCAGTTTTTCCAATTCTTTCATTCTGATAACACATTTGTAAATAGATTTTGAATATAAAATATCAACAAGTTATTCTTTTAATATTTAATAAAAAGAAGACGATCAGTAAGTCTGGTCAAGTCTTTTGGGTCAGGGTTAGCGTATGTATGCCCAAGCATACTCACAATTGGTTGAACAGGTCACATGGTTTCTCAGAAATAATAAATTATATTCATTTGCTCAGTTATTTCAGCCATCAGCTTTAGGCTTAATTTCGTCTGCCAGTATCCAAAATAAAGACAATTTAAATTCTGTGTTGGTAATTAAAACATAGGGTGCTCCCGTAGTATGTTCACCAAGATGGCGCACAACCTGAACATAGTATGTGTACCAGGTTAGGGTTCAGGATGTGCACCATCATGGTGCACATATCACGGGAGCACCGAATAAGGCAGTTGAAATAGTTTCACAACTAGAAAAATGCGCGACATATGCTACGAGATTCTCAAGCTAATATTCTGAATCTTGAAACATACTTTTCAGCAAGTATTTTCCTTTCTTCCAATTCTTTTTCCTTTCTCTTTTGTCTTTCCCTTTCTTTCTGTAATTTTTCGATTTTCTTTTTTTCTTGAAGTCTACGATCGATAGATTTTGCAGAAAGATGTTTAGTCTTGTCAAAATCAACCTGAGAATTTGTAAAATAAATGTTTTAAGAAATATTATTCTGAATAGAGCAAAATCAATTTAAGAAAGTTTAGACTTTAGAGCATGGGTGTGCAACTGCGAGGGAAAATTTTGCGGCTCACAGAGAAGTGCCAATTTTAACTTTTGTGCGGCCCGGGAAACAAGTTCTTAATTCAGTTTGATAGTATGTGCGAGATTTCCATCACGGCGCACGGAGAAGTGCCAATTTTAAATGGTGTGCGTCCCGGGAAACAAGTTTTTAATTCAGTTTGATAGTAGTATGTCACTATGTGCGAGAATTCCAATTTCTTTCCGTTGCAAAGCCTATACTTGAGGTTGTGCAAAGCAAACAACGCAAGTCACCAGATCAATAGCCAAACTTTTTGTGCCTGCAACTATGTTAAATAAAGGTGCAGCGTGTGGTTTCACCCAATTATGCTCTCCTGTATTAAAAGTTGCTCACCCATGCTTTAGAGCAACACCCAAGAAATTTTAATATATATGTGTATATATATATATTTACAATTTTTTTTATATAACACGAAATTCCAATACACAACTACCGCAAACAATTATTCTAAATACAGCTACATTCATGTTACAGGGTGTTAACAGTATCATTCCTAACAAGGCTATAGGCAAGCTGATACATACACAGAGATCTATTTTTTTTTCACCAAAATTAGGAACTTACACAAGATATATCACAAATAGTTTGTAAAATAATTACCTTGACTGTAGCAGCTATTGCCTTGCCGTCTGATTCTTTTAAAACAATTTTCTTTCCACGAAAAGTATCCATACATTTTGCAAAACCAATATATTCTTTATATTGAATATATACTTCGAAATTCAATCGTGATCCATATGAAAATGTTTGAAAATTTGACGGAACAGCAGACTGAAATTAGAAACATGAATTGTCGAAATTAATTTGGGAATAATGCGCACAATAAATTTTCAGATAGGTATTTATAATCATGAAAATTTAAGTACCCTAAATATGGTACTCCCGCAGTATGTGTACCAGGTTAGGGTTAGGCCATAATTTTTCTCCGATTTTCCTTATTTTAGTTCTATTACGAGTTCGGGGACTCTTTGTGTTAGCCAAGTGAATATATTCCCCGCCAATAGGTTTCAGTCCCTTTGCACAACTTGTTGTAAAGTAGGCGAACAAAATTAGTTAACTCATATTGGTACACATACTTCTAGAGCAGGGGTTCTCAAACTTTTGGTGTTGCGGAGCCCTTGAAAAGTTGAATATTATTCGCGGAGCCCCAAAATAAATGTTAAAATTGTTACTTTCAGATTAATATTCCTGGGCAAGTTGAAAGTACTTTACTTATTTAAAATGCTGAAACTTTTATAATAGGATTAACACAAGCCATAAATGAATCTGAATTTTATACTAAAGCTGTAAATTTGACACTTGACGAACATATTAATAAATTAGGGGTCAAATCTTTTCTCTTTTGACATTTTTGGAAGACTTAACAGGCCGCTAATAACGTGCGCGATTTTATTTTGTTACAATCGCCGATTTTTTTCGTCAGCATGGCGTGTTTTAAACATCTTTACGCCGGTGTTTATTCTCGCTAAATCAAAAATTTCCCTCGGCATATACATGTATTGTTACACAATGACGACGTTAATTCTTTTTTTGTTCTCGTGGGAAACTATGAGTTCAATGTGAAAAACATGTTACCATATAATAGTCATCTGCGACGAAATGTTAAAAATTATAATTAATAAAGAGATAAATCCGCAACTCAAATTTCTTGATTGAAAAACGGCATTCTAAAATATTAAAACTGAAACTTAAAATGGAAGATCACACGTTTGGCTTCAGCAGACTCACCTCAGATTGAAAACGCTTTTATAGACATTGTAAATTACAAAATTTGGTGTTATGTTAGGTTTTCGTCGTAGTAACTGCGAAATCGAATCACAGTCAATTGTGCGCGCGATGTACCTTTTTTTCCCATTCTGAAACTACCGACGGAGCCGCACGCAATCAATTGTGTGGCGATCCACGATGTACCTTTTTTCATTCTGAAACTACCGACGGAGCCGAATGCAATAAAATAAATTCTAATTGTTCGTATTTTGCCCAGACATTGTGATTTTTTAAACGGCGATATCTTGCTTAAAAATAACCTAAGGTGCGAAAGAACAAATCAAGTTTGACAAATCTCAAGATCGCGAAAATACGACTCCACTTTATTTATTGTTGGCAGTTTATTACATATTTTATGTTATTTTGGAATAGTATTCTTTCATTTTAGTAATCCTAATACTAATCTCGAATCAAACTTGAGTAACGATGATCACAATTACATTATAACGAAGAGACACGTTGAATGCTCGCATCGGTCATGGATTGAATATTTTACGCAACAGAAATCTCGTTATCTGTTTTTTTAATGGCGAAGAATGTTGCGCGGAAATTTCCGATTCCAATTTTGAACCACCTCCCTCTTAAGAATCCTGGCTGCGCTCCTGCTTATAAAAAATGTCATTTTTAATTCAGCCTCTTTACCATATTTCGAGGCTGTATTGTTGTCAGATTTTATCAACGCTGTTATTGCTTCTTTCAACAGTTACAAAATTTTGAGTCAGTATTTCGAAGAGTAATCGAATAGCTCGCGGAGCCCCTGGGTTTCTCTAGCGGAGCCCTGGTGCTCCGTACGGAGCACTTTGAGAACCTATGTTCTAGAGCACCTTAAATTTTTGCTGAAAATGATAATGAAGTCAGTGAATGATTGTCCAGCATCTTTTTGAAGAAAAAGTGCAACAGACGTCACAAAGGAATTACGTTTTGTATAAAATTGAGATTTATTTTTGTATTATCAAGTTGAAATACCTGAACATCAGTCCTGTATGGATCCAACATAGGAATATCAATATTTCTTATTTCACCGTAAGTTAAAAAACACTGGATCACCATTTCATTGCTAACTGTGGATCCATTCTGTAAAAGTGAAATGAAATATGATGAAAATTAGATTATATTCTCCAGTATCACAATGTTGGGGAGGGTTGAGATGAACTTTGGTCACAATCTATCATATGACAGAAAGTACTCAAGCAATGTTAATGAAATGACTCAAGACTCATACTCGACCACTCAACGTACTCGAGTCATCTAAATACAATGACTCCCAGCTCATTCTCAACCACTCGTGCCATAGGAATAAAATGACTCCAACTCATACTCAACCACTCAAAGTACTCAAGCCATCTAAATAAAATGATACTCTACTCATACTCAACCACTCGAACTACTCAAGCCATCTAAATAAAAAGACTTATACTCAACCACTCAAAGTACTGGAGCCATCCAAAAAAAGGATTCGGACTCACTCCTTAACCAACCAGCAGTGAGACTTGGTGATGGAATCGACTCAAGAATGAGATGACCCGTGACACGAATTGACTTGTGACTCGGGAATTAGGGACTTCAGTTCTGCCCAACATTGCTATCATATAAGTCATATTCCAGACTTCTAGCATAATTTACCATTCGAGATATAACCTCAGATTGAATATAATAAAGGATGAATCATTTTATGGGCATGAGGGCCCAGCAGTTAATGATAATTCGACAAAAGGCCTTCCGGAAGGTCTTTTGGCCTTCCGGAAGGCCCTTTTAATCAAATAGTTTTGAAACCTGATTTCGTGTAGTTTGATTTTGAATTTTCTTTAGCTTATAGTATTAATTGATTGCCAGTTATTCATGAACACAATCATGGGTTACAATTTCTATAAACTATTTTATTTTTTTATCACTGACCTATTTACTTTTAATAAAAATTTCAATTTTTTGAAAAATTTGAAAAAAATCAATTTTTTAAAATCCTCATTTCTCAGATAAAAAAACCTTTGTGATCTAATTTTTTCATGTTTATGAATTTCTTGTATCATGTTGTTGCACTGAAAAACGAAATTTGCTAACAGAAAAAAGCGCAAATACAATTTTTTTTGTAAATTATAAATTTTTCATCAAAAATTTTAAACGATCAGTTTTATAAGAGGGACTATTGTTTAACTATATTCAGTTAGGTACATTTTTTTCTCTAAAAACCCAGAACACAAATACCTAATACCAAAAAAAACTTCGAAAATTAATACTAACACAAACAACATGATGGATGGGAGACCCTTTCAAAAATTTTCTTGAGAAGGGCCTTCCGGAAGGCCCTAAGACCCGGTATCTGGAAACTTAAAAAACTTCTATTTTCAGTAATTAGAGCATGTACCACTATCAAATAAATAGGTAATATTATTTTAAGCCATGTTATCTGAAAAGAAAGTTACATTTTTCGTTTTTGATGGGAGGGAAGGTGTTCCCCAAATGACAGCTGGGCATTAATTTTCAGTAAATGAAAGACGATCACTCATTGAAAGTCACCGCCTACTTGGACAATGAAACTTGAATTTGAAATGTTTGCTCGTCATGTAAAGAATATCATGCAAGATTTGGTTGATATGTTGTCTTTATTAATTAAATATAACATCCAAAGATGAGCATTTATTAGTAGAAAACCCATGTTGCTCAAAATTGACAGTGGTCACAAGAGCGCATTAGTTTCGCATCTTAGAAACCAAAGGATCCAGTACCCACATTAAAATGATAACAGTGACAAATTTCAAATAAGTTTCTGCTACTGGCAGTCTAGGGATATTTCCAGAGTGCCATTCTCATATTGTTTCTAGCTAGTTAAAGTTATCCTTTTATCAAATCTATCTGCAAAAAAATTTGGAAGTTTGGATGGGCAACTAACTCACTACACCTTTAATAATTCATCCTAAGGCTCTGTCTCCACTTTGCCTATCATTCTCTGCTGTAAGGGGATTGTATCCATGTCTTAATCAGACTCTATGTCTTATTAATCAGACTCTGTCACTTTCTTTGTCTGAGAATGAAAATACATTCATCTCTGTTAGTTCACTGTCTATGCTGCATGCTAAGAAAGCACTCAGCAGTCAGCACATTCACTAACTTCCTTTTCTTTCTCAACTTCAGAATTCTAACTCTCAGTCTTTTTGGTTGCTACCTAAACTGCTGTTTGGTTGTTCTTCATTCATTCAAACCAAAGCTACTCTCTGCATTGCGCTCAAAGTAATTTCCTAATTTGAATCTTAAGTTCTTTCCATGTTCTTTCCATCTGAAACTGCAGGTCTTGAATCTTTATAGTCTATTTTACACACTGTAATATTATATCACAATTCACAATGTTATATCATAAAATTTCACTCTAGCTTTCTCTAAAAACTTCAAAAGTACGGTATCAACCCAGAAACCACATCCAAGCACAAATTATAATGATACTGTATATAGTAGCAATCAATTTTTAAATTCGAAATATTCTTCTGTATAGCTTAAACCTAACCTAAATATATTTATTATGTTAATCAATAACATAAAATGATAATTTGTGTTTAATTTTGGCTTCCCTTAGAAAAAACAGGCTTTCCTCTCAATATTAAGGGTCCACATCGACACATATAACTTATTATTTTTGTAGGGCCTTCCGGAAGGCCCCAACATTTTCTATAGTAATGTCCAACTTTTATATATCATTAAACAGTCTGTATTGCATTTTGTTTCTCAATAAATCAAGTAACCAACATGAAATCATGCCTCGTGCAAAAAAAAGTACCTGCAATTACGAAGAAAATATTTTTTGACACCGGAACAACAAAAATTAATCTAATATTCTGATCAATAAACTAGGTAACTTGCTTATAATTGGAGATAGGAAGACAAAATAATGACTATGTCATCTGGTAATCGCCAGGCTTACAACTACAACTTTTATTGCTTTCATTTAAAGCCCTGTACTCTTCAATTTGGTCAAAATAGTTGAATAGTGTAAAAAAAACATAGGGCCTTCCGGAAGGCCCTTTTGTCTACATGTTTCTACAAAATTTACGACATTATCGAGTGGTAGCAGTTCATTACAATCACATTGCAATTGTTGTAAATCTATAGAAACTTGCAAAACAGTGAAAAAAAGTGCCTCGATTAATACCTGGGTTGCCCATAATTGCGATTTTTGAAAAATATATAAAAATTTTCATAGGTGACAAAAAGTTCTTATTTTCAATAGTTGAGCAGACTAATAAAAACTATATATGTGCAGTAGCTGTTAAGTGTCTGTAAATAACCTTTAATGAACTATTCAAAGCTGAAAAACTAAGAAGTTTTTCTGCTATGTAGTACTGTGAAAATTTATTGTAAAAATAACCTAAAATAGGGCCTTCCGGAAGGCCCTTTTTCAGTCGAATTATCATTAAGACCTATTAACTGTGTTGGCAGAACACCACAACCCCATCCAGAGTGTAATAAATTGGATAGAAATGCCGAACTAGGAAGATTTAGGTTCTTTTAAATATTAGCTCCTTATTTGTCATTAGATATCAGTAGCTACATGTACAGTGCCTTGTTTGGAGTGAAAGGTGTGGATAAGCGTCATATTAGTAAGTCTTTCCAAATTAGAAGTTTTTACTGACAAAATATTGCATACAGCACAATTTTTGATACAGAACAGTTTGATGAAAAATATTCGAGAACGAAATGAATATGCTTCATAGTGTGTGCGTGGACATTGCTTTGAGCAAATTCTCTGACAACCCCTAGTAAGACATGAACAATTTTAATCATACAATTCATATTTGTTTAAATAAAAATAATATTTTAGGACGTGTGCACAAAACCAGTCATACAATACCCACCTTTGGCATAAAAAATTTGCAGGGTATATTGCTTATGTGTACTGTGTCTGGACGTTCTCCTGGCTGAGTCTCATCATAATCTTTTGAATCACGAAAATATGAATCCCAGTCATGACGAGATGGAAATGGTATTTTGCTTTCTCCACATGTCACCTAAATGATGTTAAATGCAACTTATTTAGCTAATATTTTTCATCACAATTTATTTGATGTGTTAATTACCTTCGAGTTATGTAGAGAAACGCGAGCAGAGAAGGTCAACAATGAAAAATCTGCTATTCTAAATCAATGGTTTTCAACTATTTTCAGCTTGCGGACCATGAAATTTTAAAACCAATTTTGCAGACGGGTAAACCATTTAAAATTTTCTCACATAAGAAAGCTGTACAAATATCAGCAGTAATTTATTTAACATATTTTTAACTGAGCTCAGGATATTCTTTCAAGCGATATTCAAAACTGTGACAATGGCTAGTCTTTATGCTTCGACATCAACAGGGTATCGCAATAGTAAGCTCAATCTGGGTTATGATCTCGCCCATGCATAACTGGTTTCCCAATATTTCCCATATGATTAGCCATTTCATGCATGGTCATAACTGAAAAGTTATTATCCGGAGTAACATTTAAAATGACTTTTCAAGAGTGTACACGATGAGAAAAAGTTAGTATCGACAGAAAACGCTAGTTTTTTAATTAGAATCGATTTGAAGCTGTGGAGTTAGTAATCACAGGAATGGATTGGGGGTCCTTATGGTGGCAATACCTTCTTTCAGTGGAACTTGTATTATCCATCTATTACCATGACAAATAATTGCACTCTTGCATTTTGATTGCTGTTGTACAGTAATAATAATACGGTTAGCATATACGGTAATAATGTCATCAAACTAGTTCTGAATTTGTGACCCTTCTAAATGCAATTTTGAATTTCTCGGGCTACAATTTTATCTATATTTATGGTTGTTTATCATTTTGCTGAGAAGTACACAAAGAAAAAACTGAATATGTTATAATTAACTAGACAAGGTATTGGGATGTGCATTTTTAACTCTTAACACTCAACAGTTTTGAAAACCCCTAATTTTGGAGATCTCTCAATTTTTTTAACAGTTCATGTAGGCAAGGATTGTCAAGCTCTAATAAAGTCACACGGACCACTTTATGAAAACAAAATAAAAATTGTTGTACCTTGAGCAAGCCCGAAAACCCAGATAATTTGATATGTTTTCCATCCAACATTGAAACAAATGTAGAAACTAGTGATTTATTTTCCACTTCACCTTCAAATCTAGACAACAAAAAACAATGATTTTAAACAATTTACACAATCAATTCGATGTAATCAAGGTAAAACAATTCTGCCAAACATCAGATCTGGTATACAATTGACCCCCAATTAAATAGAAAACAAGGTATATCATAAAACTACAACCTAACAAATTCCAAGTTACTCTTTGCCACTCGAAGCAATGTGAATTGGTGAGGGGTGCACATTGTTTTTAACTTTTCCATTACTTCCCAGTTTGATATCGTCTGTCCAACAACCTAAACAAATAAAATCAAGTTAGGTACGCAAAAACAAAGCCTAAAACAAAATACAATCAGGCTATATATGAATAGACCAGGCCAGTCTTTCGGTAGTAACTTTTTACATGAATAGGGCAGATTGGGGAGAATAGTTCCTACAGGAGTGGTGACTCCTCTACGGCCCATGGGCCGGGGCCACGACCCATCTAATTGGGCCCCATGGGCCGTGGCCCATAGCTTGATGGGCCGCGGTCCCATCAGGAAAAATTCAATTATCTTAACAAAATTTTCAATTTTTACCAAATTGTCAATATTCAAACCAAAAAAATATACTCCTGTAGTATGTGTACCAGGTTAGAGTTAGGACAAAAAAAAATCAGATTTTTTACATTATAGTTCTATTATGAGTTCGGGGACTGTCTGTGTTAGCCAAGTGAATAGTTTCTTTACACAACTTGATGGGCCGCGGCCCATAGCCTGATGGGCCGAGGCCCAATTCGATGGGCCGTGGCCCCGGCCCATGGGCCGCAGAGGAGTCACCACTCCCACTCAATAGTTCAGTCATTTTAGCATTTAGTACAAAAAAGAGACATAGAGACTTAATCATTTTCAGAATATGTACTGCCAAATATGTACAACTGCGATCTTACACCTTCAACCAGTCTGGATTTCATGGCCTTCTTCCCAATAAATCAGGCGTGCAAATGAAAAATCCTGGCGTTCAATCAGTGACGTATGCACACCAAATGTCTGAGCCTACGTGCAAATCTACCAAGGCCCCGTGAAAAACCTAGCGTGAAACTAACAGAATTTGAAACACTTGAATAAACAAGTGTAAAATTATTTAAAGGGAACATCCCAACTGGGGCTTTGATGCACAGTCCAGTCTACAAAACGGTGAAGATGATGCAGATGTGGATTTTTACATAGGTCAAAGGTCAATTAATCAGAGCAAACAGAACGTGATAAAGGTACCGTACCTATTAAAGCGTCTCACATTTCAAGAGGCCCATATATTTTTTTATTGACATATGTTTTGGCTTGTTAGTACAAGCCGAAATATGCGTGTTGTACAGGTGTTCATTGGCTATTTCATTCATTTCTCCAGAAGTTATGGAGGTTACAGGGTTAGGCGGTTTGGTGCAAGTCCAATGCATTATCGTACTGCATTATCTCATTACTGGATTATGCAGCCAATGGTAGATTACGTCAGTTGAAGCTCAGCTCTACATTCTCAAAATTTACCTTCATTTGCGGCAACGCAACGCAGACATTAACTTTAGCGTACGGCTTTAAATGTAGATTCAGCGACGGGCAAAGATTTTCCACGTCTGATAAATCGCTTACAAGCGTTGTATTCATCTCCACAGTATTCCTTGAACGTGCCTTACCCAGCTTGAAAATGGCGAAATGCAGACTAAGTAAAAATCACAAACAGTAAAACACGAACCTGCAACCTGAATGCATTACAGTGCTCTGGCGCCTTTAGGGGGCCATTTGGTTGGAGCACAAGTTATTTGTTGTTGTTTAGTCGACCCTTGACCTCGCTAAATTTTTAAGCTCGTTTTGCAAGTGCTTTCACGAGCGGGAGCTCACAGAATTGTTTATTGGACAAGTGGGTGGACCTATGGATCGTTTTGATATTTTGTTGTTGTTCTTGGTAATTTTCGTCTTCATTAATATAAAATCGATTTTCTTTTCAGTTGTGTTCCGGAAATTTAAATCTAAATCAGATAATTCAATGATCACTCTGTGTTATTTTTCGAGAGAAAATTGAGATAATTCCCTGTCCTATTTTCGGGGAAACACGGTAAATCAGAACTCGGAAGAAGGCATTTTGATTTACATCTAAATTTCCGCAAAACTGCCAAAATATCATTTGTTAGGTTAGGGTGGTCCAAACTGCTGCCCACCGACACATTTCGTACGTCTCCAGAACAATTTTAACGTGCACTAAACCAGGGATGTCAAACTCGCGTGGCGTCCTGTTATCGGTACAAGGAAGTGAATTGTCATTTTATCTAAGATCAGTGCCTTAAGCTCGCGAGACGTTTTGTGCCTTCATTTCAATAAAAAGACTACTCTATTTTCAAGGCTTGCCATGTGACAGCAGTGACGAACCACATAGCTGACGTTGCGCCTCACGATCTATGAGTTATAAAATTAGTCAAATATAACAATTCATCATACAACGAGTTTAATGAAAAAACGTATTCCCTTATCCACAACAACGTTAAACCACAGCGGCCGGTGTGTTTTCAAGTGATAGCTGTCAAGAAAGAATGTAATTTTAAGCGACATAACACAACCGAACGCGAGAAAGGAAAATATCACGGTATTGCTCGGGAAGCAATTTTGAAATACCAAAAGGCTTTATATAACTTCCCTAAAAAACTGATCAGAACGGTACTGATAGGACAATACGTGTGACTGAAAGAGTATATGGACATAAAAATAGCACAACAATAGTAGTTACATCTCATGCATGAACTTGCCAACAACTAACAATGGATAAAACTTGAAAACGATATTGCGTGCTAGATATAGGCTACTGTATACCAATGCACAAAACATGAGCTTTGAAATAAACTATCCCTATACTTTATTTGCTCAAGTTTTGTTGATGTTACAATCACACAAAAAAAAAGAACATACGACAATAGCTGTTCGTGAATAATTTTTATGCTGGAAGGGACTAAAAATCACTGGGCCAATTATTTTTCTAGCATAATGTGTAGTAATTTTAAATTGATTTGTAGTCAATTCTAATTGTATTTGATCCGAGACAATTTGTTATTTTTCAAAGAATTAAAACACGAAAAGTGTATTTCAAATCGTTCGTAACATTCCCTGATCATGAATGAGCCCAAACCTGAGATTTTTTCGATGTTTCGTAACAAACTTGATCAATACGGTTCGGGACAACTTGAAAATTGTCTAACATTCGAAAAATATTGATGTAATGGTCTTCTAAAGTGTGCAGCACGGCTCTGATAATTACTTAAAATAGCATTTTTATATACGCTGTAGCAGCGCAATATCTAGTGATGAATTCTGTCAAGTGTCAACATACGATTTGTTGGTCAGAATTGTATTAGATGACCCAGAATTTTCTGACAAAAGTTTTGTCCCAAACTCGTAATTCGTTTCTGTACCAACGATCACAGCATGGGTTACCCCCAACTTTGATGAGTAGACAGACTTATAGATTTTATTGTAGTTTTCGACAATAGTACAGAATACAATCCTAAAACCTCACTGAAAAGATATCAAGCAGTGTTTATACACCTTAATTAAACAGCGAATCAATATTAATAACAAACGTAATAGCGTGACACGTCATATGCAGGAACTCTTATTATTAACCTAATACGGATAATTATCTTCGCCGTGCGGATTGGAATTTGCATCTAATTATTTCAATCCTTGGTATAATAATCTGAGGAAGAAATTTGAAATTGTTAATGACTGGACGAAATATGTTTCTGAAAGCTTAATTAAACTGTATGATTTGTTTTTTACCAACATCACATTAGACATCATATTGGAAATTTAGGAAAAATTAATTTTGTTGTTCAGGCAAATCGGAGAAAATTTGAGGTTTCTGTTGATGACATATACGTAGTTAAGCGATATGAGACAAAAAAAAATCATGGAAAATATCGTAACGCTAATAACCGAATTGCGTGAGTCCTTTTTGGCGATTTTGAGTTTTTTTATAAAATGGGTATTTATGTAATGCTGCGCACCTGTCGGTTAACTCAGATTTTATTTTAGGAATTCCGAAACCCTTGGAGATTTAGTATGACATGCACATTTGTGCAATTGTTTCGTCATAATGAATTATCAGTGTTACCGCAGGACTATTGTGACGTCACAAAAGCAAAATAACCTCGGCGACGTATTTTTGAGTTTTTGCATCTCGGATTCTAGCTTAGCGCGTATTAATTTGAATTTTTACTACAGTATAGGAAGACGTGCACTTGTGATATTTACTGTCCCGAGTCCAATTTACCTTGGTTGGCTTTATTTTTAAACATAAAAAATAATTTAATTGGAACTGATTAGCTATTTTGGGGATAAGACATTGTAGATACTGAGAATTATCACACTAAGTCACAGTGCGCCATTATGACGTCACTTAACTGCGTCATACAAATTAACTTAAATCCGACTACGATAAAAAAATTGAACCATGGCAAATTATTGACTCTCAATGGCATAACAATATCATTAGGAAGTTTTTTACGTTTTTCTCAAAACTGCGAAAAATGACTTACGCAATTCGGTTATTAGCGTGACGATATATATTTTGTCGTTCTGCTTGATTTTGTACGACAAATCGTTGGTGGTTCTTAGGAAACACGGAATTTAAATATAGATCCTGAGATCGATGCAATGACAGCAAAATTATCCTTAGATACCCAAATAACTAGAAAAACAAACTTCAAAAATAAATGCAAATGTTGATTCTTGAAACAATTATGGCGCATTAGCCTATCTTATAAAAATTGAGATTGTACATCCAAACACACTCAAGGTCCCACAGAAAATTCTGTATTTCGCAATATTTTTTATTGCATCATCTATGCACAAAGATAATGTTTACATTCTTATGGCTCAATTTTCTAATGACACTTCTCTTCAAGTTTTTTTTACATATTAATTAATTGCACAGCTTGACTGGACAAGTGACAGTACAAGAATTGGCAAATATCCTCGACATCAAGATCTGTGCTAATATATATATTACCTAGTATGCCTATCGTCTGGATTGTCTTGAAATTGAAAACAGACGTAACCGAACGATTAAGGCTATGAATTTAAAAGCAATCTTCTGATGTACCGTGATGAGCGTTAGGAAATACGATTTCCATCGCGTGACTGACTACCGCTGCGTCAAATACAGTGGTAATGGCTGATACGTTTGCTGGTCCGTATGTACCTAACTGGTCTGCTAATTTTATACCCGACCTGACGTCCGTATTCTATGAATCTACTGTAATTGTCTTGAAGACTACATTTCATCAGAGTTGTAATATGATTAAGCTGGTGCTATTTGAGTTCACAAGGTAGTCCCCATAACACTGGCGCTAATGTTTTTACTCCTGTAGCTTGAGGTCGTGTAAATTTAATAATTGCGAATCTGAAAATTGTGGAGCAATATCTAACTTCTTGGGGAGACAAACGTAAATTTTATCAAGTCATAAAAATATTTTCGCTCATTACGCCAGGAAAGCGAGACGGTAAGTTGATAACAGCCCAGATATAAAGCGCAGATATTTTGAAATGGCATAAAAATAAACCATAATTATTCGAATCTAACTATGTAAAGCTTACTAATCGGTGTTTTCAAACTCGCCAGTTCACTACTATCTCACTACTTGTCTCAGTCAAATATGATATCGCTAGGATTTACATCACACGTCGCTTTGAAGACGAAAATAACTAGACAGAGTTATACAAAATGGAATAGAAATAAAGTAGAAAATTTTTACATCAAAGACAGCAAAATTGTTGATCACATTGCACAGTGAGCACAATAGGAAACACTCAGTGAACAGTGAATTGTACATGTATTTATGATAAGTATCATAATGTTTGTTACGGGTTTTATCCTGACTTGAAAAGAAGAATGGCGATTTGGCCTAAATAAAAATATATGAAATGCTTCGTTTCGTGGGTGACGTAGCTTCCGAAATTTCGTCCACATATGCAGTGCCATGTTGGGTTATATTTTTTGTCAAATTCCTTTTTGATGTAAGCAGCTATGTCCTTTTCGATGTTGTATTTTTCCAAAGCCTAAACATAGTAATATATCTTTATTATACTAAGGATATACCTTTTATATTACAAGATCGATATTTGGAAAGCACGGAAAGATTTACATCGCCACTCTGTTGATATACGCTATCCCAAAATCTCTACCGGGATCACCCGTTAATGTCTTCTGGCATTAAAAACATGCTGAGAATAAGGACACACAAATCAATACTTAAGAAATTAACAATTAACGTGAAAAATTGTAAAAACAAGGCACATTGGTATGGATACATTAAAAAATTGTTTTATTTGGATTGTACGTTAACCAATCTTCAACATAAACGCAATAGAAAACTTATTTTTTACCTGTGTTGCACAATCTACTGCATCCTGTTGCATGTCCTCTGCCATATCGGCATTCTTAATAACGGCTTTTCTATCAGACATGTTCTACGAAAAGTAATAAATTATTAAAATTAAACAAAACAGCGACATTTAACGATCGATCGCTTAAAAGCAATAAACAAAAAATTCGAGAATTGAGTTACTTTGGTACGATAACTTTACTATAAAATTCAACTTCATCTTGGGCGGAAAAGAATTGATGATTGAAATGGCAGCATCAGGGCTCGTTTGATTAGAAACTAACGTTAGATAATTCATGCCAGTTGAGGCAGTCGCACGCACATCATCAATTGAAGGGTTCCTAATGGTATTATACAAAATTTAAAAACTTACCTCTGTTTAGTGTAAACCACGTGTAGATGAAAGCAGACGATTTACAACATACGAGCTAATCCTATAACACGAGTAACGACCAAACTGATACGTTAGGACTATTGTACGATTTGATAAAGTCGTCGAGTATAATCGAAAAGAAAATAGCGTCCCGTTGCCAAGGGAATGCCAATTACCCATTGGCTGATAATCCAAACAATACGGCTGCTTCTCACTGATTGGCTGAATTTTAAATAAGAGATTAGTCTACAATCAGACTAGGTATTGATTGACAAACTCACGGAGTTGCTATGTAAACAGTTTTTTTGATCAAAAGGTTTTTGTTATATAATAGGAAATGAACCTGTGAACCTTTTATGGATATGAAATGGATCTGTAGATAGTTTTGTTATTATGTTGTTGTTGTTAAAAGTCGCTTTTTTTTTTTTAGCTTCTGGACTAATTGATTTGAAATTTTCAGTGCCCCCTTGGCATTGGATACGAAGTGGGACTATCGATCGTTTTATTATTACGTTGTTGTTAGTATTTTTCTTTTCCTTGTTTAACATGAAAAAGACATATGGATCGTTTTACTATTATGTCTTTGTTGATCATGTTGTTAGTATTCTTATTCTTCTTCTCGTTACGACCAATGGAAAAATTGCATTTCTCATTAACTACTGGTCCAATCGCTTTGGAATTTTTATCAGTTGAACATTGCATTTTTCGTTATAACGCTATTTTATTTATTTCAAAAATATTTGCGGCCTCTATGAGATTCGTTTTTTGTATTCGACGACGTCATCAAACCTAAAAACTACGCTCCTTGTGGAGCATAAAGGTTTATTGCGTGTAGATATACATGCGCCAGTTTACCCGTCATTCAACACACAAACATATATATATTTAAAATAAAAAAGACAAAGACCCTAACGGGTATCATTCGGGCGTCAAACTTGTGTAACATAAACACTCGGTGGGTCTCAATTAATAAATACACTTTAATAACTACACTTTGACAGGATGGAATGCATGACTATGATATATGTATCACAACAGCGCTTTTTACAAATATATACCACCACCATTTCACTTTAAATCCCAAATTTTATACTGGCAAGGTACCGTCCCTATGCTACAGTCGGACCGTTCTATGATTACACTACACACAGACACTTAATATATACAAAAAAATAATTGTAATTTGTATAGCAATATCGTTCAAAATCGGATGCTACTTCTTGTCAAACTAGAAAGTTAATTTTTTTTAAATGTTTGCTCGTGAATGTGAGGCACCATAGGCGATCCGATCGATATTGCGTCGCTGGAGACAGGTATAGCATAGAAGAGGCTGACACATCGTGCTAAGCGTTAGGAGTACGCTCGCCACCGCACCCCTGATTACCCTGCTCGAATCGCATGCGGGGTAAATTATGTACGAGAGGATCGCTGAACTCCTCGCCGCTGTAGGATGGTTACGTGACCGGTTACGGCTTCCTCCACCATCGAGTTCATGCATCTGAAAACAAATAACTGGCTAACTAATTCAAAGCCCATACCCGATATGGACTGGTAACCGGACGACGAGAGGCCGTGGTTTAATATATGATTAATCCGTAGCATCGGCTTTACTCTTCCCCTGGATAAATATGTAAATCCTATCCTGTAAATGTAAATGCTATATTGAGTTTAGGCTGCATATCACTAACTGTTCTAGCGAGAGAGGTCATTTTCTTTTGCCCGGTCACGTCGGAGACAGTTGAAACTTTACTGCAGGGGGCAATATGAAACGTCTCAACTTGCGCCATATGCCTCAGCCCAGTGATTAGGTCGCTATCCCATGCTTATTGAGTGCAATTAGTCGTAGTGCTGTGCCCGGTTCGGACAGTCGCAGATGATTACGTTATTAATTATTGCCCCAGTCAGTGTTCCCTCTAAGGTGTGCGCGTGTGCGCGCGCACACAGCTTTCAGAGGCTGCGCACATGCATAGATTTACTGCGCACAGACCTATTTCGATGTAATGTAACAATGTTCTCGGTTGGCAGGTTGAGAAAGTTTGTTGTTGGCCCACTCATAACCCGGTTTGAACGCCAAAATTTCTTCATTGATTTTCGCACAAATATTAGTCATTTCCAAAAAAGTGCGCACACACCAAAATTTCTGCGCACACTTACTACAAAAAATTAGAGGGAACATTGGCCCCAGTGCTTATCCACAGTTTTATCATTTTTTCCCAGAGAAAATAATTCAATGAGAAATACAAACGCAGGAGCGGGCGAGGTCCAACTTTAAAAAACAAAATGCTGCAAGCGGTGAAGAAGTTTTAGAATATCAAAAGACCATCAGACGAGGCGGAAAAGAATTTGATATTCCGTATTTGGCCCTCACTAGATGTTATAAAGTACAGGATGAATTCTGATGTTGGACACGTAGGCTACAAGCAAAGCAGACCCGTCTTCACCGCAGAAGGGGAAAAAAGAAAGAGCAAAGTATGCAATCAGAGCAGCCAAATTGTTCTTCGATCTTACACCCTTCGAGAGTAGAGTATGATTTTGCGAGGGCAGTAGAAGCAAATACGAGGGAAGAAGGATACAATATCCCGAGTCCGGTAAAAGTGAGAAGCAGGCTGGCCGCGATTGGTTCTCAGATTTTATGGCGAGAAATAAGAACATTGTTTGCTGTCCAAGATTGATTCCATATTTGTAGCCGGAAAAATGCAGCAACAAGATCAAGGAAAAGAAAAAGAAAGAAGCAATATGGATTACTCAGCAGCTGTTTCGTCAACTCCTGCCAGAGAAGAACCGACAACGGAAACAAGAAATCCTAGACCAAGATCGTTATTTATGAGGACTGAGCTGGACTTGGACTTTACCGGACTAATGCAGATACTTCAGGAAAACAATAACACAAGGGAATATATCAAACATATTAAAGGATTATACGAAAGCCGAAAAGGCACTTGGATAATAACATTTGTAGCTACAGAAAACGAAAACGAAAGTTGTAGAGAAGAGTTTATGAAAGCGACCAGTGGACAAATAAAGACCAAGGACTCTTCAATATTTGTTACCCTGCCCAGAGGAGCTCCAGTTCGCATATCAGTAAAAGAAATACCTCAGGAAACATCGTATCTAAAGGCAACATCAATTATCAACAAACTCGGGTGCGGAAAAGTCAGAAATGCTGTCAGAAATTGGTATAGAGGCACTGACATCTATAACGGATTTACATCGTTTCTGATAGATGATTTCAAAAAAGACCGTTTACCTGATTTTTTGATATTCGACGGAATTAGGTGCAAGACATATTTGCCCCGAGAAATGTATATTCCCACCTGTGGGAGATGCTTGGAAACCGGTCATACCTTCTTTAACTGTGAGAAAGAGGCAGTATGTAGGTACTGCAAGGAAACCGGACATCTGCAAAAGAACTGTATCAAAAGAGCAACGGATTATCCGACGCCATCAAACCCCACCCAAGCATGGACCATACCCAGACAAAAAAGGAATATACAAAAAGATTATATGTCATATTCGCCCCGTAGAACAAGATCCAATATAGCTCGACCAATTCAAAATAACAAGCAATTACAAAACCAAGAAGTAAACAAAGATACGCCAACGGATTCGCATAACAACAATTCGGACCAGCCCAAATTAGTAATCACAACTAATGACCTTACCGAGGCAATTACAGTAGACGAAACAAAAACAGTGTCGGAATTTTCATCAACGACATCTGATCTGGAGAAATTAGAGGAGGTCCATGATTGGTCGGCGTGTGAGGATGCAGGGGAGGCAATTAGCCCGTTAAAAACACCCCCGAGTGGCGTGCGACCGAAAAGACCAAACCAACCAGCCGGACTAAAGAGCACGTCTACAATAGGAAACACTCCTTTCCACCCGAAAGGGAATTCACACGTCAAAGTCATGGTGCAAAACCTTGAATACAACGACTCGACAAGTTCTTCTGTCTTCACCACAACACCACAGGAAATACTCTCGGCCCCAGCCGAACTACAAAGCAACACAACCAACCCACCTCATTTGGATATACTTAATCAAAAACTCGGATATATGGATTATTCAGCTAAACGATCTAGGGAGGATACATCTTCATCGGAAACGTCGCGGTCAATAACGGAGAAGAAGGACAAAAAACCTACGGGAAAAAAGAAAACAAGGTAGTGAGTAAAATATTTCCTATCTCGTCTATTAGTTCAAGAACTGTAACAACTTTTTCGATATACCCGCTGACTCACCATAACAAGTAGTATAGAATTTTGTTTTTTATATAGCCACCAATCATGGCCGAATTAAAAATAATGTCTTTGAATGCCAATGGTGTGCAACACCGATTGAACAATTTAGAAAATTTTCTTAAACAAGAGAAACCAAACGTGTTGTGCGTGCAGGAAGCGCATAGGGTTGATAAGGCTGTTCTATCGCAGTGGGCAAATGATCTTGGCTACGACGTCTACTTTAATACGCTTGATAAAACGGATAAACACTCCACTCCAAGATTCCACCAAGGGACTTTGATTATGGTCACAGCAAATACCTCCACCCTGTCAACGGTATACAATACGCATATCAAACATCGCTGTGACAGCGTCGAACTAGAAATTGACAAAAAAGCAGTAAAGATTTTTAATATCTATGCACCTGCCCAAAACGGTCCCCCAAAAACGGAGTTTTACAGACAGATGACGGAAATACTAGGTCACTATTGCGAGGTAAACCAAATGCTTTTAGTTGGAGATTTTAATAACGTATTAGAAATGATAGACGTCACGAACACCAAAAGCTTCAAGTTAAGACCCCCTGAAAAAATTCTCAACAACTTCGTTCAACGCAATAATATAAAAGACACATTTCGAAGAAAATACCCAGACAAACAAATTTTTACCTTCTTCTTCCAAGCCAACGGACGCAGGATAGACCGAATCTATAATTCCGCAAACATGGATAGCATTATTTCGAGCATAAGCCACGTGCCAAACACCATCTCCGATCACGCACTATGTCCGACAATAATATTAAAACAAACCACAAAAATTAGATGGGGAATGGGGTCCTGGCGAAACAATGTCACATTGTATCATGATAAGACATATATAAATGTCGTTAAGAACACCTACCATGCTGCCACGCTTGACCTGGACAGTTTTGAGTCACTACAGGAATGGTGGGATACAGTAAAAAAGAGAATAAAGAAACAAACTATAGCATACTCTAAGAACCTGGCGAAGTACAAAAGAAACAAAACCATATCAATTCGAGAAACTCTCAATAAACTAATCAATGAAGGCAAAAAAGAAAACGTAAAAACAATTCGTGAACTAAACACGCAACTAAAGGAACTCCAAGAAGAACAGAACAAGCGGGACACTCTGATGGCAAAAATGAAAAACTTGGAAGAAGGTGAGAGACCCACGAGAACTTTTTTTGAAAGAATCAAAAAGAGAGCCAGGCAAACGACAATTACGAAACTTAGGTCAGGCAACCAATCCATGGCGACCAATGAAAAGGAGATCCTAAATGCAGTGGAAAATTTCTATACACAACTATGGGGCAGGGAGAGCGACACACTGGAGCATAAACAAAATCATTATGTATCGCTTATGAGCAGCACCAAGATAACGGGAGACCAGAATCATGAGCTGCAGAGGCCAGTGACTGAAGAAGAGGTATATGATGCAATCCAATATATGCCCAACAACAAATCCCCAGGCCTAGATGGGCTCAGTAAGGAGTTCTACGTTACCTTTTGGGATACGATTAAAACGCTTCTTACTCAGCTCATGAACAGTATACTTAATTTCGGCCAATTACCAAAATCCGCTACTACAGCAAAAGTAAAATTAATCTATAAAAAAAATGACGAAACTGACCTCAAAAACTGGCGTCCCATCACTACGTTAAATACAGACTATAAAATCTTATCCAGAATATTAGTTAAAAGACTTGCACCCATTATGAATAATATCATTAGCCCAACTCAGAAATGTTCACTCCCCCTAAGATCTATGGAAACGGTGCACTATAACACAGATGCAATTGTAAGATACTGCAGAACGAAAAATATCCCGGCAACTCTAGTCATGATAGACAACCTGAAAGCGTTTGATAGGGTGAGCCATAGCTTCATTTTTAAATTACTCAAACAAATTGGTCTTGGGAATAAAATCATAAACGCTATCATAAGTATGTATACTGAAATAAAAAGCCGTGTTGACGTCAATGGCAAACTGACAAATGAAATAGCAATTCGTAGAGGGATACGGCAAGGGTGCCCCTTAAGCATGCTCTTGTATGCACTCAATACCGAACCTTTTGCAAGAGCCGTACAATCCAACAAAAACATACATGGAATTAAACTAGGGACCTTCGAGCATAAAATGGACCAATATGCCGATGATGTTACATTCGCTGTTAGAGACTTGTCATCCATAACGGAAATCTTTAATGAATTACACAAATTTGAATTAGCGACAGGACAAAAAGTGAACGTAGATAAAACAGAAATATTATGCTTGACAAGGACTTCCTATAATTTGATTACTAATTCGGCATATGGAAAATTCATAAAAGATACCACAAAAATACTCGGAGTGCACTTTGGAAACATGGGGATAGAAAAAATTTGGTTGGATATAGAAAACAAGCTGATAAGAGCACTAAATTATATAAAATTACGTCGCCTAACCTGGTATGGGAAACAAATAGTTATGAATTCGATAATAATGTCAGTAATAATCTTCCATGCCAGAGTCAAAATAATCCCTCAAAAAACTCTTAATAAAATTCAAACGGCATGCTTCAAATTTTTATGGTTTCCCGAAAAAATTGAAGCGATCAGCAGGAAAAAACTTCAAACACCATTAAAAGACGGGGGAATGAACATGGTCGACCTTCACGCGAAAGTGAAGGCATGCCGGGTGGAAAGATTGAAAACGATGGTACTCGGAATACCAATAACACAATTCTGGCAATATGAGGCCCTACATGCCTTAGGGTCGAAGATCAGAATTGTAAACAGCGAGTTATACACCAACTACATGCCCCATAGTAATAATGTCCCACCTTACTGGGCAAATATCCTGGACATTTTCAAGAAAATAAAGTTCACGCGAGCCGAATGGGAAGTAGCAAGGCATAAAGACATATATGGAAAACTGAGGACCATAACTCCTAACCATAAACAGGAGGATACAAACTGGCAACAAGTCCACTTACGTTCAAGGGCCCTCAATTCACATTTCACGAACGTTGAGAGAATATGTTCATATAGAATTGCCAGAGAAGGCTATATATTTGGGGACCGTCTGAAAAATATGGGAATCAGGTATAAGGCATCTGGCGCTCTGAAGTTACTTAATTGCAAATTCTGCAAGGCGGTAACAGATAGCGCTAAACACCTGATATACCACTGTAGTAAAATCTCAAATTACATCCTGGCGATCTTACAAGTACTAAGTGACGTGGGTGATAAACGTATCTGTGCGTCAAGAGATGAAATTATGTACAATAAATACAATGGGCCACAACATTTACTCGTGACTAAATCCTTTGTTATACTAAAAAACAACATCATAAAAAAGAAGATCAACTTGGATATAATGAACAAATACTTGAACCCCAACGAAGACAGTATAGTACAAACAACAATAGAAAATCTATTAGAGTACCTCACCTTAAAAGAAACCAAATTTCAAAATTTGCAATTTATGGAGATAACCACAGACTGGAAACAAATCTTAAACGGGTATCTAATGACAGGTAACTCTATGTTTTTCAATCCAAACTTCCAAACTCAACCACCATAAAAGGGAGTTTAAGTCATGTTAATACCATCCACAACTTTCCACGGAAATGATGAATCGGAAGCTTCACGGTGGATGTCAGTCTGTGTGCGTGTTAACGTCCACGCAGGGTGTACAGAAGCCGGGGGTTGCGGAAGTTAAGCTGTGCTAAGCATGGCACTGACGGAAGCCCTGGGCAGACGTCCTGCTATTTGGCACATAGCATGTACTAATGCCCGGGGAGGAAGTCTTTGCCTTGCAATGCATAGCGAATACGGAAGCGGCCTTGCCTGTATGACCGCTGCTTACGCAGTGGCATGTTTATGAAGCGTAATACCGATATGACTCGGATATGACGTGTCTTTATGACACTGATCCGAGACTGGAAAAACTCTGATCCGTAAAAAAGAAAAAAAAAAAAAAAAAAAAAAAAAAAAAAAATAAGAACATATCGATAAGAACAGCCGAATCAACATCTTTAGCACGAGTGTCTGCCTTCAATGAACACAATGTAAGAATATTATTGGACAGCTTGTCTAAGATATGGAATGTCGATGAGACCAGATGTTCCACAGTACAACATCCGAACATAGTGTTGGCAAAGAAGGACACTCGTCATGTAGGTACGGCCACTATCGCCTAAATGTGAACCATGATAAGATAACTGTTTGTTGTGCTGCAACTGCTATTGGAAACAATGTGGCGTCAATGTTTTTATTTCGTGTCCATATATTTGAGCATCGCTCTCTTGTTGTTATTGTTCTTTAAAAAAATTTGCGCACCTTCTGGTAAAACAAATAAAAGTAGCAGTAGGTCAACATCGTCTGTTGCCAAAGATCACTTAACAACTTTTGTGTGTTGTCTGACTAAACGGCGCATGGGACTGTATCGGTAGTATTTGCGAGATAGAGAGAATTGACGGAAAAATAATTCACAAAAACAATCAAACTGGCAAAAATATATCAGCATAATAACGCATTGATCAAAGTTATAATATGTCGTGCTGTTAGCAACTTTTTTGGTCCTGTAGTAACTTCCAACACGAATGCAATGTCGGACCTCAGTGCTATGGCCGTAGATTAAAACTATCCGATTATATGGCAACTGTGAGTATTCGTTTAAATTTAGCATGTCATAAGATATCAAGACATTAGTAAATAAGATATATATATCAATAAAACCATCCCTTTAAGTTGATATAACTTATAAAAGACCTCGATCTCACTGGACGCCTCAGTCATCGACATCATACAAAAACGTATTGCGGCCGTTTATAGAGAAAAAAAAGGTTGTACACCACTTGCTTGCCGGTCGGATATTTTTATACATGACTTGGTCTTCGCATTTCATGAATCTCTGAATATTATATGAACCTATTTCATCAGGGTTTGCGAGGCTGGAATACGGATTACATAAACAGGTGGGTGCTATTTGAGCAAGGTGGTTCTTTCAACGCTGCCGTAACTCAATTCGCAATAAACTCTTTTGTGGAAAAATTAGTGCAAAAATCGATCGCAGCTATTCGAATACCCCGACCCCAAATCGTTATTTTCGTGAGTAGCCGCTCCAAAACCATCTCCCACCTTGAGATGTTCACAAATGATGTAATTTTAAATTAACAATAAATTTGTCAAAGATATTTCATGTCACATGCGGCCGTAATCTAAATTCCTGGCATATATCCAACAAACATTTTTTAATACTTTGTACAACAAATAAAAGCAATAAAGTTTGAGGCTTGGTAAATTTAATAGTTGCGGATATGAAAAGAGCCATAAAAATAAAATCTGTAACAGACTTGAGGCTACTTCTGCTGCCAGGGAGACGAGTCGATAAATATCAGTACAGTGATTAGGCGACATTGTTCAAAAAATCATTTAAAAAAAATAAACCATGATTATCAGAATCTAATTATGTAAAGCTACCAACAAATGAGTGTTTTCAAACAGGCGTGCTTATTGATACTGGTTGTTGTATGAGTTAAAATATCATTCCGGTGCAATCGCCAAGGTTTTACATCTCTTCGACAAAAAATTACAGATTTCCAATTGGCCTACTACCAGAGTTGCACAAAATGGAATAGAAAGTGAAAAATAGAATAGGAATTTTTAAAGACATCAAAATTGTTGATTCCATTGCACAACGAGCTCTATGGGGAAAACGCAGTGAGCAGTATATGTAATCATGATAAATATCATAATGTTTGTTACGGGTTTTATCCTGACTTGAAAAGAAGAACGGCGATTTGGCCTAAATAAAAATATATAAAATGCTTCGTTTCGTGGGTGACGTAGCTTCCGAAATTTCGTCCACATATGCAGTGCCATGTTGGGTTATATTTTTTGTCAAATTCCTTTTTGATGTAAGCAGCTATATCCTTCTCGATGTTGTATTTCTCGAGAGCCTAAACACGGTAAAAAACCTCTGTTATATTATACGAAGGATATATGATACAATTTACACACAAATCGATATCTGGAAGGCACCTAAAGATTTGTATCGCCACGCTGCTGATAATACGCATTTTCAAAATCTCCAGAGTCAGTTAACGTTACTCTTTATCAGAATTACACGCTGATGTTTTCTCATATTGGAAACGCCCCAAATTGGATAAGCAAAACGGTAAGACTAAAAAAATTGACAAAAAAAGTGAAAATTTGTAAAACTTTGGAACAAGCAACATTACATTATAAAATTGTTTTAACCGTCCGTTGACATGAAGTCAATGGTACACTTTATTTACCTGTGTAGCACATTCTACCGCATCCTGTTGCATGTCCTCTGCCATATCGGCATTCTTTACGACGGCTTTTCTATCAGACATGTTCTACGAAAAGTAATAACTTAAATTATTTATTAGTGTTAACCAAAACAGCGACACTTTATGTTCGAACGCTTAAGAATAATAACGTTAAACCAAAAGAACTCGAGAATTTATTTTACTTTGATATCGTACATTATGATTTGACTTCATCTTAAATTGAAAAGAAATGGTTGTTAAAATAGCAAAATCAGGCCCTATTCGTTAAGATAACATCAAATCATGCCCGTCCGCACATCAATGGCTGAAGGATTTTAACTAGTATTATATACGTTCAAAACTTACCTCTGCTTAGTGTACACCACGTGTAGATGATACCTGACGCTATACCACAATCGAAATAATCCCACCAGGAAACGAGAAACGACCAAACTGATACGTTGGGATTATAATACGATTTGATAAAGTCGTCAAATATTATCGTAAAGCAAATAGCGTCCGGTTGCCAAGAGAGAGCTAGTAAACCATTGGCTAAAATTCCAAATTATACGGTTACTCTCCCCTGATTGGATAATATTTACGTATGCGATTAGTCTACAATCAGACTATTTATTGATCAACAAACTCATATAGTTACGGTACTATGCAGACAGTTTATTTGGTCTGAAGGTTACTTAGAATGAATTATTGAGGGATAAATATTGGAACCAGGCTATGCTATACTCTGAAATTCCATATAATGACGAAACAGCCGATGGCGATGTCATCTATGACGTCTCGCTTTCGATGTATTGTAATATCGACAAACTTGTAACATCATTATATTTTTGAGAAATAAAATATTTTAAAAGCTTAAAAGCATCTTTTAAAAGCATTCAAGAAAAGTCTGCATTTTTATGATATTATTATAATGCTATTCCCAGTTTCGAAAGATATATATAACACGAGAGCTACGCACAAATATATGGACACGTTAGACCAGAGCGAATCAGTCTTTACCGGTACCTTTGACGCTACCGGTACCCTCAAAAAAGTTCTGAATTTCCAGTAGCAAGAATTTTGCAGAATCAAAACGTACAGCCAGTCATGACACTGACTAAAATCCGTGTTCCCATGGATAAAAAATAATACAGCAAAATTTTAGACGAAATATCAAATTTCATAGAATTCACGCAAAATTTTGAAATAAATAAAAGTAATAGCCTTCTAGCGAAGAAATTAATCTTTAACCACTGAAAATTTCAAAGCAATTGGTCCAGTATTCGAAGAGAGAAGCGATTTTTTAAAAACGTGTCAAAGAACAACAACAACATAATATTGAAACGATCGTTATGGCCACTAAACGTGTCCAATAATTTCTTCGTCTACAGCTTTATGTATAACCGAGTAAATAATATATCAAACAATTCATTCACAAAATTTTGTAGTTAATTAATCAAAATTTCTGTTAATTGGCTATATTGAAAAAGGAAATTAAATTAGGCAAATTTTTCTGCATACATACCGCCTATGCAATTAGGAATTTTAAAGTGTTAGAACGATAGGACTTTTATATTTACATAAGAGATGAAATGCCAATGGAAATCAATTATATATATGGCTAACCATAGTTTCTTTTACAAATACTTCAATGCTCCGACTCGCGTCAAAAGAAAAGGCATGAGTTTCTCCTTTGTCTAGGAAACGCGTAATGTATAAAACGCCCCTTAAAAAGGATGAAGTCATAACAAGAGACAACGGGTCCAAAAGGGCGTATTCAGGTAAATAAAAATACCATATAAATATATATAGAGAGAGAGAGACTTCACTCAAGTTACTTTTATATATCTTGCTTTGAGTCTTTCACCACTTACTCATAATGTTGTTGTGTATTTCTTGATGTAATCGATTCCACACGATTGATGCTCCATTTACTCAAAAATACATATATCCAGGTCAAATTCGTTTAATACCGCTTTTGAACAAATGTGTAGCTTGTCTGGTATTTTATTAACTTTAAACTCTTATATGTGATTGCCCATCGTGTATATGTTGTTTATGAACACACCTGAAATATGTCAAACGTTTTTCATTCTTGTTTATTGATATTAATATTGGGTGGTAGACGACTCCGATGACTATGTCGCTGCCTCCCCGCCTTTGCCGAGAACTTTTGGCTTTTATTTAATTATGTTTTATGGTGGACAAAATAAACTCTCTCTTTTATCAAGTTTTTTTTTGAATAGCAAATAACAACGCTAGTAATAACCCGAAATAGGCCGTGTTGACGTCAAGGTAGCCCCGAATTCTATTTATGTTTAGTGCATATGTGCCTCGTAATTTTATCAATCCATTTGAATCTACTACAGATCAGAACAGCAGTACCTGCGATTCCGGGTCGCATTCACTGGAACATTAAAATGTGATTGTAGGGCCCCGTTACTTCAATTTACTCGAAGCTTTGCGAATCGTACCGGACACCGACTTCCAGTGCGATGTATATATATATTATTCCTTAGGTAATTGGCTCATTCACACCCATATCCCAGACATACAAATCACGCACAAGCCCTTGGAAATAACATTTTTCTGGGAGATAATTCGATATATCGACAAATAACTAGTTATACTCAAGCTGCTAATCAACGTTAATTAAACTGCGCAATATCAATGTCTAGAATGCGCCACTGAGAAAAGTGTTCACTGTCAGCGGTAAACAATCGCAAACGGGTACAGCTGTAGCGAATAGCGCTTTTTGTATAATATGTACTGTAGTGGCAAAGTCCGAAACGAAACAAGACTTGTGCTTCTACCACATTAATTATCCTTATCAATTTTTTGTAGAGAGCAAACCGACAATGATAAGCACAAATATTCTGCACATGGCGTACACGACCATTCTAAAAACTGACGAGATTTAGGAAACTAATTAAAAAATAGGCCCAAAATGCATCAATATTCCATTGTTTTTAATAAATCAAATAAGGCAACAGACAAATTTATATACAAGTTATGTGTAACATCCTTGTAAAGCCGCATATATCATAAATTGCTCACAACAGTGTGTAAGTAAAACTTGCTGGAGAGATGTATTTGGAACGAAGACAATAATGTCCAGCCAGACAAGACGTGGGCTGAAAGCATCAGCAAAATTTGAGGAAAGAGAAATTATTCAGAGTAGGCCTACATTCATGTTAATCCATACCAGACAAGGCGAGTCGCAAACACAATATCTTTAAGTCGCAATACAAACACACGATGTCGCAAAATCGATCGTTTGCCATCATTTGGAACATGAGCGGTGCACGATTATGCAATACGATCGACATTTTGCAAAACCAATGTCTGTTAAACTAGTAAACTACGAGGAGGTATTACGATGAGTGAGCGAGCGGTAACAAAACCGGCTGACCACAATGCTCGGCAACGCGCCAATAATTAGAAAACAGTTTCTATATGAATTATCACTAATAAGATGCACATAATCAGTAGCAAGGTATATTTTGCAAGGCGCTGGCAGATCACAAGTCAGATCATGCTGGCAAGTCCAACATTTGATGATATAAGAGTATTTAGTTTCAGATTATAAAACTTTACTTTTGTTACTTCTGGCATTTTTATTCGGTCAGGCGAAAGACATGTTGAAAATTAACCTGTGGGCAATCCTTATAAATACACCATAACTATGGTGGATTCCCTTATGCCCGCCAAACCAGACGACCACTGCTAGCAATGAGAGATTAAGTAAACCTCAAAAATTGACAAAAACCAGAACTACAAAAAACGAACGATGCTTATCGGTTTAGAAAGATGATAGAAATATTAAGTCAAACTAGATGTGAAGATCTGCCTCCATCTTTAACAATGAATTGCATTTGAGTAAGGAGGAAAGTTTTTACTTTGCCCACTGAACTAAGACATACTAAGGTATCATGAACGTTACTTCAACACTGTATCATACCATAAAAAAAACTTGCTGTGCACAAGACATAATTTTAGAATATGATAAACAATGAGAAAAGCGCGGGACAAGAATGACCATCCAGCCAAAAGATCTTGTGAGAACAATCGCAAGTAGGAAAATAATGCCATGAAATACCATTACAGGAAAGTGACACTGCACCAAGTTGAAATTCATCTTAGCTGGGGTACAGTGCTGGTATGTTACAACAATACACCTATAAGGTAGATGAGACCTATTACTACTAATAAATAGGGGGAACTCGCAAAATTTTGAAGTCAAAACGAGAGTGAACTGAAAAAATTGCCAAGGTGGAGATTAAACGAACATTCAACAAACAATATCGTAAACCATGAGATATCTGAACTTCAGAAAATATTAATTCAAAGCATATTGAAAGACTAAATTATAAAGTGAGATGCAGTTTAAGGGGGAAGGGCCCAAACCCTTGTTGTAATTGAGAAAATCATTGCCAAATACCAGTCTATATTATGACATGTGTGAAAAATTTGTTAATTACATAAAAAATAACAAGAATTGGAAACACATATTATTATAGGGATACAAGATGGCACGACACAGTAATAAGAGAATGGTAGAAGTGATTGTTTCACAGAAAAAAAAATGATTTTTTTGATTGGGGAGAATTGTCTATATATTTAATTGGTGCACAAGTTAACAAACTACCTTGCTTGGCCAATGAGTATTCATAAACTAATAACTAAAGATGTTTGGGCGAGCCATGACAAAATTTTATTTTTGAAAGCGTGGAAGAGTGCTTAGCCAAGCCATGTACAAGGTAACAAGCTAAGTGGATCATTACAAAACGTTCATTAATCCAGATCTACATCCATATCTTCCTTTACACCAGCCCCAGGTTGTTCAGCAGTTGTTTCATCAGCTGGTTTGTCATTGTTTTCAGGTTGAGCAGCTGCATCAGGAGTTTTTGAATCAGGTTGCGAGTCTTTATTGGCATCTTTGCCATTGCCGTTTTTCTCAGATGGTACCGGAGGTGGGTCCTCCTTAGGTTTGGGCTTCTTCTTATTGATGATCGGGTCGCATACCTTGCTAAGCTCCTGTGAATAGCATTCAAGTCTAACTATGACGTAGGAAATAAAAATCTAATGGTACAACTCGGGGTGTCTCTCAAAACCAGCTTGATATTAATCAAATTCTTTGCTTAAACATCACATATACAACTAAACATATACATACTATTGAAAGACTAATTCAATTTTCTCTTGTTGGAAACAGGAATGATTTCTATCCCAATTGTTAGTATTGATACCAGTACCTGTAAACACTTGGGTCATTTATAAACCAGTTTGGATGACAGAAAGAATTATCTACCAATCACATATATTTAATTCTATTCCAGCAACAAAAGATATTAGTACTATTTTTAAAGGTTAATAAGGTTTCATACGACGAGACAGATAATATATAAGTGGCTTTATTCTGAGTCACAGATATTTAAAATGAATGGCAGTTAAATATAATCTATAAATCATTCGCTACACCCGTAGTAAGTGAACCAAGATGGCAGACACCGGAACGTAGTATGTGTACCAGGTTGGGGTTAGGCCATAATTTTATTCTAATTTTCCTTTCCAAGTGACTCCCGTAGTATTTGTACCTGAAATTACGGCCTAACTCCAACCTGACACACACACCATGTTCCGGCGTCCGTCATCTTGGTTCCCATACTACATGAGTAAATCATTTTATATAATATTCTACAACATACAATTGGGTAAACTCAGCTATATTGAATCAAATTTAATAAAATATTGGGATCATATTATGACGAAATGGTTCATCTCCATTAAGGGCAAAGCAATTTATGCCAGGACCCACCTTAGTCTTAGACTGAATATCAGCTAATGTGACAGCGGGATCTTGATGTTTAGGAAGTTGGGATTGTTGTTGCATTTTGGTGTTGAACCAATCTGATGTTTCCTGATGAATTTTTCCAACCTTTGTGATATCTTCTTCAGAAATATGGTCATATTTTTCATCCTAAACATGAACGTTGGTTAGTGGAACAATAATTAGTACGGAAATTATCACAATAAGACCGCCTGGCATAATAAAGCACCTCTCACTTGGTTATCATTATCATTTCTATTCGTGAATAAAAGACAGCTATAAGGTTTAGATGTATATGGCTGTATAGCTAAATGAGCATATAACAAACAGATAGTCAAATTCAGCAGTTCAATGTGATGGCAAAATCTTCGCCATTCTTTCTCAACCTTTACGAATTACTGTATTCAGACTTTCTCCACTGTGGGTCTGTTTCTAATACTCATAGTTAAATACTGAAACCTCTCAGACAAAATAAACATCACAATATATACGTGATAAAAAATTGAGACACTGATAACTTACAAAATCTTAATAAAAGTTTGAAACAATAACGATAGAATTAGAGAGAGTAAGGTTCAAAAACATGAAAAATTTCATTATTGATATTTCGACTACAAACAGCACTGTGATAGTGGTGAATATAAGAATTAAATTCTTCAAAAATTACCTTTTCATTCCACAGTTGCAAAAACTTAGTAACATGCATGAGTGATTTTCCTAGTTGATCAAACGCAGCAGGTCGATGAGTTGTTTCAACATATCTGAATGCAATAAAAAGTTTTAAATAAAAAAATAATGAAAACAAAATCTAGAAAAATCACCTAGATAAAAAATAAGAGCATGTGGATAAATAGGTGAATACTAATTACCGGCCAATGATCAAATTAAAGAAATATGCTGTAAAAGCTTATCCACAATATTACATCACGTGTCTTGATGATGAAAAAAATGGAAAGTCAGGCTCGACAGCAAACTTTCAATGCTTGATATGAGAACTAATTAGTGTGAGGGTGGTTTACGTAACCGGTGGTCGGTTACGGCTTCCTCAACCATCAAGTCCATGCATCTGACACAAACGCTTGCTTAACTTATCCCATACTCGACATGGACTGGTAACTGGACGAAAGGTCGTGGTTTGCTATATGATCAATCCGTCTTAGCAGCTTTCCCCGGGATAAATAAGTAAATCCTATCCCATTTACCTTCGTACTATCGGATCACCGGTCTTCTTAAGATCTTCTAGCTTTTTCACATAAACACTTTTTGTTTCATTTTCGCCATCTTCATAAAGCCAGTTTTCCGTATTCTCCAGCACCAGTGTAAATGAATTCCTATCCTGTATTTCCAAAATGTATAATTAGGCCTATTTCACCTAGTACTAAGAATATAAATTTTCATTTATTTTTATATGCTGCTAATTAACGCCGTTTGCTCTGAACAAGGCTATGACCCTATGAAAAAGGGGTATGTATGATGAAAATAAAAATTAATCTTACGTCCTCAGAAACGTAGTCAGAGAGTATTTCACATAGTTTCGATCTCATGTCATAGACGTATTCCTCTACTGCATTTCTGCTGTCAGATTTTTCTCGTTCCAACTTGTCATTCATGATAAGTTCATTCTTTAAATAACATGAACAATATGCTATTACTCACTTAAACTTGACATAAACCATATATATATACGAGAAAAAGGTAAATTTCACAAATAAGATTCAAACTGTTGTGCAAGTGTCTTGCTATACAGCAACAGAATTATATATTTGTACTTTCAAAGTCAGACTTCCTCAAACAAGCATATATTGTGTTCATGTACAGAAATACTTTTGAATCACTTAGATATCTTCACTCTCGCCACAGCATCCTTTCATTACGATCGACCAGCGCAAAAGCAGGATAAATAGAATAAAGTAGTTAGTCCCGTATAAACCCAATTTGTTTAGAATATATTTTGTGAACTAAAACCAAATCTTCAAAAAATAGTCTTTCTTAAAATGGACGTCCACGAAATAAGAGTAATTTTGTTTCCAATCGATTCGTAATTAATTTTATTCGATAAATCATAACTTTAGAGATAAATACTTGAACTTGAAAAATTATCATTTTGAGTGATTAAAATGTCAGATAGTAATCTGACCTTCATTTCTGAAAATTTGAATAAACATATACAAAACAATATAAACGCATCTACGTTATCTATCAATCAAACCCACCTCTTTCTCCATCATTAGGTTAAGTTCGTTGACATTGTATTGCATAACTAACGATTGCTCAACTGGTAAATCGATCAATTTCACTTTAGTCTTGGTTTTCTTCTCTACTGGTTTCGCTTTGTCTTCTGCGGGTTTTTCTGCAGAATCATCTGCTTCCACTGTAATAAAAGCACAGCGAAAAATTAAAAAATGCCCGAACCTGCAATTTTGGTTATTGATAATTCCGCTGGTACAAATAATACCTCAGACTACGATCATCGATACACAAGGTTAAAAGGACATAGATGACAAGTCAATGAAATGTAGGGAATTTCCATTCTTAACAGCGACTTCGATACTACCAAATTTTGTGGAATTCTTAATGGGTGGTAAAAGGGTTAATTATTCAGAGCTTGGAACGCGAGCAATATTTTCAATATTTAAGACGAAGCTTGTGTCCCTTATGTCCAAAATACAATCTATAAAGTTAAAAGTTATACATCATTTACCAATTATAGTACTTATTATTAAAAAAAAACATAACTCAATCGTACGAATTCAACTTTAACTTTTAAAATTCAAAATCTTAAATTTCAATTTCTTCAAATAGAGAGTTTCAATAAAATATGGCCAGGCTACATCCCATCTCAAGAATTTTATATCTCATTGTATTCGTCATAAAATATAGGTAATATATTAAATCCAATGCTATAAAACATAACAGGATTTCAGGAGAAAATATTAAAATGACAGTTACTCTTTGTTTCAGTCTTTTCCTCAGCCCCATTCTGCTCCTGTGCTGGAGGTTCCTCTACAATAGGAGTGTCTTCCTTGTTTGCATCGGACTGCTCGGTTTCCATCTTGAAAAAATAAAAAATGGAAAAATCTGGGAACTGAAACTATTTGAGATTTGAAACAAGTCAAAATTTTTTAGCCAAATAGGGTCATTTTCTGTTGTCATGCTTTGTGCCCAATTTCTTTATTCTCAAATATATGGGCCAAACATAAACATCTAAATGAACATACTTTGGGCTCGGAATCTGCTTCACATTTACTTTCTTCACCATTCTGAGAATTAGCTGTATCAGTCTCCATTGGTTCTTCGCCGTTAACTTTTGGTTTTTCTTCAGTTTTCTGCTCTTTTTTCGAGACAGGTGCTTCAACCTGAAAGTAACCGAATAAAACATACATCATAGTAAAAACCACGCGAGTAACATAAATTAGGCGAAGAATTTTATTTAGTATTTAAACTAATTAGTACTCTTTGATAGGAAAAGGTAGACTATTAGAAATATATGGTAAATTTTGTGCTGATACTTACAGGAACCTCAACTTTTTCAACTAGCGATGCATTCGTGACAGTAAAGATACCATGGATATTCACACGAAGTTTAACTTTGACCTTTGCACTTCCACCTTCAGGGGTTGGCACAACATTCTTTATTTTGAAAGCACCTTGAAAACAGAAATGCAAAGTTATACACATGAATGATGAAAAGCATGAATTCAGAGATAGATGAAAAGTACAAAAATGACATACCAAGATGGCGGACACCGGAAGGTAGTATGTGTACTAGTTTAGGGTTAGAACATGACTTTATTCTAACTTTACTTTCGTTACGAGTTCAGGCTAGCCAAGTGACTCACCAAGTATTTGTACCTGAAATTATGGCCTAACCCTAACCTGGTACGCATACTACGTTCCGGTGTTTCCCATCTTGGTTTACATACTACATGAGTACCGAACATTGTTTTGATTGATTTTTATCAATTTTTTTGATTGACCACAGTGTCGAAGTGTAATTTACAACCTACCGAAGTATTCGAATCGTATCCCCTTGTCTTACCTATTTTAGGATCTGGGTATCCAATAAGATTTGGATTCGAATATCTTGCTTCTAAGGAAAACGGTTCTTTTCTATAGAATGTCAGCATTTTTGAAAAAGGAGCAGCATGATGCAGTGGAAATATCTCGGTATCTCTGGAATAAAACAGGAAAATAATAATTAGTTCAGTTGATCAGATAATAGAAATGATTTGAAATCACTTTCTTTAATAAGCAGTAATTTGGATAAATGCCCATTTTTTATTAAACCTGTGAAAACTCCATCAAGTCATGCAATAAACTATTATTGCCTAACAATTTCATTAATGCACAAATTAATGTGAATAAAAAATTTGGTTTCTTCAATTTACCAAATTTTTTAACAACAAAAAAGATTCTAATAAGCACCCTAAAAATACTATGAAACTAAAATAGCATCATATTTGCCCAAACACTCAACTTGACAATATTATTTTTATGAAAGATCTACCTTATTTGATACATGGGCAATGATTTCTTTAAATTTACAAAGAACATTTTATTCAAAATGTTAAGTATTAAAAATAGAAGGAACGACAATTTCTTACGATTCTTCTTCCATCGGTGCACTCCATCGCAGTAAAACTGCATACGGGCATGAGTCTTGGACATTAAAATCACGAACTTTAAATGTCGGCGATAACATTGCACACTGGATAAAAATAGAAAAGGGTTAGGAAGATTTAAAAATGGAAGAATGACATAAGTAGCTTACAATGAAATCCTTTAATGAAACATAAAGATGTTAACCTGTAGGGCACAACCTCTCGACACGGCTTCATCAATATTAAGAGTTGTACTTGGTTCACGTCCGAATACTTTCTGAATGACAGATTTCACAGCTGGAATGCGAGTACTTCCTCCCACAACCTCTATGGCGTAAATGTCATCTTTCTTGAGCCCTGGAAAAACATTCATAATAACATTTTATTTGCCATCTATGTCACATACAATTGAATCAAACGCAAAAAAATGCACTAAAAAAGATATATCTTCACCTATCGGTAATAGTTTTGGTCTATTGGAGTTACAAAAATATAGACTACATTGCCTGGCAGATTTTAAAAGCATTCTACAAGCTATAAAGGACATGATATATAGATAATAAATATAAAACAAGAATTACTTACCAGAGTCAACTAAAACTTTCTGAAGAGTGGGTTCAACTCTCGCTAACAAAGAAGCACTCATCTCCTCAAATTGTTCTCTAAATCAGAAAATGATTATTGAATTAAAAGAAATGAGTTACATCCATGAACCATGGATAAATCAGAAGTAATTTAATATAAAAACAAACATGGTGAAAAACATAATATTGTATTATTGAATAATATTTGTTAGTAATAATCGTATTAAGCCAGGACCAAATGTGCATAGTCATGTTGCCATACCCAACCAATGAATGGCAATGACAGGACTCTCGTAATGCAGAATGATAATTCAGGGGTATTTGTCATTGAGAATGAATGTAAGGACCTCTTGAGACTTGTTAGCTCTCAAATGGGAATTAAATGATGAGCTTTGGCCTTTGATACACAATCATTCAAACAAATATCGACAATTTAGGAACTTTGAATCAAGGCACATTTATTTCAAAATAGCTGGCCAAGCATCGATGTGCTTCTTGTATGGACCACAGTTAACGAAAATAAATTTCTGAATAATTCCATTGAAACGAAAAATTATGGAACAGTTTATTTCAGTTAGAATAGAAATTTCCACGTTTTGAATTTTAATATTCGTTTAAAGTTAACTCCAAAATTGGGCTGATATAAAGGGCAGGGATGGTAAACCCCTGTTTTTTCGGTTACCCACCAAGTCACAAATTATTAAAAAAAACATAGGCCTACTAACATTTTAGTGGTAAAAATTGATAATAAAACTGGCTTCAATTCAAATTAGCAATATGTAAACTACTATAGTATATCAGTATGACACTACTGGCAATAATGTTGTTGCTTGTAACTTGCAGTCCTGATATAATGCTGCATGTGTAAATCTCAAAACTACCTAATACAGATCAGAGATTATAATAAGACTTGATGCCTTAGCAAGTTTCTCAGAGATGAAAACTTTGACTAAATACCTATGACCCACAGTCTTCTTTTTAATACCAAAAATACAAGTTTTGGCCCAGGGATGACCAAAACCGAATTTTTTACTATTTTTGAATACATTCTTAAAAAATATTTTCGAATATGAAATATCGGGGGCCCGTTAATGTGGAAAATTACATAAATCCCTATATCTTCATGTTGATCACATCTGTGTTGGTTTTTACCATTTGAGATTATGCCCGTTCCGATATATTTAATACTCAAAATTTCTAATTTTTAAATAAAAATGTTTTAAATTGTTGGTAAATACAAAGGTTTATGAATTTTAAATGTAATCAATTATTTGATTCGTTTACCACATCCCTGTTTTAACCCATTTATTAAAATTGATTAGTCATCCTTGATACAATGTACATCAAATTTAACAAGGATTGCAAACGTATAAGATTTTTACCTTTTCAGTTTTCCAGTAACATCTTTGTCATTCATTAAACACTCGATGTTAATTCTCAATTCACTAGAGTTTGCTGACATTTGTTTCTTCAGTTTTTCGCATTCCGTTAACAAGCGAATTCCTGCTCGTTTGTTAGTCTTCACATCAAATTTATATTTTTCCTTCACAGAAATAAATAAGAAATAAATTATTAAAATCATAACAAACAGTGGAAAAATTCAATTAATGTCGTCTGATGTAATACATTTATTAATTTTACTCTGACATTATCGAATGGGTAATCATGAAGGCCGATATCATATAAAAACCACCAGAAAAATAACTACCCATAAGCATAGTGGAATAAGGAGATACAGAGTTTAAAACTAGCATTTTTTATTGGTAATGGATTTGGAAGCTAAAAATTCCAGGATTTTAAGGGAATGAACGAAAACAAAATTTACAATAGAAACTTAAAAAGCATTAATTTGACTAGATCTTCCTAACAGATAATCTGAAATGGCGCTCATATGCCGAAGTTTTTGGGGTCAATAATTATTGTTTTCTCAGCTCAAGAGTTAGAATCGAAGTTTTTGAAATCGTTAAGATATAAATTTTTCCAAACCTCACTGCTCTGCATATGGAATTACTTTTAAATTATAATGTTAGTGGAATCAATTAATGTATTAAAATGAGACATTGAATACGGCTACGATTACTAATGTCGCTGCAGAGTAATTATATTTCTTACCTTGAATTCAGCAGCAAAATGATCAAGAATGATTCTATCAAAATTTTGACCCCCGAGTGTGCTGTCAAACGCTGTTGCGAGAACCTATGAAAACACAGAAAAACGCTCAAAAACTGAATAATTAAAATATAATTATTATAAACAACACATAGACTATCAAATTTAAAAATAAAAAAAAACATTAGTATTAGTCACACTATAAAACTTCACAAATTTTACTATTCAAGGGAATTCCAAGAAGCAATAAGATCCTAGAATTCCCTTCAAGTCAACTGCACTTTGAAAATTTGAAAACACTATTAAAGCCCACCTTTAATTTCCCTTTATTGAAAGATACAGCCGCAGTTTGTAAAGCAGAATGCCCCATGTCGACAAAAATTACATTTCTTGGCTTTTCCTCAGGTGCCGGCAAATCTTGCTTGTATATTCCATAAGCCAATGCCGCTAATCATATAAAAAAAATTTTTTTTATATAGGTGAGCACTCTACACTAATTGGCAGCTGTTGTGGGGTTGGTTGCCCTGGACCCAACTATGTTGTTGTCACAGCCTCACAGGTAATAAATAATAAGTCTCAAATAAAACCTCATAACAAAGGATGATTAAATTAAGTAGCAATGTCTAACCAGAAAAATTTCAATTTATGTGGCAATGTCTATCTATTGTCCTAATTGAACAAAACAAAAAATAGTTATATTCTATGTAGAAACAGCAATCGAGTGGGATAATGAATAATCCTATTAAAATATAATTCTAATATAAATTTATAACTTATCAGATAGCCATATTTCTCTAGTTATATTTGAGCTATTCTTACATGCAGTCGTGTCATTGAAAAGTCTCAGAGTATTCAGTCCAGATATTGCAGCGGAATTCAGTATTGCTCTTCTTTCTGCATCAGTGTAATAAGTTGGTACCTGCCAAAATGAAAAAAATAAATTTTTAAAACTTAATTTGCTAACAATTGGCAAATGCAAATCTGTAGGTTGACTGGATTAGATTGGAAAGCATAATCATCATAAAGAAGTTTGCCAAATCTGCGATGATAAATCAGGATAAAAAATCGGTGGCTCCCGAACCATGTGCCACAGGATAAAATTAACTGTTACAAAATAAAAAATTGATTCTTATCTGGCAGAGTTTAGAATTTGACATCAAATTATTAAATATTTTAGAATTACTTGTAGGAAGAGTACGACTGGCTATATGCACAAGATTACGCATCCTGTTTTCAAGTTTCAACTAATCATATTATACTTAAAAGCTGATGAAAAGAATTAGCATAAATCTAGACTCAATTCATATTGGTAATTTGAGATTCAACCATTCCCAGTTGGGTAAGTTTCATGGACATTTCCTAAAACTCCAAACTGAATAGTCCATAAGAATAACATGATCTCTTTCCACAAAATAGCAAGTATATTTGTGAGCTTAATGATAATGATGGATAATGATTATTCACTGTTTATTAAGCCATAGCTTAATATTACCCATCAATCTCGATCGGTAAGCATGTACATTCATCATATCTCGGACCAGAAGCCTATTGGTTTTGGATGAATTATGTCGAATAATTGGCGAGTTATTAATTAATTAGTGATGGGACATGTGGTGTCACTGTGGAGTAAGAGCAAAGGAATCGAAAACTGCAGTTTCTGTTTCTGGGGATCCCCTAACTTTCGATCGATAAGTCTTCGGTCTCCGACCGATATTCTTGTTTAATTATTATTACGTTAGACTATGATCTAAGCAAACTATCTTACAAATATACTTGCTATTTTGTGGAAAGAGATTATGTTATTTTTATTTATCTCCATAATATATTATCTCGTTCAAGCATCCTTGCGACAATTGACACACATGGATTTGAATTAAAAATTAAACAAGAAGAAACGACTGGCATTTCAGTACACAATACCCTAGTACACCCCATAAATAGTCCATGTTCAAATTAAATCATTGATTATTAGTGTTTTAGAGTTAATGGAAAAAGACAGGTTCTAAAACTAATAGATTATGAAGTTTAATAATAAATATACAAACCGATATCACACAATCTTGAACAGGTTTCTTCAGGTTAGTTTCAGCGATTGTTTTTAATTTGGTGAAAAGCATCGACATGATTTGTTCGACCGTGAAAACTTTTTCTGTGCCCATGTACATAACCTGTAAATAAATTGTTCATTGGTACACTTTCAATCAGTAACTCATGTTTCAAATTTTTCATTGATATAATTTGATATACATTACCATTTTTTTACGTTACCATTCTTACATATGTAAAAAATGGTAACATTTTTTTGGCCCAAAGACCAAACACGTAAGAAATTGGCAAAGTATTTATAACTAGATGAATATTATTATAGAGAATGTTTGGATTTAAAAATAACTGGCATAGGCACTATTCGAGCACTGTTAAATAAACAGGATTCAATTCATGATATATTGAATATAGCAGATTCTAATATAATTTCTTAAAATGCATGTGAAATATTGGATTTTGGTCGTTCCTGTTAAAAACAACTCAATAGATATATATATAACTAATTTAATCCTTACTTTGACACCAACTCTATTATTTTCTGCAGGAACTATTTCATATGGCATCCACTGTTTTTCACTTTGTACCAGGGGATCATCGAATGAACGGCCCATGAATCTTTTAAATCCAAGTATTGTATTTTTATAATTGCTGATCATCTGCGTCAAAAAGAATAATATATATTTATTATATATTGATTGGTTTAAATATTTTTTGAAACAAGCATTGCCCAATCTGAAGCATTCATGCCTAACACCCCCGTTCCAGGGATAAATAGAGTTTTGTTTTATTAAACCAAATATTGCAATATCATGCAATCGGAGAACTGTCTTCCAATGCTACTATTGTAAATGTATTCATTATTAACCCCTACCGGTATATCATTGGTAAGGTCTTGGTAATTACTGAGGACAAAAAGAGAAGTAGATTGCTAGACTAGCTATCTGATACAGTATAAAGATTCATTCGGTTACCTGTGATTTTGCAGCACTTCCAATAGCCCTTTCCTTGTCGGTTAGAGAAACAACACATCTGAAATTAATATAAATATAACTTAGGCCTATGATTCTGTTATTTTAATATTATGGAATGAATAAAAGCATAAAGTACTGAAATAGGTGTTGAAAAAACAAAACGGATAAAAGTCTGAAAGTGGAGTGAAACATGGTCAGATCAAAATATGAAGATGGAGGTTCGCAACTAGGGGCCTGTGGCCCCCGTGGGGTGTTGGAGGGCCAAAATCCTAGGCGCAAAACTGATTTTACTTTTCACTTGTCAAAAGGCCAAGAATATCTAAATGAATATTAAAATTAAACGCAATAATGTATGAATTCCAGTACAGCAGTACCATACAGCCAAAGTCTATGAATCACAATTCACAAAAATTATATTCAACTTCGTTATAACTTGTAAATACCGTACTCACGGTGTATTTCTGTCACTATATTCATTAGCAACTGTCTCAATTCCTCCTTGACGAGCCAGAGCAATGAAGCAGGAAAGATTTCCAACGTCGAATCCAACGACCGACATCTTCAAATCTCGAGACAAATAATACCGATATTCCTGTACTGGTATTCAGTTATCTCAAAAATGTTGCCTTGTCCAGTTAGTGGATTGTGTCACAGTTGGAACAATGAAATTCGAAATGAATCGAACCCTCAGTACTTACTAGAGCAGAGTCAATGTTTTTCTAGAAAGAAGAAACCCAAAAATGTCCAGAACAAACGTGAACAACACACTTCCCGAAAAAACTCTTCCAGAAATTTCCACGCGAGAGATACAGGCACGATCGATTACGCAAGATTCAGCATTGATGTGGTGGCCAGAGATTTTTATTTTTTCGGTATCATTTTGGTAGGGGATGTTTTTCTGAGTTTTCTAATTACGTTTTTTTTTTCGATTTCAGAAAAGATTTAAAAAAAATTCTGAATGCTGATTCAAATTATTTTTCACAAATATTGGAACATTTTTTTTTAGTTTTTCAAGTAAACTCTGGACACTACTTCGGATGATTTCTATGTCCTCCGCCATCCAAGCATAAAAACTAAAGAAATATTCGAATGTTGAATTTAATAGCCATCTTGTGAGGTTGCTCCAATAGTTTTTTGGAGGGAGCAAATAAATTAAGCTATGAAGTAGGAAATGGGATAGCGGTTGTAAGGAAAGTGAGGAAAATATATACGTGATCTTCAGTGACTGATTAATCTGATGCCCTTTGTATTTAGGTTTAATGAATTTTTGTGACCGTTAGTACGTTCACATATATATACTGTCTATAGAGGACTTGCACGGGTCACGTGACTTTGTTTACTGGACGGCAAAAAAACAAAAACGTCCAGCTGGCTCCTGTCAGTTGCAAGTCGGATTATACGTTTCCGTTTTGTTTGGCTGTTGAAATTGGTTATTACTTATCGATCTTAAGATCGGTAAGTATTTGTCTGTTTGTCTGTTAGATGCACGCAATATCTCTCGAAAGCGAGTTCAATATGCCCCAAATTTTGCATGTGCATTCACCATAGCTCGGACCAAAAGCCTATTGATTTTGGATGAATTATGTCGTATACTTAGTGAGTTAATAATTGATTGGTGATGGGACACGCGGTGTCACTATAGAGTCAGAGTGAATGAATGGGGGATCCCCTAACTCTCATCGTTATTTCCTATTGTTTCGTTGGCTGTACGTATAGTATAATAGACCAGGGTGATCCAAATCCTATCCTATCCTAAATTTCTTACACAAGTCAAGTCTGCAGGTAGGCCGACCAATAACAGTAGTTTGTCATCTGATTTTCATTAAAATGAGGGAGCTTATGAATATTTGAAGAAATTGATAACGGCACATTATCACTCACCATCAACGAAGTGCTGTCCGCAAACAGTGAAACACAAGCGAGATGACTTCTGGACTTGACACCAAGCAGTCCTGCCAATAGATGATATCCACATTGCGCGACGTTCCGGATCTTTTGAAAACAGTGGAATATAACTAAGATCCATTTCGTTGTCTATGCTCTATACCAGGGATGGCGAACCACAAAGTGACCCACCGCGTTTTATTCGTGACCCGCCAAGGCACGAATAAAATAAGAAAAATGCTAACATATCAGTGATAAAAAATATTGAAATCGGCCTTAAATTAATCTAACAATACCTAAACTATTATAATGTACCGTCAGTTGGGTAGTCAGGGCTGCGATCGCCTATATTCAAATTGTTAATTTCCGATATGATAATATTCAAAACCCCTAATCTTGAACGCATGTCTGCACCGTTGTGTGCCGTTATTCAGCTATTGGCTCTGACATCGTTTATGACATAACAATCCAACTGATGTTCATTTCTTGCAACGTCTTGTCTCTTCAGAAGTGCATCTGCAGACTGTTTTAGGGGTTATACGAGAACTAGATGCCACTTTATAATTTCTCGTGACCCAAGCATTTGGTAAACATGTAATTACTTGTCGATTTTGAGACTATTATTGATACTAGCAATTTTCTTGCACAAAATTATATGAAACTTAGCACACAAAATCGTGAATAATAGCGTTTATTATGACAAATGCGAATTATTAGTTTTGTGTTTTGAACACAACATATTCGAGGTTTAATTTGGGAGACAGCAACTCTAAGATCTTCTTCTACTTTTAGCCTTGATCTGTATTTGTTTTTTATGTGTGAAAACGCAGAAAAAGTATTTTCACATGAGTAGGTAGTTCCGAATGGCAACAGAACATTCATTGCATCAGCTGATAACTCCGAATATTCTTTTGCAACTGAAATCCAAAATTAAGCCAAACTTCTTTTGCCATCAAATGCAATCTTCAACCCGCGATCCATTGACAAGTCATCCAATGCTTCAATCAAATCTGATGATAGATGTTGTATATTTGATACTGTGAAAGGTGATAATATCCAGTCGTGTTGCTGTGGTGTTGTGTTTCCGGGAAAATATTTATTAAAACACTGCGAAAGATCATGAAGATGACTGATTATGGATTGTTTCACAACGTTTTGACTGAACTCGTCTTTTACGAGAAAATGGACATTGGCCAATCAGCAAAATGCCAAATGTGACGTAACAATGCTTCCTTTTCGCATCCGCTCAGCACTTTTCTCACTCCGACAGATTTTCAGGCGTGATCGTAAACATTACCTCGTTTTCGCGTTTTTGAACTCCATTCGTTAGTTTTAGTATCAGATAATTCAATGATCACTCTGTCTTCTCAGAAGTTTTTATTTAATGGCAGTAATAAAAAATTAGTGTAGAAATAGCTGTGATAGACTGGGCTAAAAACTTTTTAGCGGTCTTTTTGAAAAACAGATTGCTGTATGCGATGAATCATAATGATGGTTTGAAACATTAACTCATTTTACGGGCGCCAACTCGCAAAACCACTCTTAAAATAAGCCCCGAAAATTTTGCAATGGTAAGGCACAGGAAGAATTTTTCGGGGTTCAAAGGTCGGGGAATGGGTCATACCCGGGGAAACATCCATAATTATAATCAGAGATTTATAAAGTAATTATACATAAATACGTTACACATACGCGATGCTCATATTTATGGCAAATTTAACTTGTTTTGCGACCCAGAGCGGAGGGTTTCGCGACCCAAACTTGGGTCGCGACCCCGTATTTGCAGATCCCTGCCCTATACTGACAACACGTTAGTTTTAGTGTCTCAAAATAAAAAAAATTGCCACTCCGGAACGCAACGGAAACTGCAATATCGTTCATTTATAGAAATATCCACATCTTTGTCGTACAACCGTAGTAGTATATATTTACGGTACAACTTATAACAAAATCGATATTGACTAAAACTGTGAATTCCTTTCCTGGCGTTGTAATGTCATCGGTATTTAATCTGGTGACTAGTGTATAGTAACCAGAAAAACTAGCGTCATGGTTTGAAGCAAGGGACACAAATGCTATTTATAAGTCAAAAATTGCCGGCACAGGCCTCGTAAAAGACATACAGACTTTAAAAAAATAATTCAGTCAACAAACAATTCCAAAGCTCAATTTGAACCGACAGTTTACGCGAATATATATGGGGTTGATAAATGCTACGCGAGAAGGAGCTTATCCAACCAAATAAATAACAGTAGGGGCGGTAAGTTTTTGTTCATATATATATAGTGCATAAACTTTATTAAAAAACGTTGACACGCCCGAAATGATTTCATTTGCAATTTGACGATAAAGAACTTTCACGCAACCTGTTTGCACTATGGCTCTTAGTAGAACCCCGTCAACAAAAATACAAGGATCTCGCGCATCTGTAATTCGGTCTTCATAATAAAATGTTCTAAACGCATCTTTCATAAACATTGATGTTTTTGCTTGATGAACTGCCCTATTTGAGCATATAAAATATACATATTTTTTTAAATTCTTGTAATATTTCAATAATGAATGAGAGCAAGGGCACTTCACGACCGGGGGGGGATCGCATGTTGGTACACTGGCTCAGAGGCCTTCAAGGCATCGAGGCATGGTAATTAATTACCACCCCTCAAGGCTCTCACAGCTATAAATCGAGAGTTTGTCGTCTTCATTTTGTCGCTTGGTGTTGGGAACTTCAAGATTGACGGCGGTTGCCCATTTATCTTTGCTGGAGGAGGGTCCTGAGAAATGCAGCAAAGCAGGTTCTAATGTGACGGGCGCTTCAATGTCAATATCGCCATGAACTATCATAGTCTGGGAAGGCATTTCAGCAGGTGTTGGCGGTCGATGTCCTGACATAGTCCCTCCAAGAATCTTTGCAACATCGTTCGTTAGGTTTCTAAGTGACAAGCTTCCTGTAGATCGACTGATGCCTGTTTTGGGCCTTCCTCTTGATTTGCGTGGCCTGTATTTCTTTTCATTCTCATTAGTGAACGAAGAAAGGGGAGGGTCTATGGGAGGAAATGTCATATCTTGTGCTACTCGAGTCAGTGGCAGTGGTGCAGGCTTTTTAAAAATTATGTGACTGTTCTCGAGACTCTCTGGGACATTAAAAAGTTGTACGCTTTCACTGCTGCTGATGTTCTTTATAAGCTTATTTTCCAAGAAAACTAAGCTTTCATTCGAACTCGTCGAACCATCGTTAACATTGAGATTAATAGGTTGGACTCGATTTCTTCCACTGAATGATTCACAACACATGTACGGAAATCCAGCGTTGCGACGCCAAATAAACCAAGATGCATGTAGCAAAATCAGTATGGTGGCTGATGCGAGAAGCAATATACTGTGGATGATTAGAAATGACTGAATTACGCTATCACATCCTCTGTCATAAATTTGAGTTTGAATTATATCAAACGTGTAATCGTTTTCAAATGAGATTGGGACCGAAGTGTACACACCAGGATTTGCAGTAGATATAGGAGCAGCAGTAGAAGGAATATCATCAAAAACGTGTATTGGAGATTTTGAGCAATCTGAAGAGTTTATACAGCACGACTGTGGTGTTCTGTTGTAGATGATTCCATTATCCTCATCTACTTCAATCCAATCTTTTGGAGAATTGGCGCCACAGCATTGAAACATACTCTAAATAGAAAAAAAAGTGAAAAATTTGCTATCAACGAGTATGTTTAGCAGTGTTCAACTGATTTCTATTCCATACGTGGCAAATATTTACCTCTACTGTATCATCGTAACAGGATATGATATTTCCCATTACTGTTCATTCCTATTCAAGGGACACAGCAAAGATAAACAATTTGAGCAAGTATTATGTAATCACTCGATTTCCATAAATTTGTTCCTAATTCTCGATCTCAATTACTTGGTGATCTAGGAGCTCACATGGGAAATTGTAATGAGACAACAGTTGTTGACTGACCTGGTATATGTCCATGGGATAAATACTTGTTGATTCTGTGCTTCCAGTGATTACAGAAGACATCGCGGATGACATGTGACTTGCCAGTGGACCGTTAACAGACAGTGTCATTCCACCCAAAACAAGACAGATCACAATGGAAATTCTCAGAAAAATGACAAAGTATACTGACGTTTTCGGTTCCGCCAGTGTATCTGGAGAACCATCGAGTAGGATTCGCTGTCTATGAACTCGTATTGCCCCACAGATTCCGATGACCTGTATGTCAAACACGGCATCAGATCGTAAATAAGTATTAGAATCATTAGATTTTTAGTTACTGTGGGCGAGATTTGTTTATATACTTACCAAAATGGTCTCTTGCACAATGGAATAAACAACAAGAAAGATCGACGAAGCATCGCCGACGTTCAAGCGAATAGACGATATGTTCAAAGTGACATCGGAACGTTTGAATATTCCATCAAATTCATCTCGACCAATTACATCATATTCAATCAGCTGGCTAATAATTTCCCAAGCCAGCAAGATGCTCCATAAAATGGCGCATGTAAGCAGGTTCAAAAGGTACACGAAGAAAGATATCTGCGACAAATGGATGTATGTTATCAGTACAAGTGCTGAAGTTGCATAGATACTTCTTTTCCTACTGTATTCGTATGAGGCTTACCTTCTCTGACCTTGTCTGTCCAGTACGGATATTCATTGAATTTTCAATAGCAAATCATAAACGTATGGTTTTGACAATAACAAATCTAATTTTGTTGATATTTTTTGTAGAATTATTTTCGATGCATTGTGACGTCACAATTGTGTTGAACCATATCTCTAGTATTTTGCATGGTGTTTCATTCCAGAGTTTTTATTCAAGCTATTTGTAAGAGATAACGTTTGGGCATAGGATGGAATCAATTTGATGACGTCATCTGTGTTACAGTGTATACGAAGAAAATATAGGATTACGTGTTTCCGTGTCAAACAAAATGTACTCGAGACGCAGAAAATACTTTCGGACATTCAGTATCTTCCATACGTCGACGGCGTGGCAATGGTTTTACTGATTCAGATTTCGTTGTAAATTTGGGAAAATGGATTTTATATCCACAAAAAGCCAGCTAAGTTGTTGAATTAGGTTGCTTATTGATCAAATGTGGTCTTCTTCTGCTCAAATAGGTGCTTTTCTCAAACCAATGCCATGTCTTTAAATTTACAATATTTGGCTTCCACCAAAATTTTGGGTTGGCTACGCCTTTGTACGTTACATTATGTGGCAATAAACAAATAACGAATCACGAAAATGAGTATCCATCACATCTAAATTTCGTAAACAGTTAGGGGCATTACAAGACCAGCTTACTGTTGGTTGCGAGATTTAAAGCTTTCAGTATTAGCTATAGCAAAACCGTTCAATAAGTTGCTCTAATAAAACTTTTTCATGCAAAATTACGTTTACGGGAGTAATCGTAATCGCATTTTTTATTTTCCATATAATCGTACCGCGACGATTCTCGAAAATCAAATTCGCCCAGTGAATTTCCATACCGATGCAAAACGCATGTGAATCTAAAATCTACACGAATGTCGAAGCGGAATTTTTACGGATAGCATTATCATTCCTTTTCTCAATTAAACAAGTAAAATACATTTTAATTATTTTATTTTGATTTTCACAAATTAATATTCTCATAGTTTACGGTAAACATAGACTATCGCCATCATTTTATCTCCAGTTTCTCGGCAATTTGTTTTATAGTGCTGCATTGCTTTAACATCTATCTTTTCAATTTCTCCCGATTTCACTAATTGTTCGACGGAACGTGCAACTTTTTCTCTGTACTCCTTTTCTTTCTCTGTATCACGAGTGTTCCAAACGGCAACGCCTCCAGGCTTTAGAACTTGAATAAGTGGCTGAAAGAATGGAAACTTTATTGAGAATAATAGGAATATCGACGAATTTAAATATATATATATACAACTTTGCAAAGCAATTACACAATTTGTACTGGACTAGACTACGTTTCTTCCTCAAAGTTTATTCTGTGTGTCTAAGCCTAAGGCATTCGTCATGCCCTGGGCATGCTTTTTAAAAACTCTTACCGCCAACACATTCCAAACCATGAAAAAAGACCCCGTGATGTTATGAACTGATCAAGTGTATTTGGGCTGTAGACTGTCGATCGCCACGTCTCCACGGCTCACAAGTTTTTCTCAGCATATATATATATGTCTTGTGCCTCGAAGACGATGGTAATTAATAAAGCATGATATTTAAAATATGCCCGGTTGGATTGATTACTTTGAGATCATTATCTGTTGAAAAAGTCGGCTCTTCAAACGAGTGGCGTATTTGAGCGATTGTTTCAGAAGCCGTTTCGCAGGGATTTCGAGGCGATGAATATTTTTATCATGTAGATTTTATAGCAGATCTTGAGATGTTTTAACGACGTTTTGGAAGATCGCAAAAACAGGTATCTAAACTAACTGCGCGGGCCACTTCCACATAAGGAAACTCATTGCGGGCCACGAACATATATATATATAATTATATATTAGATAACAGTTCTTATTAACGTTAAAATCAAACGATTGGATTGCAGTATTGCACGGAGCTATTGCGAATTTCTGAACTCAATATGCACGTTTCAGAAGTTTTGTTTAGAGCAAAAAATACTAAAAAGCCAGTAGCAAAGATATTGTACTGTACACTTTTAATTTTAATAATCATATTGAATGAAATTTTGGTTGCGAATTTATTCCTATATTTTTCCTCGACCAATGACCGCACAATAGCTTTCGATTTTATTGAGCCAAACTCTCGGTCCTTCGAAAAATAAAAAAAAACATCGATGTCGACCAGCGCGCAAGATTTGGTGCATATGATAACGAGAACCGATATTGGGATGTAGATGGCCGGAACAAACAAATCAAAATCACGAACCACACCTTGCCCTATATAAAATGTGAAAGATAAATGTTGAAGATTACTGATATAAACTCGTGATCATTCTCTACTACTATATACTGTTTCCCATCAAATTGTTCAAAATTTCACGGACGCTAATAAATGATGAAAGAAAAATGTTTCGCGCTTTTCTGCGCTCTTCGCGCTCTATTCAGTAAGTAGTAAGACCGCGAGGCGACTGTTTCAAAAGCCGTAGCCGTTCAGAATCCTAAATTTGAAACCCCCATTCTGAAAATTCTGGCTGTACCCTGCTTACGATTAACAATAAGGCAGGCAGGCCTTAGATCTGAATTGTATGATTCGAATAAATAAATGATGAAACATTTACTCAGAGTACAATTACATAATCAAATTAACAAATTGTCTTTAAGAATTCTTTAAGAGCTCATTGGCAGAGGTGGAATTTTTGGCGCTCCCGTAGTGTGTGCAACAAGTTGGTGGACACCGGAACGTAGTATGTGTACCAGGTTAAAGTTAGGACATAATTTTATTCTAATTTTTTTTGTTTTAGTTCTATTTCGAGTTCGGGGACTAGCCAAATGACTCCCGTAGTATTTGCACTTGAAATTATGGCGTAACCAGGTACACATTCTACGTTCCGGTGTCCGCCATCTTGGTTCACATACTATAGGACAGTGGTTCTTAAACTGGGGGGCGCGCCCCCCTAGGGGGGCGCGAGATGCTCACATGGGGGGCGCAAGAGGTCACAAGATGGAATCGGAAATTTACATGTAACGGCTCCTGAAACGGTCTCCGCGTTCATTAAAAATACCGGCTTTTTCGTGGTATAATAATTTTTTCCGTCTCGTAATAACTAAAAAAATTCAAAATGTCTCTCTATTTTAATTCATTTGTGTTCAAGGTAACTTGCGGTTGCGGCGACTCATGTCAAGATAAACTCATTACCGATCTAAAATACCACGCCAATCCGCGGACATATCAAAGTGTGATCAACTGCCCGATTATATTTCGTTTTGATATATATTGCACTGATGCGAATTCGTTGACTTCATTAGAAAAATCTGGTATAATATCCCAGAAAGTATACTTAATTTAGTACAATTAAAATACATATTCATCGACTCGAAATCCCCGCGGTACGAATCCTGAGTCTGTCCTCGACATTACGCCAGTCCTTATAAGAGCCCACCCAACTTTGTCAACGGATATGTAATGGTTTTCGTGTTGAATAAAATATTCATTTAAAATGGTTGCTTTATTCATTTGATTGTGATAAATTAAATCTTGCGATTGCGTCGATAAAATAAAAGCACCACTACTTCAAAATACCACGGTAATCCGCAACCATAAAAATGTGTGGCAAAGTGCCCGATTACATTTTGTTTTGATTTGTATTCTTGCCAATGTCACCATTATGAGGTGTCCCTGCAACTCTTACTCCGCTTTATCGCAATGCTCGATTAATTCCTTAGTCTACGATAAAATCCCACGGAGTAAAATTTATTTCAAGTCGGTAGTTTTAGAACACTACTGGTGTGCCGCAGGCACAAGGAATTCATGAGATTTGCAATGTCTAAGAAAGTGTTTTTAATCTGTCGCGGTCCACCCCAAAACAAAACTCATGGTGTTTTCAGTTTTATTTTTAGTATTTTATAATCTCGCTTCTACAATAAAGAAATATTTGGTTGCAGATTCACTACTTTATTCTATCTTTAGCATCTCGTCGCTGATGATTATATAATAAAAACTAACTCGTTTTCCTCAGAGATGTCATGGTTCTATTCGAAAATAAAAAAAGTAATTATAATCGTCTTCGCGACACAAGAATATTTCGATGGAAATTTCTGATTTAGGGAGAAAAATCACCAAAATCAAGATTTTTACGGCATAGCGGGCCACGCTTACGAAAACAATCGAGATTTAAACAAAATGCTATCGCAAACCCCTTAGCGACTTTATTTTTCAGTGGTCAAGGGCCGAGGAAACGTCCACATTCATAATAACTATTAAAAAATGAACTGCTTTTAAATTTACATAAATTCATTTGTACTTCTCCATTTTGTTTGAAACGTTAGGCAAGCCAAGAAGTCTGTAATTGTTGCTTATTTTTAACACACAGTAAATAATTTTGGCATCGCTCAATAGTGATGAAGTAAACAATTGATTGAAATTTTAAGTTCTTATGTAAACGTTTAAGCAGAAAATACATTAAAGCATAGGTTCATTGCGTGTTTAGTTTTACTTAAAAATTAGTTTGTCTTTACCAGGTATTACAAACTGAGGGGAAATACGAGAATGTATGATGACCAACCATTATTTGGCTTTATACATACGACAGTGAATGGCAAAGTTGTACTCCGAGGCGTTTTATGCCTAAACAATCTGAGCAATGACGATATGAGACCAACACTCTTATAGTGCCATCTTATTAAATAGCAACCTGCCCATCACAAAAGCATTTTTTCAAAGCAAAAATAGGGGGGGCGCGAAGTTTGTAAATATTTTCAAAGGGGGGCGCGGCTCAAAAAGTTTAAGAACCACTGCTATAGGAGTACCGAATTTTTTGTATGCATGTGTGCAGTTATCTGCATATTCAGTTTTCGTGTATGACCTTATTGCCGATCAGTCCATCGCGAGCTATTTTGAAGAGTTTAGTCGATCGCGGTCGAAAGCAGGTAGGCAACCCCTGAACTATAAAATCTCACCGCAACACATTCAGCCTCCATGTGCCCGTGAAGCATTGATCCAGCACATACGACGCCATCATAAAGTCCGTGTTCTAGAGGAATTTCTTTGTCTGGAAATACTCCCATTTCTACATGGTTTCTAAAACAAGATTTAATGATGACGTTGTTTTGCCAAACAATTTTTAATTTTGCTCTACCTACCTGTATATGTTTTTGGATCTGGCAACTTCTAGCATAGCGCCGTTGATTTCTAGTGCGTCCATGATTCCTTTATACCCGACATTTTTCAATAGTTCGCCACATTTTACAGTACCTATCATGGAAAATTAACAAGCCCGTAAACACATACTTTTTTTTACTATTTTGTTTTTGTTTAAAACAAATGTAAACTATCACATATAATGATGAAAAGCAACTCCAGGTAATAGGATGCGGAAACATTTACAAAGGCCTACCGGCACCGACGTCTAATATTGTAGTGGTTTCTGTATTTTTTGAATGTTTCAACAATTCCCTAACCAGATTTTCTGGTGTTTGGTATCCGAGTGTATCTAGTTCTTCATCATATTTTTTAGCCCATTCCGTGTAACTCTGCGCCAAATAAAATAAAATATTTTAATTTGATATTCCAATGCACCTCAAAATCGAAAATATGCCATGATGAAAAGACTTCGTAGTATGTGAACCAAGATGGCGGACACCTGAACGTAGTATGTGTGCCAGGTTAGGGTTAGGTCATAATTTCAGGTACATTTACTACAGGAATCACTTGGCCAGTCCCCGAACTCATAATGGAACTAAAATAAAGAAAATTGAAATCAAAGTTACAATACTTATGCAAGATTCAATAACTTTGACCTATTCAGCTGCGGATAGGACCATACAGCACATAGCAGACCAAACCAGAATTAACCATATCACTTATACAATCTCATCGTGTGACTAAATTTTGACGCAAAAAGTTTTCGGAGAAATTCTATTATATAGGAATATCTAATACTAACATCCTTACATCGTTTACTTCCTTTTTTGTTTCTCCATATGCAACTTTAGAAACAGAATCCCATGCTTTGGCTATGTCCGACATTCTGAACCTAAGATTTCAAGATCTATACTGTATTACAAAATACTGTAAGCTTTAACAACCTCTCATTTTGTATGCGAACGTCCAGGAAATATTGCGAATAGACTTCGATAATACTTCTGTCACAGTTCTTCGCCAAGGGCGACTAATATTTTTTTTAAATCAATAATAACATCTCAAGAACAATCCCAAGTGCAAAAATGATTGTGAATCACAAGCTAATATATCATTCTCTTCAGACAAATGAACATTACACGTGATATGATTAAGTTGGGTATATTAGGATACATTTGCATACTCTGAGTCACATTCAACTGCCAAGGTAGGAAATCAGGCGTTCTATTTATTCATTCATTATTCTAATCTAAACTGTTATTGAACTCCTCACCTGCCTACACTATTGAATTATTTTATGATATAAAATAACATTAGATATTGTATTACATCGCGAAGCCTCCTGTCTTTTCCAGAATGTACATCCTCAATTGTATAGTCACCTATTTTAAGGCACTAATATGTCTGGAAATGTATACTACATCGATTGAGTAAGCTATAAACAGGAGTCGTAAGGTTACAGTTTGTTTACGCTAGCCACACAAAAGAACTACTGCAGAATGACGCAGTATCTAAAGTAAACAGTTCCGGTAGATTGTTTCAGGAGGGCGGAGAATTGATGGTTCACTTCATTCCTCGTTTCGTACTGCATTGTCTTTTTATAATCAGTTTATAGCTTCATAAGGACATTGTTGTGAAATACTTTGGAAGTGGTATCGTTTCTATTACCTATTTTTTTTTAAATTCATATACCGACCGAATAGTGATCAAACTGTGTGGAATTGTTTCGAAATTCAAATGTCGTCAAGATTCTATTGTTATCGGAATTCATGTGCAAAACAGCATGCAAATTTCAAGACACCTTCGCATTTCCATTTCAAAGAGGACGCTCTTTTATCTCGCCATTTTTACAACGAAATTCTTTAAATATTGCAAAACACTTCGCCCCGTAGAGAACTAAATGCGTATTAAAAATTGATGTTTAAAATGACTAAAGCCATTTAAATTTGATTAATATCGAGATAGCTTTTGTTTACGTTCGTACGCATAGTGTTTGATTCGTGCAATCCTTCAATTCCCTAATGGGTACCCCATATTCCAATTGCTGATAAAACACTTCATTTGTAAAATAAAATAATAGTTTATTTCAATAATTTACGTATGTATGCGTTTACATATAGAGGATAATTTAGGCTAATTGTAAAGGGAAAGAATCATAATTTGCGATAAACATAAACAATTGCCATCAGCTTATCTCCAACTTCCCGGAAATCCGCTGCATAATGCTGCATCAGTTTTTCTTCGATTCTTTCGATTTCTCCCGTTTTAACAAGTTCGTCTATTGTCTTTCCCAATCGATCTCTATATTCTTTTTCATGATCTGTTTGTCGGGTGTTCCACACAGCATATCCACCGGGTTTCAACGCGCGAACTAAAGGCTGTTGACAAAGTACATTAAAAATGAAATTTAACACTCGTCGATACCGCTTTTTAAACACTCGTTGACACCGCATTTTATCACTGACAAGATTATGAAGCAAAGAAAATATCACAACTAAGCTCAAATTTAGGTTTCAGTTGTTAATTTCTTCGGGAAAAAATTGACTTCGATTTTAATTTGATAATGCCGATTTTAATTATTGCCGATACTGTGATCTCATAATTGCCACTACAAAAACTTTGCCATTGATCAAGGACCCAATTTAGGGAGTCTGGGAAATTGTATCGAATATCAACTCTGACTTCGAATCACTGGTTTCAATAATTTATAATAGCATGCATGTGAATCATTAAAAATGCTTGCTCCCGTAGTATGCGCACCAAGATGACGGACACTGGAACTTAGTATGTTTACCAGGTTAGGGTTAGAACATAATTTTTCCTAATTTTCTTCATTTTAGTTCTATTAAGAGTTTGTAGCCAAGTGACTCCTGTGGTATTTGCACCTGGAATTATGGCCTAACCCTAACCTGGTACACATACTACATGAGTATCAAATGTTTTTCCTATTTACACGAGTAGCATTATGAGGCACGCTCATTCAAAGGGTATAAATATAATAGACATCAGCATCATAATGACTAATGAGAAAAATACTGTTTGGATCATACTGATACGTCAAGCTTTAGATTCTAAATCACACGCTTCCATTCATAGACTTATCAAATCCAATAATATACCAATTACCGCAATACATTCAGGTTCCATGTGGCCACTCAACATTGTTCCCGCACAAATTACTCCATCGTACAGGCCGTACTCAAGAGGAATTGGTTTGTCAGGAAAAACGCCAATCTCATAATGTCCCCTGTTAAGAGCGAGAGGATAACTCAAGACTCACGAATTCGGCAAGAAAGCCATTTGATGATTAGCAAATGTTGTAAAAGTAAACAAAGAAGTGGATTTTTGGGAAAACATCCATTGGATGACTATTAAATTATTTTTTGAAATCCTAAATGCATCATTGTTAGGTGCATATATGGGACACTGCTTGCAGCCAATAGTAGTAAGCACATAGTGAAAATTTGTCAAATGTAATCACTTCAGGAGCCTATCTACCTCATATTTTGATTTAACCATGTCTTATCTGAAAATTTTGCATTAGGAAGAGATATACCACTCACCTATATATGGATTTGGATCTTGCAACGTCTAGCATAGCCCCGTTTATTTCCAATGCGTCCATGATGCCTTTGTATCCATGCTTTTTCAAGAGTTCTCCACATCTTCCAGTTCCTAAATCGAATGATATAAACGCTGTGTGTGCGTTTGCTTGATCAAATCTAGCAACACGCTACTTTTACGACACTTGATCGATGTTTAATAAGAGCATAGAGACTTGTCTATTTCTGTGTTAGGTTCCTCAAACGCTTTGTATTTATATGCCTAATACATCAAATTGTTGGAATACGTACTGTAATGTAAAACTATATTCAGTGAGCTATAGCTACTCGCTATACTGCTGCTGACATAATATTTGACGTGGGCATTTTGAGTATATTGTAACTAATATTTGTTCGTAGTACACATGGGGCTATTAATATCAATATTTCAGCCCTTTGTGTATAAGGCAGCTTATTTGGGAAAGCAAATATAATCTGTTTAGCAATCAAGGGAGACGTTTTACAGTTGGCAAAACTTATCTAGAGGGCACAACAACACCAAGGTAGAGCAGTTTGGAAAAATCTTCATTTTTTATTAACGTACCGTTATGAAGAGTCATTTATATCTTTTAAAGACATAAGCATTTTAGTACTTGCTATGAAAAAAGAATTGAAAAGTCACAATAATAGAAGAAATTCGTCACCAAACACGGATACGAAAAATGAATTGTAGTATATATTCTAAACTTCTAAAGCTTTTAACATTATACCTCATCGTAACTGAGATATAAAAAGTCAGTGACATAATAATTCATGTCAAAATAGATTATTTTATATTACCTGCCCCAATATCTAAAAGCTGAGTTGACGGCGAGTTATTGACGTATTTCAACATTTCTTTGACCAAATTTTCGGGGGTAAGATATCCCAACGTATCTATGTCGTTGTCATACACTTTTGCCCAATCTGTGTAAACCTGATTGGATTGAACAAAGCAAATTTTTAAATTCGAAATGAATCAAATCACTATTTCTGGTGTTTACCCAAACATTCAGATATTATTGCACAATAAAGACATAGTCTATCTTTCAATAACTTGCACCTAAAAGTCATGCTACCTGTTCAGATTAGACAATTGTTTGGTTAATGACTCCCATTGCCCGCTACAATAAAATGAAAATTTATCGTCGGAGTTTGTCAAATTTCTGTAATGAAAGGTTGAAAGCCACTAATTCATACAATAAAAAGATCATACCGAGCATATTTTTTTCAAAACTATAACGAAACAAAAAAATAGTAACGTTACGTACATCGTCGATCTGATCTTTTGATTTGGCATAAGCAGCTTTGCCAACATTTGCCCAGGCTTTTGTTTCTACCTGCGACATTTCTCTTATTATGCTATGAAATAATAACCTGTTTTAAATGAAAGAACCATTTAATAATTTATTCAGTTATTTAATTCATTTTAATATTAAATTAGGTAAAATAGCTGGAAACAGTATTTTCAAACGGCAAAATTGTATTGAAACTAAAACATGTTATCCTTATTTACGATATCACAATTTCTTTTAAATTAGTTTAGCATCATTTGAAGACAAGATAATAAAGCGGAAATATTATCGGTAGTCTAGTTGCACAGGCAAATAATGCAAAGAAAGCTACTGAATTCAATAGCATTGGTATGTCTACAATATCTATCGAATCTACAATATCTATCGAAGTGCCGAATACAGCTATTATATTTGAGTTTTTTGAAAATACGGACCGCAATACGAAAGTTCATGACAAAGTTGTGATAATAAATTTAGCATTTAAGTTGTGACAATGCTGTTACAATAATCCACACGCTTCTGTAACAGTTTATTATCTGTGACCTGTAGTAGTGACGAGAGAATCGCGACACTAATACTTTTAAGCGTTTTCGCTCTTTAGTAAGTGCTAAGTATCCGTTATTATGCAACATTAGTCGTCTAAAATAAACATCAAAGTTCCACTGAAGGAGCACGTCACAATATTCAACGGTTTCGAACAAAGACCACGCGTCAGGCACATGGGCTTATTATAGTTGTATAGAACATACTTCATTCCTATTCATGAAACAACAATCTTGTTTTACTCTATTGAATGAAAAAAATATCTGACGAAGCGATACGTCCGTAGGCTATTCAGCAAGCAAACATCGTCGACCACAGTCTGAGTCGATCCGGTATGAATGTTGAAAAAAACATTACACTTTTTTGAGAAGAACGTTATTCATTTTGTAAAGCACATTTCACGGTAATTTTTTTAATTGATTGGATTTTTAACTTTGAAGTAAATTCCAACAGTTTCGAAGTTAGTTCAATCCACCGTGTAGGTTTACTGTTATTAGGAACATTTTTTTCGTTTTCTGAAACGAAGAGGTAAAATTGCCAAATATGAGAAGGCAAAATTCTCGGAATGACAGAAAACGATAGAACAATGCTCAAATATATGGAAGCGAAGGCCGCACATTGGTACCGTTATGGCCGACAACGAATACGGAGGCGGTTTAGCAATACGCATTGAAAATTTGAAATCGATTTCTCCATTCGTTGTAAAGAAAAACGATTTCTCCAGCAACATGCATAGAAAAAACAACAATGATAATTTGACAAAACAATCTATGTGTCTACTTCGCATCCAATTAATTTCAGTCATATATTAGAACCTCGAAATTCGCATAGTGTGAAAATCCCCATCACAACGACAACGTTGAAAAACTCAACAATGTGCGAACAATTGATATTACGATCACATAAACCATTGTCCTGTTAACCAAGTTCATCCTACCCCACTTTGAAATTTAGTTTAAATACCCTGTGTTCAATGGAAATTCTGTCTTCATGGCAATATCCTTAATTGTTTGCAATATAAAAAGCAGCACACAAAAATTACATTCCAATTTCTGCTCATTGATGTATATAATTATGCAATAAGGTATCAACATGCTCTCGAGATATGCAAATAGTGAATAGAATATTTCTTTTATCGGGCTTGACCGAATATAGCCCATATTGTATTAGCGAAAACATTATCACGCTGTAGGTGCGTGTCAATTTCGTGTATACCGTCATGGAAAAGTTCCAGAATTTTTTTGGTTCGAAACCGCAGTTTAAATGCGTTACGTGACCTCTTGCCGATGCTTCATTTTTTGCTTAGTAAAGTAGGCATTTAATGGTGAAACCATTATTGCGCAACTAGAAATGCTATTGCAAAATGTAATGGGCCTCATGTTACTAAAGAAATATTAAATATTATTTCACAAATATCACACCACAATCATGACAGAATAGAGTTAGTTATAGTTATCTTCGGGCCGAGAAACAAATATAACAACGTTCCCATATAATGGATAGAAAGTCTTACGTCGGGTCAGCGATTTTATTTGGATCTGAAAAAGTCAACCAGCTTACCATTTGAGGAACATGGACTTGGATATCGAAGAAAGCTGTGACTGGTCGGCGGTTACGTAAACTATAGCCCACGATGGATTGGAGCAACGGTGCACTACCTGCGGCCGTCGGGAAAAATTAATGCGGCCGTCCACATACAAAATCCTATGAAAAATTTAAAAAGTTTAAAATATAGGATTTGGCGGCTATGTTGGCGTATATTGAAGCAAAACAGAAGCACTGCAAAAAAATCAGACAACACGATGCGTCACAATCCGGGCGACCGCCCCTTTCGATTCTTTTTCAAAATTGTGCAATCAGTATGCAACTTGCTGCAATATATCTGCTGAAGTATAGGTCCACCGAAAAGAAAAATGCGAATAATATACTTCCAAGTAGTCCTAAACACTTCATATTTGAGCAGACTGCACTCCGCATGGGTCAAATACGCGACTATGACGTCATTTAAGCCCAAAAAACTTTTTGCGCGACTTCGGCGCGCTCATTAACCCCCTGGAGGCTGTATCGGATACAAATAAATGCAATGTGGCCGCCAATAGCAAAAAAGTTGTGCACCCCTGGATTGGACGAATACTTCGGAAAACGAGATCCTCCGTCAGCATTGGCGATCGGGCCTTTTTTCAAGAATGATGGAAATGAGTCGAAAATGCAAGAATGATTGGGAGAATGCAATTCTTATAGCATTCATTAAACAAATGGATTTTTTTTAATTTTTTACCATATATATATAAATATACATATACATATATATATATATATAGGAGAAATTACTCATTGTAATAAAAAAAAATCTACGCTTACATATGCCGAGCCTACGATATCAGGAACAGCTTATAAAAATCCACAAAAGGCGGAAATCACTGTCAGATATACAGCAGGAAAGCTTTATTAGGTCGATTTTTTTTGGGTGTTTGTCATTTCCGACAATTGATTGTTATCTCTCATTTGACCGACTTTTGATTCATTTTACTTTTTAAATATGTAGTAGTATAATATGTGAAAAGTCATATAATACCACAAGGAACTACACAATGTTTTAGAACATGGGTATATAGTGGTATAATTTCTCAGCTGCGTAGTTTCGTACAGCCCTTACAATATATATATATATATATATGCATATCAGTATTTTTAACAATAGGTAAAATAGTTCCGTAACATTTTATTCAAAGTTTTCAATCCTACAAAAGCTGATACTGATTACGAATCGAGGTGCCTACTACTTGCGAATAAAAGTGAAAATCGAGTAAACAGTTTTTTCACTGTTTCTCATAGTGCTGCGGATCCCAGAGCCCCGAAAATTAACAGAATTGTGTTAAACATAACTAATATGTGAAAAACTATTTAAATATATATTCTGTATTTATTACAAATATTTCATTGGTTTCTATTTTAAATGCTGTGTATAAGAAACAATAAACACATTTATATGTGTTATACCTTCTGATACTTTCTGTATTTTTATGCCCCATTCATTTTATTTTCAATGGAAAATGGCTGAAAAGCAAATCTTGTTCTATTCGATCCTAGTTTCCCATTCCGGAATAGTTTTGGTTTTTATTGATTTTACCAACGAATCAAAATTTTCAATACTCAGAATTCAACCTATAATAAAAATTCATGAATGTTATAAGATTCTGAAACGTTGCAAGTTTTTGTGAATTGTGTATTATCTACTGGCATCTGAACAAGGAAGTTTTAAACATTTTATTCGGGTTGCCTTCCTTGCCATTTACCTTTTACTTCGTTCCCTTTTTCTACCAGAATTCCTTGTTTCTCGACGCCGTGAATCGTTTTGGCTAGAGCAATGTCTCTTGAATCAAAAACTTTTTTGTCAGTCCTAATAAATAATTGTGTATTGAAAATTTGGATATAGCTATGTTTTCAGATTAATTGACGAATACCGGGGCACAATAACCATGCATTGAACAATTGATTTCGCCAAATTCATGTTGTGACGTCATTGCTGATCAAATTTGTTACTGCGAGGGCTAACCAAAACTAACGAATGTTAGAAATCGATCTATTCTGCTGAGCGTCAAAATTTTTGTCGGTTCTAATATTCACAGTTTACTGATTAAGGCCATTTTTATATTTTACGTTTGACTTGGTTAAAATATATAATATATCACAATGATCGATTAAATCATAAAATCTGTGAATATTTCATTTTAATTCTTCTTAATATTGAATTTGATGTTTCCTGCCAAGGTGAGTAATTGCCTTATCGGTGATTTCTTTTTGTGTTTAATCAAACACAATCGACTTGGTTTGTCAACAGTAGATATTTGATAATAAAAAGGTTACTCATGCAACAGAGATTTCACGTGTAATCAATGAATCACATTGTACGGTAATAATCAACTATTGAAATATAAGTTTTAATATTAAAGACTTATTCGTAACAAATTGCAAAGCAAATTGGAATTTTGACTCGTTCAAATGGGCATTGCCAAATTTAATTCGTTGCAAGATGTCGCTAGATTTTCATTTTTATGTTGGATAATGGGTGCTATTACTTATCGATCTTCAGATCGGTGAGTATGTTGATAGGTATTTGTCTGTCTGTTAGATGCACGCGATATCTCACGAAGGCGCGGTTGATGGGACACGCGGTGTCACTATAGAGTCATGAATTGAAACCGCAGTTTGGATCGATAAGTCTTCGGTCTCCGACCGATATTCTCGTCTATTACGTTATCTATGTTGCACAGGTAGAGAAAAAAATTGAGTAAGATAATGGCTCTTTTACGTGAAGTACCAACAATTAGACGAGAATATCGGTCAGAGACCGAAGACTTATCGATCGAAAGTTAGGAAATCCCCCAAAACAGCGCTCTTACTCCATAGTGACACCTTGTGTCTCATCACTAATTAATCAATACCTCACTAATTATACGACATAATTCATCCAAAATCAATAGGCTTCTGGTACGACATATGATGAATGCACATGCAAAATCTGGAGAAGATTC